ATACAATATACAAGATTTCAAGTTCTCAAATACCAATAAAAGTTCAATATAAAATGTGACGCTTCAGTACATAATACAGTGCAATGTTCTATTAAAAAATGCATCATTTCCGAAGACGATAACAATCCCCAAAAGCAACTCGATACAAACTTAAAACACTTCAATACAAACAGCAATATCTAAATAGCTACAACTTAATACAAAATCCAACATCCCACCACAACTCAATACAAAATACAACATCCCACCACAACTCAACACAATATACAACATCCCACCACAACTCAATACAATATACAACATCCCACCACAACTCAACACAATATACAACATCCCACCACAACTCAACACAATATACAACATCCCACCACAGTTCAATACAAAATACAACATCCCAATACAGCTCAATACCACTCAATACAAAATACTATACGACTATAATTTTCAAGGGGGAAAAAATAGTAGGTAGGTTCAACTCGACCCTAGAGAATTTATGTACCCTGGGCCACAGGCTGTGTACCCACACTGTGTACTTGTTCAGTATGTAAACACAAGCTTGATTTGTGTGGCCGGGTGCCTGCGTGTGTGCCAGGCTGCATCTACTGTTGTGGCCCAAAACCTTTCCTTCAGTTTACACAAAATAATACTGAAAATATATATACGTTAAAAAATAAAACTTTTACAGTCACTACCAAATACTACTATACTACTGCTGCTGCCTACTATATTAAGTACTATTAATACAACTACTACACTACTGCTATTAGTTAATACAAATACTGTTATTAGTACTAAAACTCTAAGTATCTAGTATCACAATTAGTACACTACAAATACTACCTACTACTAACAGCATTAACCCACCACTACTACTGCTACTAGACTACAACTAACTACTACTACTACTACCGGTACTACTACGACTACTACCGGTACTACTATTTTTTTCTTTTTTTTAAATGGCCTCCAGCCTCCCCCAATAGCCACACCTTTGCCGCCATTTTATTACCTTAAATTTAATATCTTAATACATAAGTAGCTATCCGGTACTACTACTACTACTACCATACCAAAACTTCTATCATCATATACTACTAACAAAAATGATAACAAAATACAACACTCCACTACAAACTATAACAAGTAACCACAATTGCAATCCTACAAAACAACTGGTATACTACTGCTATACTACAACTACCACCACTAATACCCACAACCACAGTAACAGCAGCACCATCGGCTATGAATGACGTAGATAAGAGACAATGAATGTGGCTCTCTCTACAGTGTGTTTTCCACGAGGTCAACAGCCCCCCCGATATGGCATAAACACCACTAACATACTGTACAACGAGAGACACACGGCCCGCCATCCTCCCTTCAGTGTAAAGTTCCGACCCTCTCACGTCTAGTGCCTGTAAATGCTCTAAAATAGCTAAAGTTTAATACATTTTGGCTATAGTTGACTAATATGGTCTAATTTAACTATATATGGCTATAAATTACTAGATTTGGCTATAATTTACTAAACATGGCTATAATTACTTAAAATAGCCATAATTCGACGAAGTATAGGATTAACTTGGCTATAATATCCCTTTTTCAAATACAAACGGATAATTGGCTTAAAATGGCTATATTTGATTAAAACAGCGTTTAGTTTCATTGTGTGCCTAAATTAACTAAAAATGGCTATATCAACTTTTGGGGACTAAATACTTAACAAAATTCACTAAAAACGATTCAAATTGGCTATAATTCACAACAGTCGCTATAATTAACTAAAATGAGCCATAATTAACTAAAATTGGCAATAACCAGACTAAAAATACTTATAATTTGGCTACAATTAATTAAAATCTTAACATTATCATAACGTTTATAAAACCCAGTCTGATGTTTGATACATGCAGGTCACCAAGCTGATAGTATTCTGTACTTGTCTATTTGTGTGTTGCATTAAAAAAAATTTGTAGCCTATAGCGCTTGTACTTTACAGGTAAGGGGTTTTATACAACAACAACAATAACAATAACAATAATAATAATAATAAATGACAGCAACAGCAACAAATACAACAACAGCAATGACACAGATAAGTTTCATTTATAATAATAATAATGCCAAGTTCTCACGTGGTCAAACTAACGAGTCACAGTGAACCAGACAGAAGGTTGGACAGGTGTACACCGGGGAGCTTTCAACGTCGTAGCGGAAGACTAAATAAAATATTAAACAAATAAATAAGTAAAGAATTTAATAAAAAAAATAAATAAAGGCTTGATCACGCACACCCATAACCACGGAGAATAATACTAAAAAATTCAGTGTTCAATCTAACAGACGCAGACGTACTTGAAAAATGAAAAAAAAAATATCCCCTAAGAACAACGAAACACTTCCCTCAGTCAAGTGAATAGAGGCGAGTGAGTGAGTGAGTGGTTGACCGACAGCAACCAAAAATCCGGAAGCCTAACAGCGCATAGAATGACAAGGTGATTCCCGGCCAACCGTGAAGCCCCTTAATACTCTATAACAACACAATCCATTTCTCTTCACCCATTATGCATATCATCACGATTTCCTATACTAACACCTGTCTTCATTAACACACACAATTAGTACAATCTCTACGTAGGTGCATCTGTCCTCAACAACATTCAGTAAGGTACTTTCTCTATTTACACACGTGTCTTCGGTACTTTCTCTACTTACAAACTTATCGTCGTCAACATACACTCAACACATTTTGCTCTCTCTCTCTCTCTCTCTCTCTCTCTCTCTCTCTCTCTCTCTCTCTCTCTCTCCATTTATCGTACGGGGTGGATCAGGGGTCACATATATTTTAAAGAACTGAGGTGAGGGGAGAAATTGGTAGGGAAGGATGGCGCAAGACTCATGGAGAAAGGCGAGAGGAAGGGAGCTGAAACAAGCCGAAACAATCGCGCACACACACGCACACGCACACACACACACACACACACACACACACACACACACACACACACACTTACATCCCATAACATATTTAAAATTGTCTTCCTTTCTATTTAACGAGAGAAATATTTAAACAGAGTAAACATCGTAGTGTATACAATGAAAGCTACTCCTGGAAGAGTGTGTTGTCTTGTTCCCCACGCCAGAGATACAGTAGATAGATAGATAAATAGATAAGATAGATAGATATATTCTCCCTCTAGCTCTTCCATTTCTTCCCCCCTTCCATTCATTTAACCCCCACCCTTCCCTTTCCACTCCTACTTCCTCTCCCCATCCTTCTATCCCCCACCTCCTTCCTCTCCCCATCCTTCCAACCCCCACCTCCTCCCCATCCTTCTATCCCCACCTCCTCCCTCTCCCCATCCTTCCCCCCCCCCCACCCCTCCTCCCATCCTTCCTCCCCACCTCCTCCCTCTCCCCCATCCTTCTATCCCCTCTCTCCCCCCTACCTCCCCATCCTTCTATCCCCCCACCTCCTCCCCTCTCCCCCTTTCCTTCCCACCCCACCTCCCCCCCATCCTCTCCCCACCTCCTCCCCCTCCCCCATCCTTCCCCACCTCCTCCCCATCCTTCTCTCCCCCTCCTCCCTCTTCCCATCCATTCTATCTCCCCATCCTTCTATCCCCACCTTCCTCCCCTCTCCCCATCCTTCCCACCCCACCTCCTCCCCATCCTTCTCCCCCCTCCTCCTCTCCCCATCCTTCTATCCCCCACCTCCTTCCTCTCCCCATCCTTCCAACCCCCACCTCCTCCCTGCTCCATCATTAGAGTTAAGCTTTACTTGCCACAGTACACCCAAGTCAATTGTTATTGATGTACAGTACATTACCCTGTAGCGCGCCGAGACTCATACAGCTGCATCACGTACCTGTAAAGATAAAGGAAAGGGAAGATTAATATTGGATTCTAGTACACTTAAATACTTCACACACACACACACACACACGCACACACACACAGTCAAATTCTTCCCAAAAGGCGCGCCAGCACGAAGATGTTCTAGTTCATATTTACGGTGCATACAAGAAACGCTAACATGGACAATTTACACAAGATAACATGACATTAATGTCTTAAATTACATGAATTAGGCTTTACTGAAAAAACAAAAGTATGCTCTTGTCATGTACAGTATGTTTTACCTTATCTAAACGTCATGCGCATTTTTATAACAATACATAAAGTGGTATTTCGAGAGCAGATAACTATAGTCCTACAGAGTCCCCGAAACACAATGTCTTCAAAATAGTAATTCTTATCGGTTACAAAAACGTTCCTGAAATATAATATGTACTGTACAGTCACTAATAAACCTCTGTTATATGTAAATCGTCTATAACTTGTCGGACTACAGAACCTACCTGGTGTAAGCATGAGGGACATAACTCTGGAAGCGTAATAACTAAAGTCGTCAATAGTGGACTTGATAGATACAATCTCCCTATATGTTAAGTTTCCCCTTAAACCTTTACGGCACTGGTCACTCGGCACAAAAGTTATCTTCGGACACTGACATACCTGATAATACGAAGGTAATTTTGCGACCGCATCCTATAATTTGATATCAAATTATTAGAAAATTGCATAATCTTACTCCAAATAGCGGCAAGTCGTCGTCTTGTTTGCACGACGCGGTAATTTAAAGTAAAACAGGTGCAAGAAAGAGCAACGTAAGTTCCGTTAACTGTTAGTTTCACTGACGACAGGTGCATAAGTGCTTGCTGCCACCTTTCACTCCTACAAAAACTATACTAATATTAATAAACGAAATTAATTAAGTTAGGATTTTTCTTTAATAAAGCATACATGTGAAAAACAATTCTTCTATATTTTTCATCCGTTACGTCCAGTAGTAGTTCCTAACATGAGTAGCTCTCCTATTAGCCCAGTTAAGGCGACAGATGTGGCTGAGCGGCGCTGCGGGCAGCGAGGCACCTCAGAGGGGATGGTAAGTATAAATTGAGACGCAGACTGGAAGCGAGCATCATTCACCCACCACCACCAGTCCCTCCACAACGTTCAACATGACTCGCAAGGTTTGCAAGATCATCACCTTCCCAGTCTAATGTATCATAATTTTCGTTTCTTGCTTCTTGTATGTAAACATTTCTACAGCCAACTTTGTCTTACAATTTAAATATATTAATTTTCAAGGAGTAAATATGACAGATACTTAGGAGTGCTTAATAAAAAATTAAAGTTTTAAATAAGAGTGGACAAGTTCCTCCCCTAACCTATAACCAAGATTTAGGGGCCATAACTATAAAAATAGACAGAATATGGTGAAATATTTCCACCAATTTTGCTTATTCCTTACTTGAATTATTATGTTCCCAACTCTGGGAAGCACAGAGGGAAAGCCTGTATCATGTCTCCCTCCCAAGACGGCGGGGGAACGACAACAGGTGCTGCTCTTACCTTACCCGTCATAAAACTGCCATAATATTAACACGTACTAGTTACTGGCACACGTCCTTTAAATAACTGTAACTACTCGTATAGTCTGTCCACTCGAAGCTGCAACTGAGGCCTTGGGTCAGTGTGTAACAAGGCAGCTGATTGGTTGACGGAGGGACACCCGACGAATCTCTTACATTACTTCAATATTTAATCTACAGTATTTATATTCTCACAATTTAAAGGATAATAACTTTTTCTGTGTTGATCTCTGACAATTTCCGCATATTAGCATGTAAAACGCTCCGGCAACATAAATACTGAAGTACTGTGGTGATTCTTCGGGGTGTCCGTCCGCCAACCAATCAGCTGCCTTGTTACACACTGACCCTAGGCCTTAGTTGCAGCTTTGAGTGAATAGTCTAGAGAAATCAGCATCTGCCAGTAACCACCACCTCTCCACAGGCAGCCCTGCTGCTGGTGGTGGTCTTGGTGGCCATGACTTTCGCTGCTCCCTCCGACCCCTACCGCCCTCCTGTACATCAGTCGGGCTACAAAGAAGTGAGTCGAGTACCTCCTAACAAAGTTTTTCGTGTTAATGCATTGCAAACATTTGTATAGGAGCTCCGGCCCAATGTGCTGAGATATGAAAAGAATATGTTCATGAATATATACAAATGCTTCTGATATCAGATTGAGTGTCATTCCATTAACTAAATTAAACTTCATCAGCCTGCAAAACCACACAACTTCGCCTACACTGTGAGGGACGAGTACGCCGGCACCAACTTCGGCCACAGCGAGGACTCTGACGGCAACACAGTCCGTGGCACCTACAATGTAGACCTCCCTGACGGCCGCAAGCAGATGGTACGTGTCTTTAACACTTAAGTCAGCTGAATACAGTACCAGTAGCGCTTAACACAGTGTTAACACCCGCATCCTATACAGCAACACCTTAAACACCAGTTATAACCATGTTCGCCCATTCTAGCACAAATTTCACTATTAATAACTTCTTATACTTCAGGTGAACTATGAGGCAGACCACGAGACAGGGTTCATAGCCAACGTGCAGTACTACGGCGAGGCTCAGTACCCCCACGAGTACGGTCCGCCCGTCACCTTCAAGCCCAAATACCAGGACTCATACCAGCCCAAGCCTTCATACAAGCCAAATCCAACGTATAAGCCCAAGCCAACATACAAACCACAGCCCTCTTACCAGCCCCCTCAACCCTCATACCAGCCCGAACCCTCTTACCAGCCCGAACCTTCAACCCTCCCTCACCCCCATACCAGCCCGAACCCTCACCTCCCACCTCAGCCCGAACCCCTCATACCCTCCCCACCCCTCATACCAGCCCGAAGCCCCTCATATCAGCCCGAGCCTTCATGCCCCCCCCACCCTCATACCAGCCTGAGCCCTCGCACCAGCCCGAACCCTCCCTCCCCCCCCCCTCTCCCAGCCCCCTCAGCCCCCCCATACCCTCCCCTCCCTCCTTACCAGCCCGAACCCTCATATCAGCCCAGCCTTCACCCCCCCCATCAGCCTGACCCCCCCCACCCTCCTCAGCCGGCCTTCATACCCTCCCCCACCTCCAGCCTGAGCCTTCACCCTCCCCACCCCTCATATCAGCCAGGCATACCCTCCCCCACCCTCTTCAGCCTGAGCCTGCAGCCTGAGCCCTCATACCAGCCCGAGCCCTCATATCACCCCTTATACCGATCCCAGCCTTCCGAGCCCGAGCCCTCATACCAAACTGATCCTCATTATGAGTTTGAATCCAAGACCTTGGACCCACGTGATACTGAGTCCGTCCTTGAAGCTGATGCCAAACCCCAACAAAAGCTAGAAACTGAACCCCGACACCACCTTGATACTGAACCCCAACACCACCTAGATACTGAACCACGACACCACCTTGATACTGAACCCCAACACCACCTAGATACTGAACCCCGACACCAACTTGATACTGAATCCCGACACCACCTTGATACTGAACCCCGACACCACCTTGATACTGAACCCCGACACCAACTTGATACTGAATCCCGACACCACCTTGATACTGAACCCCGACACCACCTTGATACCGAAACCCGACACCACCTTGATACCGAAACCCGACACCACCTTGATACCGAACTCTCACACCAGTCTGACACCGAGCCCTCATACCACCCTGACACCGAGCCCTCATACCACCCTGACACCGAACCCCCATACCACCCTGACACCGAACCGCCATACCAACCTGACACCGAGCCCTCACACCCAGATACCGAACCGTCACACCAGCCTGATACCGAACTCTCACACCAGCCTGATAACGAATCCTTACACCAATTCGACGCCAAGCCCTTACACCAACCCGATACCGCCGCGTCTTCAGAGGAATGAATGTGCATTAATGGCGCCTGAAACACCCCAAGCCTGTATTAGGACTCTAGTCACTGTTTCATTGTTTATGTTATTCTGTGATTGCAATAACTGATGCATGATAATTATATTGTTTACGTGTAATAAAAAAACAGCTAATATTTTTTTGGCTTTTAATACACCACAATTATATACAGCCTAAATACATTTTATTGATATACAACCGACTGTTAATATACTACAATAGTATATAATCCTTACCTTGTCGTGCATTTGCAATATGGTATACATTACTTTTAATACACTGAATTGATATATCTATAAGCCTTTAATAAATTATAATAATACATTATCTACTTACAAAATGCTATGGTGATGTTCTGTCGGCCTATATATTACAAAAAAACTTTCATACATTAGTCAATCATTTTTTTTATTCGAATACAATTCAGTGAAATGGTCACTATACCTTAAAAAAGACTTTTCTAACTCTTGTGAATATGTGACACAAACTCAGCAGTCACAACCAGGCACGGCTTTGTTTAGGTCGAATTCAAGAAAAAACTTCAATTGTCTAAGTGTGCATAAAACCATAAGGCATGCATCGTGTGTATTTTTTTTAATAATTAACAATTTAAAATGCTAAATTAATTATAAAAAAATATCAATACCGTAAAAAAAATGTCATGCAAGAAGTAGAATAGAAAAAACGTTATAAAATTTCACTGTATCAAGACCCAGGATGACAGAGTAAGTTACTGTATTTCGAAGCAGCATATAATCTCAGCGCCACAACATGTATACACTGTGATTACTACGAGTGGATCATAAATACCAATGCAATACAACCGCATTATAACACTGCTCACACCTAACCCCTAGCCTTTCATTCAGCTCGCGAGTGACGTCATCTAGCAACGAGAACCATACTGACCGCTAGTGACATCATATAACAACGAGAACCATACTGACCGCTAGTGACATCATATAACAACGAGAACCATACTGTCCTCGAGTGACATCATTTAACAACGAGAACCATACTGACCGCTAGTGGCGTACCATACTGACCGAGAAGACGAAGTTTACCTTATAACACCTTCACACTTTCCTTTAGCTACTACGTGGTGAGGAAAAACAAGTACTGTGTCGTGGAGTAAACACAAAACCTGTGTCACAAACAGCCAAGCACTGAGGCTCTCATTTAATGAAAACGCGAGACCCACAGTAATATAAACACAGGTCGAGGTAACCCAGTGCCGCATGACCTTAAACACACTCCATAGACTACAATCAACCATGCATTCAACCTTCCCAATCTGCTGTAGCCAGGTGATCTGTGGCTGGCTGGGGGTCTTCTGTCCTCCTGGGCTCCTCCATACCAAAGATCTTTACTGATAACTGATGATTTCAAAAAAGTTTATCCAGTGGAAGAATTCAGTCGTCACTGAGTCAAAACACAGTTATGAAGACACGTATTTCTGGAGATCACATTAGCTCAAGTTTAGATCAGAGGGTTTAATTCTATGCTTTAGGTCTGTATTGGTATAAATAACACAGACCAGACTGAACCCAATAACAACTTCTACCTGCCCTCCCCCCCAACACACACATATGGGATATGTACCTAAAATTAATGATCATCTCAAGTGTTTGGATTCTGCACTTAGTCCAACGATCTTGGCCCAAGAGGTGTTGTCTCACTGCATGTCCCCTGGCCACTGGTTCACACTATACAGTAGCTACTGGGATCAAGTCGCGAGAGTAAGGTGTCCATGTTGTTATACTGTGACAGTAACGACAGGAACGCACACTAGTGGTCAGAGGCATCTCACTCACCAACAACAAACCAACAAAAACAAACGACTGTTTCACATGTGTAGCGTAACCCATAAACCTAACCTTCCTTTACGAGGAATCATTAAGAAGTATACGATGAAACACGTGTAATAGGTGACAACATAAAGGAGTAAAACTAATAAGGCAAAATTATTAAAATGTATAAATATTTGTATGTTGTATTCTGATATATATTTACATTATGTTCTTTATATATTATGCATGGTATAACTAATTTGTTAAATGTGAATCTATACATGTTCTTTATATAGTGTATAAAATATTAAATAAATATATTGTATACACTGTGTATACACATACCGGAACAATAAAAAATATATTATTATTTTTTTAAAGAAAACTTAAATATTCGACTTCATTATTCCATTATTATTATTATTATTATTATTATTATTATTATTATTATTATTAATATTGTTGTTGTTATTATTATTTTTATTAAATCTGCTTCTTACTTTCCCTTACTGTCTACATTCAACACATGTGACAAGGTACCAGTCGCTGCCCCTTCAGTTAAGCGCTCGTCATGCTGTTTATCAGTGAAAACGAAGTACAGTTAGTGTACTTTTAAAACAGTTGTGACGATGAAACTTTTATAAATGTGACTTGAAGCAATACTGAGAGACAACATTGACACATCAAACACCTGTTGAGATGGGAGCAACAGGTGTGAGGTGAAGGGTGGACAGGTAAGCAACAGAAGGGAGGGCAAGTATAAAGGCAGGCACGGGCCGGACACCACCATCATTCACCACCACCACCACCAACAACCAACATGACTTCCAAGGTTCGGGTTTTCACCAAACCGTCGTAGTGTGTGTATAACATATACGAATTATTCGTAGAAATACACTTTTTTTCCGTCAGTGAGTGAGGAAAAAAAATTTCCGTCAGTGACCAAGAGATAAAATTGCATAGAGAACTGTAGGCGCTTCTAAATAACCATATTCTATAAACACAAATTGTACTTTCATATTTAATCTTAGATCTTCAAATGGACTCTGTGAAGAATATAAAAGGGTTTATACTGTGCTCCTTTCAGTCAAGGTCTCTGTCCGCCTCGACATAATGACTAAAATTAAATTTCACACATCTGCGGTAAACACGAGTTGAAGTGAGAGATTACACGTATATCTTCTCTACACCATACTGTTGCCACCGATCTCACGCCACCATGATCGTTTTAGCTAAGTCAAAGCAGTAAAACTTTCCTGACACCTGTGAGAGTAATGAGTTCAAGTAGTATGTCTATAGTTGAATCAAGCAGGACCTTGATTGTCGGGCATGTTTCTCTCCGTCAACAGCAATATCTCCTTGTGTGACGTAGGTTTGTGAGGCAAGTGTACGCAAGTTAAATCACATTACGAAACTTTATATTATTACCTAAGTGCGACAGTGAGAAAAAAATCACAAACCATGAAGAAACACATCCAATACGATCAAAGTTCGTATCCAAATATTCTGCTTCATCGACATTTGTATTACATCAACACCTAACGCAACGCTACCTCCCCCACAGGCGGCCCTGGTGTTGCTGATGGTGGGCCTGACACTCGCTGACCGGGCACCTTACCACCCTCCACCTCCTCATCAGTCCGGATACAAAGACGTAAGACAACTCTTATAGTCTACCAAACAAAGTCAACCTACATGAAAGACTATTAAGTCATAGTTTACCAAGTCAATATAATGAATACATCACATAATGAGTCTGTATCACTGCTTCACAATATTATATAAGGTTAATACAGACTTATTTAAGCATAATATCAATGATTATGGCCTCTGTTTCAAATATCCCATGCATAATGCAACAGCCACCGAAGCCACACAACTTTGAATACGCTGTCAGGGACGAGTACGCCGGCACCAACTTCGGCCACAGCGAGGACTCTGACGGCAACACTGTCCGTGGCTCCTACAGTGTTGACCTCCCTGACGGACGCAAGCAGACGGTACGTGTCTTTACACCTGTGTCATAAACAAGTCGAAGAACCGTAATTCTTAACTGATAATAACAAACAATTCTCATCTTTATCTGCACTGGTTGGCATTAATAATAACCCACTTTATTTACACCAGGTGAACTACGAGGCTGACCACTACAAGGGTTACCAGGCCGAAGTCAGCTACTACGGCGAGGCTCAGTACCCCCACGAGTACGGTCCCCCCGCCACCTTCAAGCCTCAGTCTTATGGTCAACCCTCATACAAGCCCCAGCCCTCATACGAACCCCAGCCCTCTTACAAGCCCCAGCCCTCATACGAGCCCCAGCCCTCATACGAACCCCAGCCCTCTTACAAGCCCCAGCCCTCATACAAGCCCCAGCCCTCATACAAGCCCCAGCCCTCATACGAACCCCAACCCTCATATGAACCCCAGCCCTCATACCCACCACCACCTACCTATAACTGAGGGTATCCGCAGAACCTACTAATACTTACCTCGGCCTAGTCACTGTTGCTGGAGATGTCATTTTGTTGATAATAAAACTGATGTTAAATACATATTCCCTTTGGTTGCATTCCTTATAAAATTACTTGCTGTAATCTGTAAGAAACTATTTGATGTATCAGTAAGAATTAAACTCAGTGGGCAGATACAGCTATCCTAAACGCTGTATACTGATGGTATAGTCGGGCAATATATTTGTAGACTAAGATGAAAAACACCTTCAAGTCACTCTGGCGGATATGAAACCCTAATTAAGATACCTGTAGCTACCTTTATGCTTTACAAATATCTCTTTCACCAAATCTTATAATACGGAATTGTTAAAAACGGTATGGCATTACAAACCAAAAGACTTACACTAAAAAAAATGGCTAAATATGTCTACTGTATCAGCACACCATACATAAATGGGAAACTTCTCGTCATATAATAATTCCACCTAGGGTACATAGTCAACTTGTACCATGGGGAAGGTCTCCCACCCAAGTGCTGGCAGGAGCAGCAGCAACACCCTCTCAGCTATACATCCAATAAACATAGTGAGTTCGTCCAAGGGAGTGATCAACGCCCGCCGTCCGCCGCCTTTAAAATCCCGAGACAGTAGTTCGAGAAGCAGCAACTGTGCTAATTCTTATATTAATCCTCTCACAAAACTCTGATAATAAAGCTTACAACTCTTAAGACCGTCAGTGAATTCTTATCAATTGCATTTTTCTTACATATCGGATCAATTAATGTTGTAACACGTGGATAGAATAAGATACATTATTAATTAACACTACCCCTAGATTTCTACTCTTTGAGGGACAACTTGATTATGGAATGTCAAATATAAAAAGGCATTTATGTATCTAGGGAGCAGGGGAGTCTTTGTCCTGATGACAAAGTGTAAAGGGCTTACATACTCTCCTTCCTTCCCTCCCCCAACTCCCTTGCTGCCCTTCCGCCAATGTCCGAAAACTAACCATACGTGTAATATAGGACCCTGATCCTGGAAACCCTTTGAGCCTGCTAACAAAGGAAGGGACGGACGAGGGTAACTGTACAAGCCAGGTCAACTCCTATGATGGAGCTGAGGCTGTATCACACATTATATATATATATATATATATATATATATATATATATATATATATATATATATATATATATATATATATATATGCTGATAACCACAAGGAAGAAGAAAACACGAAGTTCCCAAGCGCTTTCGTGTAATTCACATCTTCAGGGGTGAGTACAGACTAAAGAGAAATACAAACCAAGGTGTATATATACAGAGGAGGGTGAGACCAGGTCCACAATGGTCAGGTATTAGGTAATGACCCTACTATCTTTAAATAGCACACAACGGTTGGTGGTCAGGTCAGAGGGTAAGGTGACCCAACTTTCTCACCTGGTTACAAATCTTCTTAATTACAAAATTGTCCAGTTTGTACATGCCATTACTCAAATTCATGTTGAATGCTTCGGTAGAATTAAACAACACAAATACAGTGTTAGGACAGGCCAGGAATCCAATGCTCTGTTTGTTCATTTGAGAGATAATAAGCATTGCATTGACTGGGATAATGCCTCCTCAATATTACCTTGTAATTCAATTGATAGTAGGAACATCATAGAATCTAGTCTTATTAAACATACCGAAGCATTCAACATGAATTTGAGTAATGGCCTGTACAAACTGGACAATTTTGTAATTAAGAAGATTTGTAACCAGGTGAGAAAGTTGGGTCACCTTACCCTCTGACCTGACCACCAACCGTTGTGTGCTATTTAAAGATTAGTAGGGTCATTACCTAATACCTGACCATTGTGGACCTGGTCTCACCCTCCTCTGTATATATACACCTTGGTTTGTATTTCTCTTTAGTCTGTACTCACCCCTGAAGATGTGAATTACACGAAAGCGCTTGGGAACTTCGTGTTTTCTTCTTTCCTTGTGGTTATCAGCATATACCTAGATCACGCGCACCTACAGTGATTTACTTGCATATATATATATATATATATATATATATATATATATATATATATATATATATATATATATATATATATATATATATATATATATTACATATACACACACACACATATATATATACATACAAACATGAAGGGTGTGACGTCACTGTTCTCAGGGGTTACCAATCTTAATCAATAGTGTAATTCAATACATTCGGGGGTTAACGTAGTACGGTACTGAACAATTTGAAGTTGTGCCGTTCTGAATATTCAAGTAAATTAATTATTGTTATAAATCATTAAAAACGTTACATTATATAACAAAACCACCATAACTAAACCTCTTTATCAACCTTTCACTCGTGTCTTATGGAGTTAATATTGCACATAAGAAGGAAATTCGTAATTTTAGCAAAGAAGACAGGTGTAATAATTAACAACGCAAACTGCCAACAGGTGAGGGAGAGTGGTGGACAGGTAAGTACAGATGAGGGAGGGGCTGGTTAGTATAAAGGCAGACACAGGCTGGAGACGAGCAACAGTCATCCACCAACCTCTTACAACACAACATGGCTCACAAGGTTCATTATAAACAAACGTTATAATTTACCTTATCATGTTACCTATTCACGAGTCATAACTTTATTTTACACTCAATTCATAACCAAAAAAAAAGAGGAAAGGTTGAATCCACGACTTGCTGTTCAAAAAATGTTCACTCGCAACAATAGACAAGCGTTATACTAAACATTTGAACAGAGTGCACTAAAAATCTACAACTTTAATAATAAAAATGTCTACTTAGTTTTATCACTCGCTGTTAGGAGTATATATGTTAATGCTAACGGATGTACAGATTTACCAGTGTGGACAACTCCCTTTAACCATCACCTTCCTCCCACAGGTAACTCTGATGATGGTGGTGGTGGGCGTGGCTCTCGCTGTCCCCTCCGACCCCTACAAACCCCCACATCAAGGTTACAAGGTCAGTCAGGTTTAATATCAAGACGGGGTTATTCACGCCCTAGGTCTTTATCATACATAGTAACATATTATTGTTTACAAATTCAAAAGTTCCTCCCTACAATCCAAAACAAAACCCAGTTGGTTATAATAGAATTTAAGGATAACGCACTATTATTTTAACTCATTTATTTTCTTATGCGAAATAGTTTTTGTATTTAAAAGTGATCACTAAGCGAGGTAAATATTCAAAATATTTACATTAATTATCTTTCGCAGCAACCCGGGATGCCACACAACTTCGCCTACACTGTGAGGGACGAGTACGCCGGCACCAACTTCGGCCACAGCGAGGACTCTGACGGCAACACCGTCCAGGGCAGCTACAATGTCGACCTCCCTGACGGCCGTAAGCAGACGGTACGTGTCATTACATCCATATGCTAAAAGATTAACAAACATAAGCAGTTAACACTGATATTTACCATTGCAGCTGTCCACCTTTACCAATTCTTGATTACGTTCCCTGCTGATACAATAACCTTCTGTACTCCAGGTGACCTACCAGGCTGACCACTCCAACGGTTATGTTGCCGACGTGCAGTACTATGGTGAGCCCCAGTACGCCCACCAGTCAGGTCCCGCCATCACCTTCAAGCCCCAGTCTTATGGATCACCCCAGCCTTCATACCAGCCCCAGCCCTCATACACACCCCAGCCTTCATACCAGCCCCAGCCCTCATACACACCCCAGCCTTCATACCACCCACAACCATCATATAACTGAAGGCTACTGCTGTTACTATCATCATTTACCCCGGCCTGGTCACTGTTGTTTTAAATGTTTCTGTTGACAATAAACACATAGCTTACTGCATATTCCCTTTCATTTTAATCCAGATCAATTTAATCTCTATACTTGGTGGAACTTTGTATATCTCGTATCACTAAGAATAATATGGGATACAGCTGTCATGGTGAGAACTCTACAATACCTGCTGCTATTGTATATTGTACCGTGTATTATTCGTGGGTGTTTTTATGTACAGTATTTACAATAATCTAATACCCGAGGGAGTGATAACTAAGTCTCACTATAGCAAAACATAAAGCATCCAGCAAAATCTAGCGTTTAACTTCGTACACACTAAACATCTTATAATGAAATTTAATGATAATGAGCATCAGTATAAAGTAATGCGAAGACTTATACCGCATAAATTATTTACATAATGAAGTTCTTGTGATAAGTTAGAAGGGAGAAGGTGAACTGCAGAGATTTGTTTTTAACAACTACGAAGCTGATAGCCAATCTTATGTATCATCCCCATCAGAGCACAAGAAATATAAAAAATAAACCATTGATATAGTCATTGAAAATAAGCCGGGGGTATTTAACATCAAACACCAGTACAATATTGTCCTTAGGGATCGCTATATTACCGTTCAAACATGAAGCCTTCATTTTTTAACAAGAGTAAGGCGATCACAGTCCATCCCAGTATCTGCTATCTCCCAGGGTTAAGACAGGTGGTGCTTAAATACCCCTGGCTTATCTTAGAGGACCATACCCGCTGATATTGGCAATATTATGTCAAGTGTCCATACTCTTACAACTTCAATATTCCCAACGAAACTTAACAAATATTCCTTCCGCTAGTTCCTAAGAAATACTGTCCTGGTATTGGATAAGAAGGCACACGCACTCAAAAATACTCGAAGAAATTTTCAGTCGTGACAATAGATGCAACACGCCGCATCCATCACCTTTAAGAAGTAAAGACCTTAGTTCGAGACTCACCAGATTTCACTTAGGCTGGATATTTTAATCCTCTTACAATTCTAATACTCTTACAAGACTGACGGTGGAACGCGAGTCTCCTCTCATAGCGCACCACACTGGTGTTTAATCCCTAATATATCAGTCGACGATTTGTACTGAGTAAAGTGTGACTGATGAATCAAGTGTCATTAAAGCAGAGAGGGAGGGCGCCTACGTCCCTCCTTTGTGTTCAAGAAAGTGGACGACTTAATAAGGATGAGAAAAAGAATAGCTAACCAGGATGACCACGATGCCTTGTATCTCCTCCAAAAGCACTTGTCCGTGGCCAGATGATTTTATTCAGCTTAAGGAAACCTCCAGGAGCCTAAAGGTTAAAACAACAAATTAGGAGTGTACGATGATCTTAACTCCATGTTCACAGCGGCCGTGAACCTCTCATTGGAGGTCTGTCAACGGCAACAAAAATATCTTCCGGTCTGCCAGCAAGGAATTGTTATTTGCAAAGTCTCCCAGATTGCAATGCCAGCAGTCCTACCCTTCTGCACAGTAACCAACGAACAAGTTATGAGGATCTTTCCAGAACATCTTAAAAAGTCAGCAGGAGTAAACTCAACCGGGAGACAGTCACTTGTAGGGGACTGGTATACAAAGTAACCAGACCAACTTTTACCACAAAACAAAAATAATGTCTTACTCACCGTTCTGATGTGATGGTATCCTTAACAAAACTAACATGAATGATCTATAAAAACTATTGACGGCAACATTTATTTTTGAGACAAATACATTTAAGGTTTAAATATATATTAAACTATAACTACAGATTGTTGCTTCCTACTTGCTTATAACTGTTAAGACTTATGGAGTTAATATCAATAATCAAACTCAAATTTAGTAATCATGAGGCAGAAAACAACTGTAATGATCTAAACAACTGGCGACATGTAATGTTTATGTTTTTACTTGGCGGTAGGAGCGTTATGCACCACACAGCTGGAGGAAGAAGCCAACAAGTGAGAGTGAGGAGCAGACATATGGTGAGTGAGGGGCTGGTCAGTATAAAGGCAGACCCGGGCTGGATACAAGCACCAGTCACCCACCACCAACACTACACAACATGACTCAAAAGGTTCGTGACGTGAAACATTAACATTAAACTGTACACAAACCAGTAATTCATTCATTGGTCTGAGCTTAACTTCTCGCAGCAAAACAGTAAACTTAACATGGTTAACTCGACACAAATAGGGTTGTCTTAATAAAGCTGGGCGCGAGTCTCTGGTGAAGTACTGTTACAGTAAAGTTAATTTACTAACTGTTTATATTTTGATCTGGTAAGACAGTAACTTAAAACAAAATGAGCATCAATAATACAATAGTGACTCTCTCTTACCTTCACCTTGCATTATATAAAATAAAAGGAAAAATGTTCCGGCTGTTAGAAGAACCTAAATGATTTTTCTCATATAAATTATATAGCTTATTATAGAGGAAGGTGTTGACAGTTCCCCTTAATTCTCATCTCCCTACAGGCAGCTCTAATGATGGTGATGGTAGTGGGTGTGGCTCTCGCTGCCCCTTCCGATCCCTACGGACCTCCACCACAAAATGGTTACCAGGTCAGTCCTATTTAATATAAAATTCAGTATTGTACTTCTTATGTCATTAACATACACAGCAACATCTTAATCCAAGACAAATGATTCTAAAATGCAATATTTTCATTGTACAAAATTGAACATAAAATAGATTAAGGAGAATATTCCTAGTAACTTTAATATATACCCATCAAAATAAAGCAGTCAGTCGGGGATACCGCACTCATATAGTATTTTGCTTCTATATATATTCATACACGAAATAATCCTTATATACCTGAGTTATTAATACCCGAGACAATCGTTTATAAACTTAATATGAAAAAATTTCAATGAAAGTCGGGGATGCCACACAACTTCGCCTACACTGTGAGGGACGAGTACGCCGGCACCAACTTCGGCCACAGCGAGGACTCTGACGGCAACACCGTCCAGGGCACCTACAATGTAGACCTCCCTGACGGCCGCAAGCAGACGGTACGTGTCTTTACATAACGTTCTTATTCAGCTAAACACTATTTATGGTTCACGATGACAATGTTCATTGTAACTGTCAACCCCTGTCAATTCTGGAATGTATTCACTGTTAATACAAATTTATTCTCTCTCCTCCAGGTGACCTATGAGGCTGATCACTCCAAAGGTTTTATTGCCGACGTCCAGTACTACGGCGAGGCCCGACATCCTGACCAATACAATCCCCCCGTCACCTTCAAGCCCCAGTCTTATGGCCAGCCCCAGCCCTCATACCACCCCCAACCTACCTATAACTGAAAGCTACTGCTACTGCCATTACCTTTCACCATGACCAAAGTTACTGTTGTTTAAAATGTGTTACTGTTGACAATAAATTTTAGCTTATTCCATATTCCTTTTCATTATTCTCCAGATAAATTCCATTGAACATTTTAACAAGCAAGTTGCTAAGAACAATCTTTGATAAAACGGAGTGTAGCGACAAGGGGTAAGAAGGAAATTATCCTCTGGTAATGTGTTGTAACTTCTCGTTCTACAGTCTACCGGTGTACGTATAATATCTTAATAACTTAATGAAGAAAATGGCAGCAAAAACTCTACTGTGGATAACTTGACCTAATAGTCCTAAGAGGGATATTCCTGGACCGGGGTGGGGATGACTTATGTCACTTCATCCCTTTGAGATGTTTTTTTTTATCTCAATAAATGTATCAATCAATCACTCAAATCACTAACAACTTAGTACACATTAAACACCTCATGGTAAATTATAATGTTAATACACGTCAACTGTGATAAAGTCCCTTTAGTTTTAGTGACATTGCATATGAAACCACACTTCATATGGTAACCTGGCATGTGAAAAGGCGAAATGCAGTACAGGATCTGATGAATGGAGTAGAATGTTTACCACTTATCAAAAGTTCCTAATGTTATTTAAGATTAAATACCTTCAAGGTTCTGCCTACTAAGTATTAACAGACAGAAAGAGGACAAGATACAACACGCACTCCTTAAACATACTCGTAAAAAGATTTCAGTCGTGATAGAATAGAAGCAACACGCCGCATCCTCACCTTTAAGAAGTGACGACCTTAGTTCGAGACTCACCAGAGATCACTTAGGCTGGATATTTTAATCCTCTTACAATTCTAATATTCTTACAAGACTGACGGTGGAACGTGAGTCTCCCCTGATAGTGCACCACACTGGTGTTTAATACCTAATATATCAGTCGACGATTTGTACTGAGTAAGTGTGACTGATGAATCAAGTGTCATTAAAACAAAGAATAGTGAGTTTATGGGCTACAGATGCTCCGCTATGATCATTCGCGTCTTACAAACACTGAAGGGGAGGATGCCTATGGCCCCATACCTCCCTCCCTTCTCATGTCAGTCAATAAGTCAGAGAGATATACAAAACAAAAACGAAAAGGGTCGGTGGAAAGAGAAAACAGCAGCCGGAAAAATCATTCTACTAAAACAAGATATTCATAGGGAGAAACATCCGGATAATAGCGAACCAGCAACTAATTTCATCAAAATGTCATAAATAATTTTCAATAAAAAAGGGATAGTGAAAACCCCAATATCAGTCAGGAAGCCCAGTGGCAGTTTAATGTAATACTGTAGTGCATTGTCCAAAGCCACCCCCGGGTAGAGAAAAGGAGACGATCTGTATACAAGCTGAATTCAGACGAAAGGTCTTGAGGTACACTATTTTAGGTTAAGAAACAGCTCGAGTCAACAAGATATGGAGAAAGTAAGTACAAAACCAGGATGTATCAACGAGGCCGTTATTAATCCAGAATCAAGATATCCGAGGCTGATCTAGACACACAAGAAACTGGGAACAAACCAATCTTAACATAGAAAATATACAGTATATTTATGTTAAAGAATTCCAGGAATCAGTATAAGATGGCACATACCTAAAACTACTTAGTTTGCACAACCTTGATAAGGTGACGTGGCAGCCCATCAAACGTGTCCCTATGATTGTGTTATACCGATAACAAGGAACATTGTGAATGCAGAACAATTAGGATACAATAAGGATGTTAAAGTACATCAAACTACAACAGAACATCAGCTTCCCACTCACCTTTCACTCAAAGTTTTGTGGCGTTACTGTCAGTAATAATAATTCTAACTTCATAATTTAAGGCGAAGAACAGGTGTGATAATGCACGACGCAACTGACAACATATAATTTTTGTTAATACAAAGAGATAGGAGGTCCATGTATCACACAGCTGCAGGTGAGGGTGGGTGGGTGGTGGACAGGTGAGGGAGGGCTGGCCAGTATAAAGACAGACTCGGGCTGAACACTAGCATCAGTCACCCACAACTAACATCCTCTACAGCATGAATCCTAAGGTTCGTGTTATGAAGTATAACAAACTCCACCTCAGCTAGTAGTTTATTCACATGTCACACCTTCACAATATACAAAAGTTGGACACAAGATCAACTCGATATAGATAAGTTTTTCTTGTTAAAAGGGTCTGAATGTCTTAGAAATTAGTGCTAAAAATAACACCAAATTAGGGACTGGAATTCTACGTCTGTATACAATATGGTAGTACAGAACACCATAATATAAAATTAGCTTCAAGAATGCAATAGTGGTTAACTCTGCTGTTTCTTAACATTAAATAAAATAGGGTGGACTTTCACTGTCTGTTAACAGGACTTCAATGTTTCTCTATGCACAAATTCAGCTGCTCGTACATAAGCATGTTGACAACTCCCTCTAATCATCGTCTTTTCACAGGCAGTTCTGGTGGTGGTAGTGGTGGTGGTGGGCGTGGCTCTTGCTGCCCCCTCCGACCCCTACAGTCACCCACCACAAAACAGTTACAAGGTCAGTCGTATTCTCGAGAGTATTCTAGGTTCTATCAGAATAATAATTATCAACATTAAAATTAAAAACAGTGTACTATATTTTGAAATTAATAGTTCATGTCTAAAAATTCCAAGTTAAGTGAGAAAACTATTTCACAATAGATTTTATGAAATACATATCTTAGCAGCTGTTGGATACCGCAGTTATATTTTAGCTCAAGTTGATATTTTCTTGTAATAAAGAACTTTTGTATACGGTACTGTATGAAAGTGAACGCTAGATATTTACATTAAATATCTTTCACAGCAACCCGGGATGCCACACAACTTCGCCTACACTGTCAGGGACGAGTACGCCGGCACCAACTTCGGCCACAGCGAGGACTCTGACGGCAACACCGTCCAGGGCAGCTACAATGTCGACCTCCCTGACGGCCGCAAGCAGACGGTACGTGTCATTACAGGTTAACACTGATAACAATTATTTAACCCTTTGATTTAACCTTTTCAAGTCAAAGGTTTGATCCATCATTCTCGAAGTATTAAAACATCGTTCTAGAAGGGTTGACTCCATTGATATTGAAACAGTGGCTACCAATTCTTGATTACGTTCACTGCTGATACAATAACCTTCTGTACTCCAGGTGACCTACCAGGCTGACCACTCGAACGGTTATGTTGCCGACGTGCAGTACTATGGTGAGCCCCAGTACGCCCACCAATCAGGTCCCGCCATCACCTTCAAGCCCCAGTCTTATGGATCACCCCAGCCTTCATACCAGCCCCAGCCCTCATACACACCCCAGCCTTCATACCAGCCCCAGCCCTCATACACACCCGAGCCTTCATACCACTCACAACCGTCCTATAACTGAAGGCTACTGCTGTTACTATCATCATTTACCCCGGCCTAGTCACTGTTGTTTTAAATAATCATGATGTTTTGTTGACAATAAAGATTAATATTACCGCATACTGTCTTTCATCATTGTTAACATTAATTCACTTTCTAGAAATGCTATAATCTTTTAACAATCACATTCCTAAGAAGAAGCTGGAAGAAAAAAGAGAAGCCTTGGGACAGTAACTGCAAACTTTGTTCCTATACTCTTACAACGACAATCTTCCCAACGATAACATGAAAATCCCCCGTATCCTGTTTACTACAACACAGTACTGTTAAAGTGATCTGAGACAGAAAGAGGGCAAGATACAACACACTCCTTTAACATACCCATGAAAGGATTTCAGTCGTGGCAGAATAGATGCAACATGCTGCATACATCACCTTTAAGAAGTGAGACTCACCAGATTTCACTTAGGCTGCATATTTTAATACTCTTACAATTCTAATGCTCTTACAAGACTGACGGTGGAACGCGAGTCTCCTCTCATAGTGCACCACACTGGTGTTTAATAAATAATATATCAGTCGACGATTTGTACTGAGTAAAGTGTGACTGATAAATCAAGTGACATTAAAACGAAGAAAACTGAAGATGATAATGAGTTTATAGGATGCAGATGCTTCGCTATGATCGAATAATTAACTTATTTTTAAACTTGATACCAGATGTCTAAAAAAATTTTTCTCCCTTTTAGTTGTTTACACCACCAGGCTTCAACGCTGTGTTGCTCCTTATAGCCTTTGATTACACTGTTGTCATACTAGAAAATTCTTGAAAATGGATCATAATAAAGCTAGTTAATCTTCACTGACTTGAAAAGCCAATTACCCCTGTCACTAATATGAAACTCGTGTGTGTGTGTGTGTGTGTGTGTGTGTGTGTGTGTGTGTGTGGTAACCCTAACTAAGAGAATTGCAACATGGTTATAGACAAAACAAGAAGCACTACAAACTTGATTTATAACCAACACCACATTTTAGAAAGTGTAAGGAAATTTGAGTGACCATCAAACGCAGCTTTCATAAATCTATTGACATTACACTAAGAAACGTCTCAGCGGGTATGGTGTAAGTTGGTAAGCTAATAAAGGCAGGGAGTACTGAAGAATTCTGTGTAAAGTACAAACGGAATATAGCGGCGATAATTAGTTCCTAGTAAATTTGGGTGTTTAAACATGGAATTGTTTCCTCTCTAGTCTTATTAATTAATTACTACATGAACAGGACTATGGAAATCACTCAAAAAGTACAAAAACTCACTCAGTTGTTGACCTACAGTTTGGTGATGATCTAAGTATCTGGGAACTTTCACCTGATGCACAGCAAATTTTTCATTGCGACGGGAATAACGTACTCACAGAAGCAGGCTTAACAATGAACAAAACAAAAAATAAATATCAACTGTAGATAAACCTGGAGCATCGAAATAAAATAAGTTAACAGACCTGGAGTCAATACAACAGGTGATCAAACACTAATAAAAATCTGAACGCGGGCGAACTCCACTAACAACAGAGAAATACAACACAACCAAATGCCATGGATGAGACACCGTGGGAATGGATGGTAAGCTTTCCAAGATGGCTTATGAGTGAAAACCAGGTAAGGAAAGACCAAGAGGAAGATGGAAGGGCGGAGTAGAAGACAATTTGACAGTAAACATTCAGATTAATACAGAGACGAGAGGAAGACGGAAGTGACAACAACTCACACATGAATATAAACATAACTAACATTAACAGAACCACTAATTTCCACTCACCTTTCACTCTTAAGACGAACCGCTATGCCGTTATTATCAGCAAATAAATGCATATTGCACACTCTTGAGGTAGAAAACAACGGTAATGATGATCGACACACCTGCCAACATGTAATTTTGGTTCCTAATGGGACACAGGAGCGTCATGTGTCAAACAGCTGCAGGTGAGTACAGGAGAAGGAAAGGCTGGTCAGTATAAAGGCAGACGCGGGATAGACACAAACATCAGTCACTCACAAGCATCCCTCGTCCGCACCATGATTCACAAGGTTAGTTAGAAGCCTTATAACATAAACTACTTAATCAAGTAGTTTATCCGCACGTCATAACTTCACTTTATACAAGAAAGTTGAAATCACGACCATATTAGTGTAGTAAGATAAAAAAAGGGGGTTAAAACAATTTTCAGTTACAGCAGGACAAAATATTTTACCAAGTACTCGGGTAATGGTATTTCTGTTTTCGATAACTTCAATAACAAATAAAAAACTATTTCTTACTTTTTTCCTCGCACCACATAAAAAAGGTGTATTGTCTTTTACCATTAGGAACACCGTACTGCTCTAAGTACAGAATTTATTTACCAGTGTGGACAACTCCCTTGAACCATCACCTTCCTCCCACAGGTAACTCTGATGATGGTGGTGGTGGGCGTGACTCTCGCTGTCCCCTCCGACCCCTACAGACCCCCACATCAAGGTTACAAGGTCAGTCATGTTTATTATTAAGACGGGTTTATTTTACGCCCTAGGTCTTTATCATACATGACATTTTATGAAATATGTTATAATAAAAAAGCCGGGGACAACGCACTAATATTTGAACTCAAGTAGGTATACTCTTTACGAAAATAATAAAAATAATTGCATCACCTTTGACAGCAACCCGGGATGCCACACAACTTCGCCTACACTGTGAGGGACGAGTACGCCGGCACCAACTTCGGCCACAGCGAGGACTCTGACGGCAACACCGTCCAGGGCAGCTACAATGTCGACCTCCCTGACGGCCGCAAGCAGACGGTACGTGTCATTACAGGTTAACACTAATAACAATTATTTAACCCTTTGATTTAATCTTTTCAAAGGGTTGATATATCATTCTCAAGGGATTAAAACATCGTTCTCGAAGTGTTGATTCCACTGATATTGAAACAGTGGCTACCAATTCTTGATTACGTTCATTGCTGATACAATAACCTTCTGTACTCCAGGTGACCTACCAGGCTGACCACTCCAACGGTTATGTTGCCGACGTGCAGTACTATGGTGAGCCCCAGTACGCCCACCAGTCAGGTCCCGCCATCACCTTCAAGCCCCAGTCTTATGGATCACCCCAGCCTTCATACCAGCCCCAGCCCTCATACACACCCCAGCCTTCATACCACCCACAACCATCCTATAACTGAAGGCTACTGCTGTTACTATCACCATTTACCCCGGCCTAGTCACTGTTGTTTTAAATGTTTTTGTTGACAATAAACACATAGCTTACTGCATATTCCCTTTCACTATACTCCAAGTAAATTTAACCTCTAGAACTGAGGTTTACTGGGATAGTACCAATATCTGTTGCTGCTGTGTATTATGGCGTGGTGTTGTGTCTGCAATTATGTACAACAGCCTCGTAAAAAATGGGTAAAATTGCTACCTTTCCGTAAATGAACCCTCACAAATAATGCGAGTCTTACCTGTGTAACTTCCCACACACCTATAACATACTGCTACCTAACGTAACATTACAGAATATTCGTACTTTAAGATGGAGGCATATTGTAACATTAAATATTTATTTATTATAATAGATGCGAATGAAGTAGCTACACCTTCATTTACGATGGAACGACTCAAACATCTAATGCTTGCAATATACGTAAATGTAAAGTCAAACTTATATCTAATACCCACTATGTGACTTTCCATTATGAATTATAAACATTACAAGACTAGAAACAGACAATTCAAAGGTAAATCACGAGTAAGCATATAACTTAAACCCTCCATCGTGGAATACATGGAGAGTTCTTACTGTTACTATATTCCCAAAGGTTGTTTAAGAGCAGTGTGAGAACAGGTAGTAACACGCATTTCAATATATTCATGAGATAGACGTTTGGGGTTCGGTAGTTACAAAACCGATAAAGACGCCGAGTACATCGCCTTTAAACATCTGAAGGCCTTAGTCCCGAGACTCACCAGATAACAAAAGGTAAGATTTTCTAATCCTCTTACAAGACACTGATGATGAAATACGTGGCTCTCAACACAGTCTACTGATTTTCATTAATTAATTTCGCTGGCGGATTTTTCACTCACCCATACAGCACTTGAACTTGTACCTGAACTTCCCAAAGTATTAAAAGTAAACAGCTTCTAGTGGATGCAGGTCCCCGCCGCTATAACTAGTGACCCAAGAAGACAAAACAATTCCTAACTTCCCACAATCTGAAAGACAAATAAAGATCATCTAACTAACAGGAGAGGTTTAATGCAACACTGAACCGGTTATGCTTAAGTCATTCTCAGGGTATCACGTTCAAGATTCGAATGGACGGACGCACACACACACTGACGGTAATTCTTGGTGTCTCCCCGTTAAGCGACAGAGAGCATAAAGACTAATTATCTCTGTAAAGGCACAATGGCTCTACCCGGGAGATTAACCACGTCAAACTTAACCAAGGACAATGGCATTTGGTAATATCCGTAGGGTTCTTTGTTCCTACCTCTTTCTCCCTCCTTGGTGTCAAAGATAATGACCAATACCTACATTGTGGCCGAGACCAGGGTTACCGTGCGTGGCAGAAGAGAACAAAAGTTATAACAGTATGACACGCAGGGAAGCAGTCACGAGAGGTATGTCGTCTGCCGTCACCTGCTGCTCGTACTACTGCTCATCCTCCACCTGTTGCTCGTACTACTGCTCATCCTCCACCTGTTGCTCGTACTACTGCTCATCCTCCACCTGTTGCTCGTACTACTACTCATCCTCCACCTGTTGCTCGTACTACTACTCATCCTCCACCTGTTGCTCGTACTACTGCTCATCCTCCACCTGTTGCTCGTACTACTGCTCATCCTCCACCTGTTGCTCGTACTACTGCTCATCCTCCACCTGTTGCTCGTACTACTGCTCATCCTCCACCTGTTGTTCCTCCGGGCAGTTTCTGTTGACTCTACCCATTGTTTCTCTTACCCTTCCAAAGTAAACATAACAATACATGCCCCGGGACTCGGTAACTCCTTCCCGTACTCTGGGTCAGCCGGGCACCTCCTCTAGACACTGTTGGTCACCTGGGTATCTCCGCCAGGCTACAAGCTGAATTTGTCTGATCGTAAAGGTCCCGGAATGGAAGCACTGAACCTCCATAAAAACTCAGGTAGGAAAAAAACATGTCGGTCTAGGGTCAAGTTGTGTGTACAATAGTTAGAAGAAAAAAAACTAACTAACAAAAAAGCATAAGTGTTAATCAAAAGCGGTGTCAGTGCTGGCTGGTCAAAAAGTTCCGGTCAAGAATGTTGCAGTATACCACAGACCTGGCTGACTCTAGTCTACTTGAAATTATTATCTATAAACACCCCCAAACTTAGCGAAGGCAGTGACGTGTATCTCTTATTAATGTATACGTCGCACACAAACTTCATTAGTAAATTAATTATTTTAGGAATAAATTACATGGTATTGACTTTACACAATTAAATTTTTCCTCACTAATTAACACAATAGTAATTTTTTATACTCATTAACTCATAATTAATTTCAGTTAATTACAAAAATTCTGCCCCCCCTCAAAAACATAAAACAAATCATAAATCTCGTCGGCACAAAAATTTCACTCGGCTACCAACATGTCGAAGTTCCTCGTCTCCACAACACAACGTCAACTTCGTTCATCCTTCCCTGGTGTCCTGCCATAAGTGTCCACAACAACAACAACAGCCTTTTTCATCTGTGGCTAACTGACCCTATATAGTTAATATCTGTTGTTGGATCTGCCTCTTGGGTCTTCCTTCACCGCTGTTGTTGATCCTGTGTTAATTTCCACTCGTTATTCCTGTGTTAATTTCCACTCGTTATTCCTAAATCTCCCATATCCTTCTTAATCACGCCTCTCCATCTCATTGTGTCTTTCTCTACTTTGCTTTTACCTTCCACTGCTTTCTCACTTCTCACCTTAATTAACTTTATTTTCTGCTCCTCGTTAAGCAACAAATGTGACAGGTAGAAATGGAGTGTAATCAGTTGGAGCGCTCCCAGGTAGTCGACACGAGGGAAAGCAGCAACGACAACTAGAAATTGGGAAGGAAGAAACTTTAAACAACTGATAAATTCCAACAATTACATAAAAAAAAAATATAAAATAATAATTGTTATTTTATCACAATGCCATTTCTGTTCGCCTTTAGTTAGCTCAATTGTGACAGACTTTCTTGAACAATTAAGATTTTAAAAGAGGTGAATTTAGCACTAATAACAGAAGAGCAACTTTCTACCTACCTTTCACTCCTTAAAATAGACTGTCAACTGGCTCACACCCGTAAAACTCGACAGTTTCGCCATGTTGTTTAAGACAGAATGGACGTGATAATGGCACAGATACGTAATTTCTCGTATACTTGGACATAAGGCTGACACCCATCATACAGCTGTCAGAAGGATGGCAGCAGGTGTGCAGGGTGAGCGGCGGACAGGGAAGTAAAGGAGAGGGAATTAAGAGAAAGAGAGAGGAAGGTTAGTATAAAAACACACACACTGAACACAAGCATCAGTCACCTACCAGCGACACTCCCTCCACAACACACAACATGGCTCCTAAGGTTTGATATAATACATTACATAAAAAACCTCTACAAACAACAAAGAGTGAAGGAACAGAAGAACGAATGTTAAAGTTATGATATCAATTGACACTGGGCGACGTTTGAGTCCCCAGAACAAAATACACTTGACAGTCTATTATGTTATATTACATAATTTACATATTTACTTAAGTACCTACGACTATTACACAAAAAAATAACTAAAACATATTCGTACACCCAATACATACAATATTAATCATTATCCTTACCTGAAGTTCTAAAATAAATTTCGCACAAAGGGCTGACCTGACCTGACCTAAACGTACTGTACAAAAACAACCTCGTGATGTACGGTATATACAGGCTGTCAACACCATTCATTAAATACCAGCTCTCCCACAGGCGGCTTTGGTGATGGTGGTGATGGTCGGCGTGGCTCTAGCTGTCCCCTCCGACCTCTATGGCCCCCCACCCCACCACAACACTTATAAGGTTAGTTTTGTTTTCTGTGAATTACATAAATTAACCACAACGTTTATAAATATTTTATCTTGGAGCACATGAATACTTATTGTTTTCCTAAATGAAATAGATTAAAATATACGGTATATTTGTGATAGATTTTCGACTATAATATATACCTTCATGTTATATTCACATTTAATGTATCAATTACTTTGCATAACGCAGCAACCCGGGATGCCGCACAACTTCGCCTACACTGTGAGGGACGAGTACGCCGGCACCAACTTCGGCCACAGCGAGGACTCTGACGGCAACACCGTCCAGGGCACCTACAATGTCGACCTCCCTGACGGCCGCAAGCAGACGGTACGTGTCTTTAACACTTAAGTCAGCTGAATACAGTACCAGTAGCGCTTAACACTGAGTGACCAATACTCTCTCTCTACTCACACTGACTCAGTATTAATTAAAACGAAATTCCTCAATTGACTCCAGGTGAATTATGTGGCTGACCACTCCCAAGGGTACGTCGCCGACGTGCAGTACTACGGCGAGCCTCAGCACCCACACAAATACAATCCACCCGTTACCTTCAGGCCCTCCCCCTCATACCACCCTCAACCCTCATACAACCCACCAGCCTACAACTGATTGATCCACCCACTTCAAGATAGTTTACCCCCCCCCCCACGCCTAGTCACTGTTATAATTGTTTTTAAATTTCAATAAAATGTTGCATGAGTTCCTTCTCTTTCAGTACATCCCACCACGGTGTACAGCCTTAACTAAGTCACTTTCATGTATTAGCTAAGGCCTTATTTATAATACACACCAACAAGCTTGCGACTTGTGGACCAACATTACAGGTACCACAGTCACCCAACAGAAACTTTAGAGAAAAAATACAGTAAAGTCAATCCATTGAAGGGCCTACTATAATGTAATGTGTTAAACAACCGTAAACCAACAAATTACTAAAAATAAATACAAATCCCCGCAGCGCCACAGCCAAGTACAAGGAGTCATAACTACACTATAATGACAACAATAATCTTTATCAATAAGCTCACTTTCACATCCCACTTTGTGTTGCTTATACAACACAATAACATTCTGTATACTCAGGTTCCCCTCTGGAGGAGACCCAAACCTCACCCCAATATATATATATATATATATATATATATATATATATATATATATATATATATATATATATATATATATATATATATATATATATATATATATATATACTGTATGTAAGCAAGTACTATTCCCTCAAGCAACTCGATTATGGCCATAATTGCCCACAATAAGTTAGGGAAAAGGCCTAATGATCCCCAACCTCTGTGCTCTCCCAGGTACTCCCAGTTCACTACAGAGCTATTATAATGAAGGCAAGTGTAACAACCCCCACCCCTCCCATACACGTTTCTTAAACTATTTTATCCATTTTGTTTCTCCTCCTTTGGGGTTCCGACCATTAAACCAAATTTATTTTGGGACGGTGAACAGTTACAATAGATCCCAAAATCATGACTCCCCGTTAGGGCCAGTGTAGGTACAACACACTGTAATAAGCATTGTCGGCACTGCACTCAGTTGCCTTCACTCACCAAAAATAATAGCTAGGTACTCATTAACACGTGGGTAGATTAGAGTGCAACCCTTAAAACATAAAGAAAGCGTCGCATACACTCGGCCCCCTCACTCTTTTGACGGATAAATTTTGATTCTCTGAAACGCAGATTGAACTCAGCCAAATTTCAAAGGTTATTGGCTACTGACATTCAATAATTAAAGATCAAAATACATCTACATATAAATGTCCAATATGAATTGAGCAATATCAAAGGATTCGATTTTCCAATCGTCCTCGTGGAAATTACACTAACGTTCTAGATATTTCATTATACAACTGATAACATTATAAATAAATAAAAAACACGTAACTAGAAAATCGGTATGATCACTAGGTCGCCGCAGGACACGAGCCGTCAGGAAACTGTAGACGACAAGACAAGATAGGATGATTACTGAAGGGTTACACCACTTTCCTTGAGGTCCTGATATTAATGACCATCATCACAGCCTCATGGCCACCACCGACACTATCCTCCCCTCCAGCTAGGTAAGCGGCACACAATCCCAGGTTTGATCCATAAAGGCTGCTTATGGTAACTGTCTCCTAATGGTGTTTTGAGAACGTATCCAGTTATAAGGCTAAGTGTGTCAATGTAATACCACTTTGAACCATATTTATGCTTTGGTTTTAAGTCAGTCATCTAGATGCATTTTTACATTTACAGTTACGAGAAAACATCACCTCCGGAGAAGCATCAATCCGGGTCCTGCTTAATAATAACTCTTGTACAGTCACTAACTTCTGTTCCTTTACACTCCTATACGAAACTATACCAATCCTCAGTGAGATAACATAGCGTCACCTACGAGTAAATATGAAAGTACAGTCTCGTCCCAGTAGCTCGGAGTCTTAGCCAAGGCGTGCAATGGGACTTAGTGACTACACATGTACGGCCTCTCTCTAACATAACAACACACACACTGTTCACCACAACACCGTACACAAAGGCCAGACAGATCAATACGACAAACAAAACGAGAGACAATTTGAACCAAATGTATACAACAAACAAACAAACAAACCGGTTAACACAAATCATATTTAAGTTTTTATTCACATAATTTACATTTCCTTCCAACATATTTTGAACAATTAAAAGAAACACACACACACACACACACACACACACACACACACACACACACAGAACGTCATACAGTATATAGTTTTAAGTCATATATATTTTGAACAATTAAGACATAGTTATTACCAGAATGTTGTTGTCTGAATACGAAGCCACAAGTCCTGTGTTGCAAAGAACCGGAACCTCTTTGTTCTTGAAATTTGTGACGAAGACAAAGTTTGTTGCTAACCCGACTTAAATAAAAACTTTTTCCCCTTCTCCTTCATATTCTCTCTCCCTGCCTCCCCTTTCTCTCTCTCTCTCCCCTCCCTCTCCTGCTTCCTCATCTCCTTCACACACACACACACACACACACACACACACACACACACACACACACACACACACACACACACACACACACACACACACACACACACTTACTTCCTATTTCACTCTTTCCTTTCTCCTTCACACTCTCTCTTCCTCTATCACTCCATCTTTTCCCTAACTCTTTTAATCTACTTTACTTTCTCACTTTCTCTTCTCCCTCAGGTTCTTTCACTTCCTCCCTCTTTCCCTCCCTTTATCATTCCACAGTGTCTCTCTTCCCCTCACCCTCCTCCATTTCTATCTCCTTCCCCCTCTCAATCGCCCTTCCTCCTTTTCCCTCTCCTCCTCTCTCTCTCTCATTCCTTCCTTTACTTTTAACTTATTCGGAACAACGCACATGAGGTCATCAAGTAAGGGTTCGTGTGTTGGCATGAAGATATTGTATAAAAAACAAAAAAAGACTCACACAATAGACTCACAACTACCCAGCGACAGTCGGTCAAGTTGAGTCTACCGTCAACAGAAAGACTCGCAGACTTCCCTGAAAATCTTAAGACTCATGAGGACGATGACTTAACCCCTCGAACAAAATATTCTTAACCCTTGAGGACGATGACTTAAAATCCCTAAGTGTAATGAATTTGTCTAGTAAGATATTTTAACCCGCCGAGAACAATGACTTAATATCATTGAGTTCAAAGGATCCGGTGAAGCATTTATTGACACACTAACGTATAGCTCAGACAACATTGACACAGGTGAAGAGTCCTGTGTTATGATAAGGCAAGAAAGTAAACAAATAGCCTTTATCGTCACAACACAAATTATCAAATCATAACTGGAGATCTACAAAAGAAATACCATATAATTTCAATCACCAACGTACACATGCTACACTAACGCGACACAACTACGGATTACAGACTGTCTTATGTAAGTCATCTCTGTAGTCAGTTAACCGAGATGTGCAGCCACAAAAAATAGTCAAACTTTCTACACCACCCAAGAACAATGATGAAGGTAAATGTAACAAAAATAGACAAACAGTTGCAGCCTCGACGGTGCATGACTCCTGTAAGTGGGGTTCCTATCCATAATTTGGCTCTCCGTGGCGCCTCCTACTCACACCCTGCAGGAGTCCTGGGCCACTACACATGTCACCCAAGGTTCATCATTACTATATAAGTTTTGAACAATCTCTTCCATATCACTTGACACTTCTCTACTACAACTAATATAATCGCTAAGGTAATATTTCTAAACCTGTCATTTTCTTCCTCTATAAAACAAAAGGTTACTACTTCTTATAGCCACTTACTGCCACAGAGCAAGATGAATCACGTCCCAACATCAGCTAAATTAATTACAAAGACTTCCCCTACTCTGGCTGCCCTGGTGCTGGTGAGTGTGGCGCTCGCTGCCCAGGCTGATCGCTACACTGCCTCTACACATCAGTCCGAGTACAAGCAGGTCAATCCAAGTCATAATTCATAAAGGTTAAACACAAACATATTATCAAGACTGAGGATGATAAATAATAAAATGACTTACGATGAGACTTACTAAAAGACACATTGTTATTGAATTACACTTAACACCTGACACAATCTTCCAGGATGGCATGCCATACAAATTCCAGGACGACTACTCTGGCACTGACTTTGGCCACAACGAAGAATCTGACGGAAGCACTGTCCGGGGCTCCTACACCGCCCAGCTCCCAGATGGCCGCAAGCAGACGGAAAGTTGACTGTTAACTATATGTGAATGCGTGCCCAAATATACAAGGGAATAACGTTAGATAAACATGGTCTCGAACTTTTTCCTTGTAATAGACGGACAGTTTTGTATCTCCCCTTTTTTTAGCTGAACGGCGCCGAGTTACACAAGTTATATAGTTCGTTATTAAAATGTATCCTATATAACAGGTAAACTACGTGGCGGATGACTACAGCGGCTACCAGGCTCAGGTTGAGTATGACTGCGAGGCTCAGTACCCCTAAGAGTACGGCCACCCCCAGACCCCATTTACACCCCATCCGCAGCCCAGGTCATCATACCAGTCCCAGCCCCTCATACCAGTCCCAGCCCTCACACCAACCCAAACCCTCACACCACTAAATCTGTGTCAACTTCAGCTGTAACACCAATAAAAAGGTTAAGAAAAAAAAAATCTTAAGGTACAGTTTTGTGTGTAAATTAATTCAATAAGCAATACTCCCAACAATAGCTTCTCACTCATCATGAGGGACCTTGACGCTTCCAACAATAACACAACCCATAATAATGTTAATGATCCGGGTTGTGTAATATGCTCACCTACCTATGTATGACCACAATAATCTCACACGACTATAAAAAAATGCATTGGTGATGAATCAAGAGCTCAGGTAATAATAGGTATAATCACGTCCTCCTCTATCAAGTTCGTGTTGGTATACTATGGAATTGTTCTAATGTACAAAAATCTGTTTTAAAAACGCAAATCACTCAATTCGGAATACGTGAACATCGCCTCCCTGATTGGCGGTGGTGTACGCCCGGCAGCCAGACGAGGTACGTCCTTACCCACAAGTCTGGCCAACTCTCACACACTGATACAGAAAATGGGAGCCACAGTGGTGATTTTCTTCTCGAGTGATGTAACAAATTGAGATACATGACCAATAATTTGTTGTATTTAGACTCTTACTACAGCAACTGTTTCACCCGCGGCTGACACAAATAACTCATATCAAACACTGTACACTGAATTATTGTTACCACTATTGCAATGCCCACCATCAATATAATTATTATTATTGATACTATCAGTTTATCAGCGTTAGTATTATTACGAAAATTAGTAATAACATTATTACTAGTAGCAATAGTTGTATTTACCTTAATACTCACATTTATCTTGGAAGATGAGTAAACCCCTCGAGTGAGACTAATGTCACCGTACCTGTACTCTAGGAGTGAATCACCTAAAATTAACCACATGGAACCAGTCAGCTTTACATCCCCACAGTGTCCTTAGGTACTGCCATGTTAAGTCACCCGTCTTATTACTGGACGGTATAGGCGGAGACAACTGGTCAATACCTCCCCCAATTCCTGCTCCTTCAGTACATTAGACGTTACCACCAAGTCACTACTAATTATTGCTGTACATTACCCTGTGTCACGCCGGGGCTCTGATAACTGCACCACGTACCTGTAAAGATAAAAGATATGTAAATTTATTATTAGAATTTAGTAAACTTAAGAAAAACATTAATATATTACAATAGTGTAGAGAGAGAGAGAGAGAGAGAGAGAGAGAGAGAGAGAGAGAGAGAGAGAGAGAGAGAGAGAGAGAGAGAGTATACACAAGTGAACCAGCATAGAGACAAAACAACGTTTAAACATACACAGCAAAGTATACAAATTAAATTAAGTAAACATAAACAAAGACCTGTAATGCGTATCTGGTTTCTGTGACCGAGGTGCTACTTCGAAAAAAACAAAAAACTTAAAACAAGGTAAATAAGGGGACCCACCAATACAAACTATGAACACTGTTATTTCACTGATACATGTTGTAGCTCCGAGTGGAATAACTTTCTACAACACAAGAACTACCATGAAGATCAAAACAACTAAAATACTCCAACTATTATAGATTCCACGTTGCATGACGACCGTAAGTGTTAGTTGTTGTTATTTTCTATCCACAATATGGCTCCCCGCGGCGCTCCCACCCACAATCTGCAGGAGTGATGACCCTACACACATCTTCCTCAAGGCCCACCATAACTATCACCACAGTATATAAGGCTCCACTAACCTTCCCTCTACATCACTCTCTTCTTTCACTCGACTACAGAAACAACCATCATGATCGCTAAGGTACCTGTCCTCACGCTTGTTATGTGTCAGTAAACAAATTAATAATATCAAATATTCTGATTAATTTATTTTTCATGCATCACGTTAACTTCAGTTTACCGAGTTGCCACATAATGAGTTCCGTGTACCATTAACCACAGTAGAGTCGGTGTTTGCTTGAAATTCAGCTTCAACTATAACCAATAACAGGACCTTAACCCCACAGCCACAATAATAAAGAGTCGGTCAGAACTCTAACGTGTCACAGTCTATGATAAAGTGACTTCAGGTCCACTGAACTACTACTATTAAATTTTTTCTAAGAATAGTGCGTGACAAGACAACCATACATGGGATGTAATCATGTGCTCGCCACAAAATCCTGAATACAACTCATTATAACTTTTTTATATAAAATATGTTCGTCCTTATAAAAGCTGAAAAGACAATATAAGCTGAATATATAAAATCCCCCAAAGAGACTCGTATTACAAGAATATACATCAAAAATCACTCCACATCTTTTTTTAAAAAGACTAAGAATCTTTCCAGTGAAATCCTTCGAGATGATTTCACAGCGAAGAAACTGTGTTGTACGGAAATATGGACGGACTTAGATAGCAAACACTTAATGCCCTCCGGCATATGGCGGGGCATAACAATGTGAAATAATCAAGTCTTGTCCCCCAAAGGTGGCCCTAGTGGTGGTGGTGATGGTGGGCGTGACTCTCGCCTCTCCTCAGCATAACCAGTACGCCGCCCCAACACCTCAGTACAAGCAGGTCAGTCACCAGTCATATTTTCTGTCAAAAAGGAATTATTATGATGTTAAAAAATTATAGTGTTTCAAAAGCTACAAATTTAAGCTCCAAAACACTCTTTCAGGATGGCATGCCATACAACTTCCAGTACGGCGTCCAGGACGACTACTCTGGTACTGACTTTGGTCACAATGAAGAATCTGACGGAAATACTGTCCAGGGCTCCTACACTGTCCAGCTCCCCGACGGCCGCAAGCAGACGGTAAGGCATTTAATTGCTCGTGTTTGTTTCTATCTATGAAAACACGTATTACACCCATATACAGTGCGTGTGTGTGCGCGTATGTGTATATATATATATATATATATATATATATATATATATATATATATATATATGTATACACGAGTAGGATTAAACTATAATACAAACATCACTAAAAAAATCTTGTACACAACAGGTGACCTACGTGGCAGACCACTCCGGCGGCTACCGGGCTGAGGTTGAGTACTACGGCGAGGCTCAGTACCCCTACGAGTTCGGTCCCCCCGTCACCTTCAAGCCCCAGTCCTATGGCCAGCCCCAGACTTCATACACGCCCCAGCCTTCCTACCAGCCCCAGCCCTCATACACACCCAGGCCTTCTTACCAGCCCCCTCAGCCCTCATATAATTAAATCTGTGTAAACTCCATCACAATAATGAAAATCGAACTTTAACCCTTTTGCTGCAATTCCCACACTCACCATTTACTACCGCCAGACGATTTTATTCGGCTTAAGGTAACCTCCCGCAGCCAAGGGGTTAAAAACAATGCTATCTTTTGTCCAGGCTTTTATGAATATTTAATAAAATAAACTACATTCACAATAATTACTTCTTTATTATCATTATAAGACCCACATTCACGTAAGCAGTTTAATCAAAATTCCGGTTATGGTGAAGAAATAATCACTCGGTAACCTACCTGAACGGAGACAACACTACCTTATTACACACCAATAACCAGGAATTTATCAAGTTTGTAGTCTAGTTATAAAATCTCTATTTCTCCTGACAGTTTAAAAACAATGAAGTAAATATTTTCATCGCGTAATTACCCAGCACAAGCTTCATCGGAGACCGTGACCTTTAACGTCCTGTCACACCAAAACTGTAGCATTTAGTTGCACTATATACTATGTGACCTCACCTTGTGACCTTAATATTGCCTACAACAGTTACCCATTTTCTTTAAATTTTGATCATATTATCCTCAGCTAACAAGCAATTAACGTGCCAAGCTTTAATATATAAACCTGCTTTAACAGATATTTTATATACAGAAAGGCACGTGAACACACAAGCCACCTACACCGCTGTGAAATTAATAAATAATGGTAATACTCATAATATTTATTTCTAATGCAGACTGATATTCCAATAGCATCATTGGTAAATAAAATACAGGTAAACACTGTGTGCGTGTATGGTTGAGGAATTATATATATATATATATATATATATATATATATATATATATATATATATATATATATATATATAAAGAATGTCAAGACAATGTCCATTAGGAGACTTACATCCACAGTAAAAGCTTCAAGGGACACGAACACGATTTTAACAAGTTGGAATATAGTATAACCTATTTTAAGTTAGTTTTCACAAGCACGAACAATACTGTTATGTTTGATAACCCATACTCCAGCCGACAACAACGTCTGAATACTATATAAAAAAATACGTACAGCCGCGTGCGCGCTCGCACACCCTCAACAATTAAATCTATATATGGCAATCTAATATTGGAATATGGAGACTGTTGGAAGCCAATAGGTTGTATTAAAAATGTCCAAGATATATTTAAACTACTAATAAGTTAAATTACAAAAACACGAAAACACACTTGTTATTATCAAATTAATTTAAAATAAAAACGAGTAATGAAAGGTTCTATGTTCAAAGCCCTATGCCTCCCCCCCCCACCACCCGCCAAAAAAAAGTCTCTGCCGTATCCAAGTTCCAGCTTCCTACTTCAAAAAATTCTTTATGGCTGACAGGACTCATCTTCGGTGTAACTGGAGACAAACAAACTAAATACTGAAACAATGTATGACAAGAACTTATTATCTATTCCCTTATTGAAACTTCAAGGAAAAGGCAACTGTGTGTCAGACATTTATATATTCCTTTAACATATTCCTAATATAAGGACGCTGAAGGTCATGTCAGTTTGTACCATTTCAATTAATAATAACTAAACAATATTGAAGCATATATATATCAGCAAATGCACAGACAGGCAAATGTCTTAATTAACGCAACAAAAAGTATTCTACGTGTGTGAATGTAATCATTATATTTCTACGTAATTTAATCTGTTGAGGTCCCGGTGGCATCATAGCAGTAAGTGTACACAACAGACGACTCACAAATAATCAAGTTGGAAATAATCCTCATCAATAAATTAAGAGTGAATGCGAGTTTTCGTTACACAAATCCAATCTTCCATTAATCTAAACAGTTGGAATATTTCCAACGTCATTCAAGAACGATAATGAAGCTAAAGACAACAAAAATGAGCAAACAGTTGTAACTTCAATACTGCATGACGCCCCTAAGTGGGTTTCTCTCCACAATTTGGCTCCTCGTGCCCCCCACAGTCTACAGAGCGCTGACCCTTCACACATCTCCCTCAAGGTCCACCATCACTATATAAGGCTCCATCAACCCCTCCTCCACATCATTCTCTTCTCCGACACCTCAACAGAAACAATCAGTATGATCGCTAAGGTATTTCTAGCAACACGTGTGTGCTTGTGAATTATTTGATTAATATATAGTGAAAAGGCTCGAGGTAATACTGCCGGAACTTTACATAAAATACGATGAATTTAGTCATTTCACGGATAAATACAAAGTGTACCATAAACGAACCATCCAGGTGGATATATAGTTTAACCTTAAATTACTGATATGTCGTTAAAATGAATAAGGTTGAACTCTAGTCCCAGAAAAAGTTAGCTACACCTGCGTTTCCTGTCACTGTTAAAAGAACTGACGTTCCGAGAACTGATGTGTTTCATATTGGCCTCAAAATATTAAGTACAAGTCTCTAGAGTCTAGACTCTAGAGACTTGTACTTGTATGATCATTCTAGAGTCTAGAGCATACAAGAATCAAGCTTACAGGCGGAGGTCTTAAATTTCTTTTGCAACATTCATTATTCAAGTTCTGTCCTCAGGTGACCCTGGTGGTGGTGTTGGTGGGGGTGGCTCTCGCCGCCCAGCGCAACTCATACGCCGCTCCTCAACAACAGTCCGGGTACAAGCAGGTCAGCCAAGTTACAATAATTTGTTCCAGCTGAAGGCCGAGACCTAATACACAGATAGTGTAAAAGTCTAATACATGTACTAAAGTACTGTATAATAAAAGTTGGAGCACAAAATTACAATATATAATAGTTATTCCATTACGTAATCTTCCAGGATGGCATGCCCTACAACTTCCAGTACGGCGTCAAGGACGACTACTCTGGCAGTGATTTTGGTCACAACGAGGAATCTGACGGAAACACTGTCCGGGGCTCCTACACCGTCCAGCTCCCCGACGGCCGCAAACAGGCGGTAAGTTGACAGAAAAATTATCATACTAATAATGGCAATAAAAATACAATAGTAACCACAACTGTAACAAAACCAACTACTTGGATCAATGAGAAATATTAAAATGTTCTCACAAATGTGTAATTTGTAAAATCAATCTCGAGCACATAGGACTCTTTTCTTCACATCTATGACTACTTTTTATATCTACTTGCAATAAGTATATTGTGATTTTATATTTAATTCTGATCATTTATGTATCTCAGGTGACCTACGTGGCTGACCACTACAACGGCTACCAGGCTCAGGTTGAGTACTACGGTGAGGCTCAGTACCCCCACGAGTACGGTCCCCCCGTCACCTTCAAGCCCCAGTCTTATGGCCAGCCTTCATACCAGCCCCAACCCTCTTACCAGCCCCAGCCTTCATACACACCCCAGCCCTCATACCAGCCCCAGCCCTCATACCAGCCCCAACCCTCTTACCAGCCCCAGCCTTACACACCCCAGCCCCATACCAGCCCCAACCCTCTTACCAGCCCCAGCCATACACACACCTCAGCCTTCATACACACCTCAGCCTCATACCAGCCTCAGCCTTACACACCCCAGCCCTCATACCAGCCTCATCCTTCATACACACCCCAACCCCAGCCTTCATAGCCTTCATACACACCCCAGCCCCAGCCTTCATACACACCCCAGCCCCAGCCTTCATACACGCCCCAGCCTTCATACACACCCCAGCCCCAGCCTTCATACACACCCCAGCCCTCATACAACTAGAAGGTACGAGATCCAGCGACCGTTCGAACGAGAAAAACAAGTGATCTCCCTAACATGATATTAAATAAAATCATTATTATATAAAACAAATCTTTCCATCAGCCCAAATAAAAACAACGTGAAGCCTGAGTCAAAGCATAACTAATTACACTACAGGTAAAGGATGATGAATGAGATGATGCAAATTTCTTAACATAACAAGTTTATATTTACAGTGAATAGTTTTAAAAATTATATCGGCAGCTTTCACGTATAGATTCTTAAAACAAACCATTTGGGCTTTACAGGACTAGACGAATTAAGTATTATAAGTACATTAACTGGTGTAATATACTACACCAGGTAGCTACATAAAAATCATTAAGAGAATACGATTTAACATTCCATGATAAAGTACAGTTGGCATGTGTAAAATAAAAAGGTTGAAAATTTATATTCTTGAAGCTTATGCACATACTGGAATAACTAAACAAATAATGACTTTTTTTATAGCTAAAAAGTTCTTCCCGGAAAATTTAAACATCTAAATATTGAGCTAAATAATGTTGATAGTACTGACGGTATCTCTATATTATATATCTGTAGACTGTACTGACGAAAATCATATACAAAAACTGAACTGCAGGATTAGTGAAATCAGTCATTGTGCTGACAACTCATGAACTATGAAATAAATTCAAGTCTGGTGTGAACACATGAACTATATAAGTAAAGTCAGTCTAGCAGCTGTCTACTCTTGAGCTGGGTCAGCGTTAGAGTAATCAAATAACTATCCACTTGGAGGGGACAATATCCTACCTGTTGAGACACCCGGGACGAGGGATTTCTCAAACTAGTACTTTTCTCAAGTAATGTCTCTATATTTCTAACTCCCGCTAACGAACACTGAAAGACACAATCTTTCCTCATTTTATGTTACAGCAGAACCTTGATCATCGGTGACCCTGACCTCACGCTGACCTTTAACCTTCCATCATTCAGTCGCACCACACAAATTCACCTCGTCCTCTGATCCTCATGTTAATCTGCCAAACTTTTATAATACAGGTAAATCCTATTCCGAGATAGATTGTCTTAATAAATGCACATCACTGCTTGGGTCAATTAGAAAACAATAAGTGTATTAGGTAAGGCGCTGTGACAATAAAATAATCAGATAAAATTATGTCCAACTCTAATTTTCCTTTTCTTATTAACTCGTAGAAAAATGAATATAAACATTGTATATACGTTATATAAAGAATGTCAAGACAATGCCCATTAGAATAATCGCATATATAAGCTTCAAGGGGCACGAACACGATAAAACCTATTGTAAGATTGTTTATATGCATGAACAAAGCTGATATGTTTGTTAACTCATATTCCAGTGAACAACAATGTCTGAATATTATATAACAAATCTTACGTACAATATAATCCAGTATGAGGAAATGGATACATCTCACTCACTGGGCTGTGTTAAGTGACTAAATGTTCTTACACTACTAATAAGTCAAATCAAGAAAAACTAAAACACATAACTACTCGTGAATTCTTTACCAACTCAAAAGCTGTAGTTTTGTTATTAACATAATTCAAAACATCAAAACGTAGAACTGTATTTACATAATAAACATACATTTTCTCCCCGTGCTAAAATTACTTAAGTACTGCAGTAAAGTGCCCGACACGTGTGAGTTCTTTCACAATTTCCTAAAACAGACAACAAAGTTCTAGCGGCACCAATTTGTACAACTTCAACTAATTGGGAATCAAAGCAGCAAAAGCAAGTATCTATTTTCATGGACAATACCTTAAACTCCATCGTATAATTAGCAACAAGAGAAGAAGCAGATGTGATTAACAAACATATATAGGCCTACTATACAATATGTAGGTTCCTCATGTAAAAATTTAAACTTTTACTATAATTATTTGCCTTGTTGAAGCTGTAATGGTACAACAACATTATATGAACAAATAAGTTAATCACTTTTGATGAATTAAGGAATAAATTTCATCAAAAAAGGATAAATCCAAGAGTGATTTGTGTTGTACAAATCCAATCTTCCACTGATTTAATCAAAGTTGAGTACAGATGCCACACGTGAAATATTTCCAATGTCATTCAAAAGCAAAGATGAAAGTAAATGCATCAAAATAAAAAAAAAACAGTTGTAACTTCAATAGTGCATGACGCCCCTAAGTGGGTTTCTCTCCACAATTTGGCTCCTCGTGCCCCCCACAGTCTACAGTGCTGACCCTCCACACATCTCCGTCAAGGTCCACCGTCACTATATAAGGCTCCATCAACTCCTCCACCACATCATTCTCTTCTCCGACACCTCAACAGAAACAATCAGTATGATCGCTAAGGTATTTCTAGCAACACGTGTGTGTTTGTGGATGATCATATTAAAATATAAAAGTTTAAGATACTGTTACAAGTATCTTCTTTACATAAAATGTCATAATTACTGACGAGTGAATTAATGTGTTCCACGTTCCAGCCTTCAAGTTACGAATTTTAATGCGAAATTATTAGTAAAACGTTAAGCTCAATGAGCTCCAACGCTATCCAAACGAAGTGCGTACCACCTACTGTACTGTACGTCTCGTCCTCATAATGTTAAATGACGAGGTCAGAGAAGCTTGAGTAGGTGATACAATAATGATCATAAAATTTACGAAAAGTCTCAAGAGGATGTAAAGGATCAAGCTTATGAGAGGTGGCTCTAAAATTTCTTTATATAAAACCCACTAATCAAAGTTCTGTCCTCAGGTGGCCGTGGTGGTGTTGGTGATGGTGGGAGTGGCTCTCGCTGCCCAGCGCGACTCCTACACCGCTCCTCAACAACAGTCCGGGTACAAGCAGGTCAGTAAAGTAATAATATAGTGTTATAGCTAAACATGACTGACATCTCGTACAAAAACGTGAAAATTTAAATGTACTTTACAAATTATGAGCAGTGTTTTGTATAACATCAGGTGGAGCAGTACAATACACATTACTGATCCATTACACAATCTTCCAGGATGGCATGCCATACAACTTCCAGTACGGCGTCAAGGACGACTACTCTGGTACTGACTTTGGTCACAACGAGGTCTCTGACGGAAACACTGTTCGGGGCTCCTACACCGTCCAGCTCCCCGACGGCCGTAAGCAGACGGTAATTAGACCGAAACTTTATCGAAACTATACTTATATGAAACAGCTACAAAACTTGACTGGGATAAATTTAACTTGAGCTATTTACAAAGATGTATTTGGAAAAATCCTTGTCCTCTGCACACATGTGGCTCCTTCAAATTTAACATCAACTTGATTATCATAGAAACGTTTCATCATGATTTTTATATTGTATTACAAGTCCTTTGTACCTCAGGTGACCTACGTGGCTGACCACTACAACGGCTATCAGGCTCAGGTTGAGTACTACGGCGAGGCTCAGTACCCCCACGAGTACGGTTCCCCCGCCACCTTCAAGCCCCAGTCTTATGGCCACCCCCAGCCCTCATACACACCCCAGTCTTCATACACACCCCCCTTCATACACACCCCAGCCTTCATACACACCCCAGCCTTCATACAGCCATACACCCCATACACACCCCAGCCTTCATACACACCCCAGCCTTCATACACACCCCAGCCTTCATACACACCCCAGCCTTCATACACAACCCAGCCTTCATACACGCCCCAGCCTTCATACACAACCCAGCCTTCATACCACTAGAAATCCAACAGCGACCTAATGCACGAAAAAAATCCCAAGATCAAGGTTATAATAAAAGCATACAAAATATAACTAAGTTTGATTTTACACCATAAACTAATACAATATTGTGAATAACTGTATCAACACTAAACCCATATTAATATTGGGAGTAAGATTTGTGAATAAAACCAAATGGAACCAATCATCACTCACAGTGTTAAAATTTACGGGTTAGTTCTCGAGATACTGATATGACAAACTTTTTAAGAGAAGCCTTTTAATTGATCAATACTTAGAGAACCATGGTCAGGCGTAGTAAGGGGCACTATAAATAAATAAGTATAAGCTAGAAAACGTTAATGTCTCCCTGCCTAACACGGTTTACCTTTCAGCAACTGTAACCAAGTGTATGAAAGATGTCAACCACAATAATAAATTTTAGTATTTCAGGACCCCATTAGTCGATGAAATAAAATAATTGAAAAAAGTAAATCAATAAATTTTACAAACTGAAAGTAAGGAAATACATCACTAGAAGTCATCACTGTTACCAAGATATAAAATTATTTACATATAGTTCAGAGTTATTTAAATCTATCTATATTAAAAGGTAAACTCTAGAAATATGTTTTATTTGTTCGTAAATTTATTTTTTAACAATAATTAATATTCCAACTAATTGACTTAAAAGTAATGAGGTGGAGTGAAAGAAGTTTGTCTGGGTGATACCGTACCATGATACAAGTCACAATACGATGATAATGTAAAGTGATCCTCCTCGGACGGGGGCAAGTTGAAGGTACAATACAAGTCACGAAGAAAAGTTCCTCTCAATACCTCTTCGAAATAACCAAACTCCAATGAGACACTGCATCACTCTCTATTGGTAAAAATGCAGTTCGGAGACACGTTCCAGCAATTCGGTGTCTTCTGTGTAAAAGAACTTTTGTTTGCGACTGTGGTTGCTGAGAGAGGACCGAAGGACTTTACAAACTCGTAATCTAATAGTGCAGACCTCCGTGTAGTTTCTCTCCAGCTTAAAAACATTAAAACAACACAGGATTTGCATCATTTAATCGCATCGCGAAAGCTTGAACAGTAACCTTGACCTCACCAAGTTAACAATGTTGTGTTAATATTAATTTGAATTTCACATTATTATGACCTTTGACCTCTCTAAAACTTAAATAATTTCGCCCTCTAGCAACACATACTCGCAACATTACAACCGTTATAAAAATCGGTAAATCTATTTTTTAGGTATTCTGCAGCTGAACACACACACACACACACTATGTTGAAATGCACTGTAGTTTGAGCTTTTCCCCATCTAGTTATTATATTATATATCTTATTTGTATCACTTATGTTACTTGTATATTATTTGTAATTCGAAACCCATTCCCCAAATATGTAACTGTATATTTTCAGCCTTCTGGCTGCCAAGCTATTTCAATAAACCGTTAATTATTATTATTATTATTATTATTATTATTATTATTATTATTATTATTATTATTATTATTATTACACACACACACACAAGCGCGCGCGCGCGCGTATTGTGCCGCCTTTGAACCCGTGAGATGATCCCTTCAATGTAATCATATCAGAGAGCAGAAGAACCTTCCTACCACGGTTCACCACTGCTGCATTGAGCAAAAAAGACATCGTACTTTCGTTATTTTTAACGTTAGACATAAAGGCCCGCACACAACAGGGCCACAGACATCTGGACGACGTCGGGCGCATTACTCTTAATGAAGTATAATCATTTCCTATTAACGCAAAATTGTAGACGATTACGACCACAACATAGTGTCATATATTAACATGAATTAATGATATAATTTGTCTTCATATGAATTCATTATATTATGATTGGCCTTCTGATGACTACTATAATTACAGACAACAAAATATCTCGGAATAGTAAATTGCTCTCTCTCTCAAGAAATAATATGACGTATCTAACATTTGGTTATCAACACATACGCTACCTGTCATGAGATTGAAACTTCCCGATATGCTCGCTCAAACATATCACTTATTACCGAAATACTTTAAATGAAGCAATTTGATAGGAACATAAACTAAGATCTTAAAATATGCAGTACGGGACCTAATACAATCTCTCTGGACACTAATTTAGTTATGTATTCGTCTTGCTCCAATTAGTACAATAGTAATTACACATAATGAAACGAGAAGCAAACATCAACAACAAAAGTTAATTATGTATGAGTGTTTTTTATGCTTTTAGAATATTTCCAACGTCATTCAAAACAAAGATGAAAGTAAGATCAACAAAATACAAAAACAGTTGCAACTTCATTAGTGCATGACGCCCATAATCGGATTTCTCTCCACAATTTGGTTCCCTGTAACCCTCCACACATCTCCCTCAAGGTCCGCCATCACTATATAAGGCTCCATCAACCCCTCCTCCACATCATTCACTTCTCCGACGCCACAACAGAAACAATCAGTATGATCGCTAAGGTAATTTTAGCAATACTTGTGTGTATTTGTGCGCGGATTTATTTATAGACGAAACGGAACTTCTTTACATAACACAATGATGAATTCAGTTATTCAACGGATGTAATGTACATGCTTCCACGTTCCCTCTATCAACGTGTGTACAGTATTCAGTTTGAACCAATTTTATTAAAAAACCATTAAAATAAGTGTCAGATACACCTAATGTGTCCCATCTTGTCAGCCTTTAGTGACGATATGCTGTGTAAGTATCCTAAGTGGTCACAAAATATTAAGTGCAACAAGTCTCTATAGGCGACGGCAATAAAATCGTCAATATAAATCCCAATAATCAAGTTCTGTCCTCAGGTGACCCTGGTGGTGATGTTGGTGGGGGTGGCTCATGCTGCCCAGAGCGACTCATACGCCGCTCCTCAACAACAGTCCGGGTACAAGCAGGTCAGCCAAGTTATACTGTTAATGTCGAGAAAGACTAGTGTACCGATAACTAATTTATAAACATTTTCATAAATATAAGCATACAAGTACTACCTCCCTGCTGCTGCAGCTTTCAGTTACAATATATATTACTACTCCACGATATAATCTTCCAGGATGGCATGCCATACAACTTCCGGTACGGCGTCAAGGACGACTACTCTGGCACGGACTTTGGCCACAACGAGGAATCTGACAGAAACACTGTCCGTGGCTCATACTCCGTCCAGCTCCCCGACGGCCGCAAGCAGACGGTAAAATAACCAAAAAATTCTCAATTTACTCTTAAAAATTCAAAATTAATATATTTTTGAAAAGTCGTCTCTTCTGCATACATATGGACCTTTCCTTCCTATACTCTAGCAAATCAACCTTTTAAAAGATTATCCCAAAAACGACTTTTATCGTGATGTTTAATCTTTATTAAATGTACTTTTTATCTCAGGTGACCTACGTGGCTGACCACTACAACGGCTACCAGGCTCAGGTTGACTACTACGGTGAAGCTCAGTACCCCCACAAGTACGGTCCCCCCGTCACCTTCAAGCCCCAGTCTTACGGACACCCCCAGCCCTCCTACCAGCCACAACCTTCATACCAGCCCCAGCCATCATACCAGCCCCAGCCATCATACCAGGCCCAGCCATCATACCAGCCCCAGCCATCATACCAGCCCCAGCCATACCAGCCCCAGCCATCATACCAGCCCCAGCCCCAGCCATCATCAGCCCCAGCCATCAGCCATCATACCAGCCTCAGCCCCAGCCATCTTACCAGCCTCAGCCATCTTACCAGCCTCAGCCATCATATCCTCCCCAGCCTTCATACAGCTAAGAGTGCACCTGCGACCAAATGAACAAGAAAAAAAAACAGCTTCATTTGTAAGATCATGATTGGTATTGGTCATATTCCAAATAAAAGATTCTTAGATAAATAAGACTTTTGTATGCACCTAAAACGAATATGCTGTCATGGATGGCTGTGCCTGTACTTAATGACATAACGATGCTGAGTAGAACTAGTAAGGTAATGTACAAGTACGGTATCTTATATTATAATAATTGTATATCTCCTGTTAACAGTTTTCGAGCTATTGATTTCAACAGCATGGCAAAGTTAAGCTCCTTAAATGATCACAGTTGAACATTCAAAGGCTAGGTATGTAAGAAACCCTAACTGGTGTAATATGCTACAAAATAACGCTGGTCTATCAAGTAATTCAATTAATGCATTGACGTTCTCAATCACGAATATACAATATAATATTTCATGACACACACAAGTCGACATGTATAAAATTTAAACAGAAACAATAACAACTGACTGTAATGTATATCATCAATGGGGTGTTTTGTCTCTCTTATATAACCCATTTACACATAATTCGCTACTTTATTAATATCTATGAACTGGACTCAATTTTATTATTATAGTCCACAAAAAAATTATTATACCAATTAAATAGCTTTAAAAATAATATGAATCAATTGTAGTGATTGAAGTACCGATATGTCTGAATGCTAATGTCTCAAAACGATATACAAAGTGATTATCTCAGGATGGGGACAAGTTCAGACACAATACCGGTCAGTCACGAAGAAAAGTTCCTCTATATTTCTGTTCGAAACTATACCAACCTCAAATGAGACACTAAAGCGCCATCTATCGGCAGACAAACAATTCGAGCACTCGTTCCAGCAGTTGTTTCAGGCGCGTAAAGAACTTTTGTGGCCGCTGAGACACTAAGCAGTATACCCAAGGACTTTTATGCTCATCCAAGTATGCAGTTATGTGTATTTTGGCCACCACTTTAGAAACATTAAAACCACACATATTATACTTTAATTTAACCGCATCGTGCAAGTATAAACGCAAGCCGTGACCTTATCTTGATATCTACTAACGCACCAAAATGATACCAAGTTTGCCAAATTGTGCATATAATGCTCTTGGATTTCACATTACTATTATCAATGACTTACCTGCTAGATAATTATATCAGTTTGTCCATTAGCGACACAACATGCCCAGAATTACTGTGGTAAGTTAGCTCGTTTAGGAGTCACTTTGAATCTCTCTCTCTCTTTCTCAAACACCAATCTGAAGTATCTAATAATAAGCTATGAAAAAAGATACAAAACCCAACGGCATTAAAGTTTTGGCTAAATATTTTCTGACTTATAAAAAATTATCGCCGAAATACTAATCACAGTAAAACATTTTAATATCAAAATATGTAAGACCTTAAAACACCTTACACTGTATATCAAACTGTGGGTCTGGAGACTTCTTTAACTATACATCAACTGCATTCCTTTCAGTACAATGTTAACTCACTGGTTAAGATGACTAAACCTCTTGAGTTCACTGACATATTCCTTGAGTACGATGTCTTAACCCATTGAACTCAATTAACAAAATATCATCGTACTCAAAGGGTTAAAAAAATCATAAAAAAATTTCTTAAGACAGACGTGAAGTTTTAATTTTTCTATAATATTGTCATCACAGATATTGTCAGAGTAATAATTTCTATATGTCCCATAATTAACAAAACAGTCGTGCTAAAATAATTGGTTCTTAAAATGTTAATTACAGGTGGGAGCGAGATTATAAGCAAATAAACAAAAGCCCTATTTATCATAAGAAAATGTTTTGTGTGAGAATATAACTATCAAATTTCTATTCATCTACCTGTTGGAAGCTGTAGCTGTATCATAACAATAAGTGTACACAGTGAATAACATTTACACATGAGGAAATGGGAAATACATTTAATCAATAAAATTTAATATCGTATAAGTGTCATTCAGTCTGTTGTACAAATTTGGTCTTGTCCAAGCTATGTACTCCCAACTAAGATATTCCCTACGCCACTCAATAACAATGATGAAGGTAAAAGCAACAAAAATAATCGCTGTAGCTTCAACAGTGCATGATGCCACCAAAGGGGCTCAGGCCTTCACTTGGTTCACAGCCATGTCAATATTGTTGTTATTGTTCAGTATATTTTTCTGGTTAAATAATCTGTTTCAATATCAACGCCCATAAGTGGGTTTCTCTCCACAATTTGGTTCCTAGTGGCCCTCCCACCCACAGTCTACAGAGCTGACCCTCCACACATCTCCCTCAAGGTCCACCATCACTATATAAGGCTCCATCAGCCCCTCCTCCACATCATTCTCTTCTTCGACGCCACAACAGAAACAACCAGTATGATCGCTAAGGTATATACACGCCATATTTAGTGGACACTACTGATAAAACAAACTATAATACAATTTTAGGGATCTTCTCGTTAAAATATTAAATATTGCTCTACGGTGGCTGGACATGAACATGTTCTTCGTTCAAATCTTTAGTGCGGGAACAATGTCTAGCTCATAATTCAGTTTGAACGTTATCGAGAGTATTGCTTTGTGACTGAATCAAAGAGTTTCACCAACGTCCATAAAAGGAAACTGCCATATACACCTTTCATATGGCAACCTGTCAGTAATTATTGAATTCAGACCCACGTAGATGATGTACAGTTGATTAAAAATAAACAAAAAATCTCAAATCCTCAAGTATGGTAAGTCTTGACAATAAGTAATAGAATCAAGCTTTAAGGAAACGGTCATTAAATTCTCTGACGAACATCCTGTAATCAAGTTCTGTCCTCCTCAGGTTGCCGTGGTGGTGGTGTTGGTGGGGGTGACTCTCGCCGCCCAGCACAACTCATACACCGCTCCCCAACAGTCCGGGCACAAACAGGTCAGTAAAGTTATACTGTTACTGTTAGAGAAGTCTAACATGACATATGCAAATAGTCATAGAGTATATGTATATATATATATATATATATATATATATATATATATATATATATATATATATATATATATATATATATATATATATATATATATATATATATATATATATATATATATAAATACCAGGTAATACTACTTCATTATATAATCTTCCAGGATGGCATGCCATACAACTTCCAGTACGGCGTCAAAGACGACTACTCTGGCACTGACTTTGGCCACAACGAGGAATCTGACGGAAACACTGTCCGTGGCTCCTACACCGTCCAGCTCCCCGACGGCCGCAAGCAGACGGTAAGATGACTGAAAGCATGTCGGAACTACACAAAGCACTGCAACTCTTGCATGAGATATATATTTTTTATCAAATTTCAAATACCATATACTGTATTTATTAAGCCATTATTTATGAATTACTTACAAAATTTCCATCATTTTATTTTTTTGTTTCCTCATGAGTACTGTGCATCTCAGGTGACCTACGTGGCTGACCACTACAATGGCTACCAGGCTCAGGTTGAGTACTACGGCGAGGCTCAGTACCCCCATGAGTACGGTCCCCCCGTCACCTTCAAGCCCCAGTCTTACGGCCACCCCCAGCCCTCATACCAGCCCCAGCCCTCATACACACCTCAGTCCTCAAACACACCTCAGCCCTCATACACACCTCAGCCCTCATACCAGCCCCAGCCCTCATACACACCTCAGCCCTCATACACACCTCAACCCTCATACCAGCCCCAGCCCTCATACACACCTCAGCCCTCATACACACCTCAGCCCTCATACACACCTCAGCCCTCATACACACCTCAGCCCTCATACCAGCCCCAGTCATCATACCATTAAGAACTATCACCCTCCAACAACCGCACGAACCAGACAACAAGCTATCTCCAGATGTACTGTGTATATATATAGTAAAATAAACAATTTTAAATAATCAAAATTACTTTTTATAAGCCAAAATTAACCTATTGGTAAAGGATGGTGAGTAAGACTGGTAAAGTACAAATATATCTCACTACTTATTTTTTTATGGATTGTCACTAGCGGTCAAGAAACTGACATTAAGTTCACAAGGATTTTTTGGTTTACATTTGGAATTTCTATGTCTTGGCCTCTTAACAATAATAGAATTACAAAAACGAGTGTCAAATGTATCGATATAACGTCAAACCATTGAGTGCAGCTCTTGGTCTGTCTCCGACTGTCATGGTGTAAAACAGCTACCAATGACGAAAATACATTTTAACATTTAATGATGCAGGATTGTCGGTTGTATATAAAGAAACAGTTACAAAGTATTGAGTAAACCTGTACACTGTTACAAACAATGGGGTGAAAATCATCATAGGACGTCATCATTAGAGATATACAACGGTGTTAGCGTTTAATATATTTGTTTCATGTACAGTCCTTACTTCGAATGATACTGCCATAGCAATTGTAACTCTACTGCTGCTATTAAACACATTATTATGACAACGAAATGGAAAGATAAAATATAAGTGACTAGCAACATCAGTGATTGAAGTTTGTTTGTGATGTTTCAACTCGTAAATGACTTATAATTAATGAACCAATGAAACCTTTCCTCCACGGTCTATTATTTACCTGACCGACTAACTCAGGCCTATTTGATGACCTCACTTCATCCTTTGGCTTATCACATGTCACAAATAACTGTATAATTGGAGACGTCTGTACAGTACCTTAAGAATATAGTTCAGGTCAACTTGCAAAATTGTACGAGTAATAAGTTCATTCGGCAATCTTGTCTACCACTTTCTGGTGTGCTGGAGTATCGTGTGTCTCTGGCTAAAGAAATTCTGTAAAAGTTACCAACATCACAAAGATATTAACTGCGACAGATTCGGTTGAAAAATTCACCACTGAGGCGACTCGTTCCCCACCAACACGAACATTCACTACCCAGCGTATCTCACCTTACAAGGGTTAGTAATTGTTGACGGAATTTGATTATTTAGGTTAATGTGATCCCTATTTGACTAATGATATTCTGATCTACCTGGAAGAGGGGCCATGACAGTACAAGCTGGGACACCAACAACCAAGGACTTACCATGCTGTTAACTCTCTATATTTCTACGTAATTTTCTTCACTACGATGCCAACCTCCTGAGTTCAAGAGATTAGTACTGAGTAAGATATGGTGATACATCAGTAAAATGACTTCATCGCTTGAATACAATGCCTTAGTCCTCTCAATAGGATAAATTATTTTTTTAAGGATAATGACACTGTACCATCGTAACTGCTGAAACACACCGATATCTCAATTAATTTTATTGTCATTTAATCCCATCAATCAAGCTTAACTGATCTTGACCTCACCTTGGATATAGACCTTTCACTTCACAACTTGTAACATTAATACTTTAAACTCAACCTATGAGACTACTTTTAACTTCCGAGTTAGATAGCCAGTTACATTTCCTCTAAAAACAAACTATTTATATTAATTTACAGCATCTAACATCAGAGATATTTAAGCTTCCTGACATCAAAGTAAAAAAAACTTTTCCTGGGGAATTATATTCACCACCTTACGTTAACACAACAAAAAATAACACGTCCATTGCTTCATTGTTACCTAACACCATTATGTCGTCCTCCCGCCTGCAGGTGTGCTGTGCTCACCAGCGGCAGGGAAGGTTCATCACCACCCTCACTATATAAGGCTCCACACACTACTTCATGACATCATTGGCTCGTCTGCCTTCACAACTACAACTTGTCTTCTCATCAGAATGATCTCCAAGGTAATCATGTTTGATACGTCTTTTATTATTTCTGTGAACATTTCGGAATATCAAGAAATAATTAATATAGTGAAATAAAACTGGAAATGGGTACCATTGACCTGACGACTCTTTGGGGACAGGGTCCGCGCTGCATACGAAGACTTCTCCCGTCCTGAACTACTCATGCACCAATTAACATTAATTTACAGATACAGTCACCATATATTCATGCCCAATTATACATATTAATTTACACGCCATAAAAATACTGACAAACACATCATAGTCGTGAGAGGAGGAATAATGGGGACATTTTACCTCCCCAGGTCACTGTGGTAATGGTGTTGGTAGGCGTGGCTCTGGCTGTCCCCTCCGACCTTCCATACGCTCCCCCAGAACCACAACCTACCTACAACCAGGTAAGTCACTCACGCACTATGTCCTCGCTATGGGCCCCACTGTAACCTATAGAGTCAGGGCTCAACATGATCTTGTATAATGTGTATTGTGCACCGTCGAGGAAATAAAGTAATTCATCTTAAAACGGAAATAATTTGTTGAAATGTTTGCTTAAAAATAAAAAACAGTACACTTAATACAACTCCTTTAACATTACCAACAATAAATAAGGATTACAATTACTTAAAACATCCTCATAAACATTTACATTACAGCATTTATGAGTGATCCATGTACCTAACACCCACGACAATCTTACAGGGTGGCATGCCGTACAACTTCGGATACGGCGTTCAAGACGAATACTCCGGTACCGACTTCTCCCAAAACGAGGAATCTGACGGCAAAGTTGTCAGGGGCTCCTACACCGTCCAACTCCCCGACGGCCGCAAGCAGACGGTAAGTTGACGAAAAAAAATCACACTTATCCTGGTTTATTAATTAAAAAACTACAAACCACCTCTGGCGTAGTAACTTTATTCATCACTAATAAGCAATATGTCGAATTTGTTTTACATGCAGATGGTACCAAATACTGTATATTTCGACCTAATTTTTTTTTTCTTTTATGAACCTAAATACAAAGGTAAAACATTTTAGGCACTTTCACCTAATCCTTCTATGTCTCAGGTGAACTACGTGGTCGACGGCTACAGTGGCTACCAGGCTACTGTCACCTACGACGGCGAGGCTCAGTTCCCCGATCAGTACGGTCCCCCCATCACCTTCAGGCCCCAGTCTTACGGCCAGTCCCAGCAGTCATACCAGCCTGAACCTTCATACCAGCAGGAACCCTCATACCAGCAGGAACCCTCATACCAGCAGGAACCCTCATACCAGCAGGAACCCTCATACCAGCAGGAACCTTCATACCCGACCGGACCCTCATACCAACAGGAACCTTCATACCCAACAGGACCTTCATACCAGCGCGAACCCTCATACCCAACAGGACCTTCATACCAGCCCGAACCCTCATACCAGAACCCATATCAGAATGAACCTTCCTACGCATAACATTTTAATATAATACCAAAGTAATGTTCCACAGCTATTAATGTTTTTGTTGACATAGAAAAAATAAAGTTTTATTTCCTCTATATACTGCCAGTATCTCACCCACAAAACGTCACTATAAAAACAACGATACAGTGAACCACTTGACCGGGGACAACACTACTGTACTTACTGAGACACGCACAGACAAGTGTGTAATTGGATAATTTTTATCCAAGCAGATCCCCCTCTATTCCTGCCTCCAGTTCAAACTCACTGATACACAACTGATCCAATCTATTTACACTCTAATAAATATACAAGATACCTTAACCTCTCCCTCTACTCTCTGACCTTTTGAACGAGATCTCACACCAGTTTACTAATAATTGTTCAATATTCCACCTTAACAAGCGATCGTTATCTCACCATGATCTTCTTTATTTAAACTTGCATCAATTCGTCGCTAGGTAACACGGTTAAAATACCTAGATTATCATAATCGTTACCACAATTTTTAAGGTATTGCCAATGAAAAACAAATCGCCTTTAAGGAGTGAGTTAGAAATGTACGAGTACTATACAGGATTCAATATAAGAAAATTGACATCTAAATATTATCATCAATTCGTACGAAAATAAATGCACGCTGTTAGGACTTGGTCAAGGTCTAAGTCTTACTACACACGTTAAAACACACGAACTGTGTCGTCAGTAAACACAACGTTCTCTATACAGCGCCCTCAATGGCCACTGATGCAACCTATTGTAAGAGATTTTTCAAATGCATCTGTGAAGTCAACACGTAATTATTAACCCTACATTCAGCGGACTATGAGTATTTCAGTTTAATATACTGCACACACACACACACACACACACACACACACACACACACACACACACACACACACACACACACACACACACACACACACACACACACACACACACACACACACACACACACACACACACACACACACACACACACACACACACACACACACACACACACACACACACACACACACACACACACACACACACACACACACACACACACACACACACACACACACACACACACACACACACACACACACACACACACACACACACACACACACACACACACACACACACACACACACACACACACACACACACACACACACACACACACACACACACACACACACACACACACACACACACACACACACACACACACACACACACACAAGAGTAGAGAAATACATAAAAACATTATCCTTAACAAGGGTCAACAAAGCCTCTACTTTCATGTGGGATGTTAAACGCTGACACAACACTGAATGAGGAGTATAGAAGGAACACACCCATAGCACACTTCATCCTGCTGCATTTTTATAAGGAAGCGATACTATGAAAAGGTTGCTGACAGAATGGCTGATGGTCGTGACAGCATAGATCTGTTTTATAACTCTACTGTTATAATAGTAAACAACGAAATGAAGTCCCACAAACAAATACTTCCTATGTTTGGGGAAGAATAATTGTAGATTAAACAATAACAAAAATAGTTGCAAATTCGACGGTGCATGACGCCCTTAAGTGGCCTTTTCTGCACAATTTGCCTCCCGTGGTCATTCCACCCACAGCCTGCAGGAGTGCTGACCCTCCACACATCTCCCTCAAGGTCCATCACCATCACTTTTTAAAGCTTTTCCGACACCATAACCTTATAATCATGGTCGTTCAGATCTTTCCATCAACACATTTAGATCTGTAAGTTATCATTGATTTGTACAAGAACTAAGGACGGGTTAGATCTTCGCGCCATCTGGGCAAAATCGACATAATATCAGAAGTTATAGAGACCCATCAATAGCGAGCAACATTTAGATAACCTCATCCTTGAAAATGTTGGAAAAATATAAACAACAATCTGAGATTTATTTAAAGTAATATTCCCGCAACTTCAAGCCGAGTCCTCAGGGTCTCTGAATACGTAAAAAATGAAAGTTATAAATTTTTTTTACAACATTTACTTGCCATAAAGTATAATAAACAGTGTCTTAAGGGGACGTAGTTGTTACATCAGTGTTGGCAATCAAGTAACTTGGCATTCAGTTCACCAGTGTTGAGACAGCGTCCGCTTCCTGTTTAGTTTCACCAATTGTCAGCGGTATGACCATACACTAACTTACTCGTTATATTCTCGTGGGATCATAATTACCAGTTTCTTTTTCATCATGTTGACCCTCCGTGACTCACCTACTCTGTGATGAAACAGTCACCAATAGAATGAATGATCCTTCCACCCGGACCCACCGCGACAGTAATATAAAGGGTTCATTAATAATAATATATAATGAACTCAGGTACAATGTCTGGTTACAATGCTGCCATCAGAATCATTGATACTTTGCGGAGACCATTTCGCAATAACCAGACGGACAGACGGACGGATGGGTGAGCAATACCACGCGAAGATCACTCCCAGAGTATTTGGTGACGGCCTCGTGGAGCTGACGCAGGGATGACTGCCTTAAAGCGTCAAGTGAATGTTCTCTTATTGGTATGGGAAGGTAACAAGTGGTAACAAGCCCATTATGCTGGTGGTGGTGAACATGATTCGCTGCCGTACCAGAACACCAGTCCAGGTACAAGCAGGTCAGTCTACTAGCACTTCCTTTCACTGATGTGAATGAAAATGCACCCAACATGACTACTAAATACCTCTAATACTTGACACAATTATCCAGGATGACTTGTCTAACAACTTCCATTGCAGTGTCAAAGACGTCTACTCTAGTACAGATTTTGGTTACAACGATGAACCTGACAGAAGCGCTGTCTCGGGCTCTACACCGTCCAGCTCCCCGACGGCCGCAAATTAACGGTAATATACCATAACAGAAACCCTAATACGATTACTATACTGGCTAAAATGACTGTAATAATTAACGCGTATAGTAAGACAACTGAGCTTTCGGGTTGACACAATTTTATTTTGTCAACGATTTTCTTCCTCTTCAACACCTGCCTTTAAATGATGGCAGGAAAAATATGTATTTATAATTCCACCTCAGTATTTTATCTCAGGTGACCTACTGTACGTTGCTGACCACCACAACGGCTACTGGGCTCAGGTTGAGTACGACCAAGGTCTAAAAATCTTTATATCTTAAGTAGTATAGCGAGGCTCAGTACCCCCAGGAGCATGGTTCCCCCGTCACTTTCAAGCTCCAGTCTTATGGCCAGCCCCAGACTTCATACTAGCTCCAGCCTACACACCAGCCCTTGCTCTCTTACCAGTCCCTGCTCTCTTATCAGCCCCAACCTTCATACTAAACCCTCAACTCATATAAGACCACACCAAAATAGTCATGGAAATTTGTGTAAACATTAATTCACCAAAGTTTATGACCCAAAAGAACTAGTACACCAAAGTTTATGCCCCAAAAGTACTAACACACCAAAGTTTATGCCCCAAAAGTACTAGTACACCAAAGTTTATGACCCAACAGTACTAGTACACCAAAGTTTATGACCCAACAGTACTAGTACACCAAAGTTTATGACCCAACAGTACTAGTACACCAGAGTTTATGACCCAGAAGTACTAGTACACCAAAGTTTATGACCCCAAAGTACTAGTACACCAAAGTTTATGACCCAAAAGTACTAGTACACCAAAGTTTATGACCCCAAAGTACTAGTACACCAAAGTTTATGACCCAAAAGTACTAGTACACCAAAGTTTATGACCCAACAGTACAATATAAACCTAGTGAAGGTAAAAGTCCGTCTTGAGTTGATTTTCGACAACAGACAGAAACAGGTGTGGAAATAAAACACTTAATAAACTTCAAATCAACTCTTCAACTTATACCTCATGGATAATTATGATAAACTCCCCAAAAAACGGAAATTATACCATGTCAGTCTGTCAATGATCATGATTTATAGTTGACAGTAATTTATAGACAAACTGGGAATTATGTTAGCATAAGTTTCACCATTATTAGGTGGAAAACACGGAAGAAAATTACTCCCTGTATGGCCTTTCTGTTTACATTGGAAGAGAAACTGAACTAAATTATTTTCAAACCAACCATAAATATTCCCGAAAACTATAAATTTCTCTATTTCAAAACATGGAGCACAAAAAAAAAACAGAAATCAATGAATGAAGGATTGAACATATGTGTGTGTGTATGTGTACAAGTCAACCACAAGAGCTTCCGCCTATGGAGTCACTCGCGATACACAAGCATACAATATATCGGTGTCTAGGAGTGAGTGTTGTCGCCTCTAGTAAGAATTGGTCATTCGCATTTTTTACACTCCACCACCACCAGCCAACACACATTATGACAACACACAACAATGATGCGCCATAATTTAGTCTACTTGTCATGCAGGTCTGCTCCTGTGGAATGTTTGGAAATGGACATTATTCTGTAGTCAATGGCGATAATAAAATAAAAGTAAATAATAGTGAAATAAGAACAAATAATGATAATGATACCAGTAACAGATATAAAGTAGTAGCGATTCAGTAAAGGACTCAACTGGTTTTTTCTTACTTGTAAAAAATTGAACGCCATTATTTCCTTACACACAACTGCAGTATAAGACGAACTATTGAACGGTGTCTTACCTTACCAAAGCAGATATTATGGGAACAAAACTCGCAGCCGAATGTTGAAACCATAAGATGACTGCCTTTACAGTTTCACTTCTTAGAGTTTTTAACTTTCAAATATCTCTAAGACTCTGTTTACACTTTACAGTTTTAGACAGAGGAAGTCAGGCAGGCGAGGGCTAATGTACTTCCCATGGCAGAGTGAAGGTAATTGAATATAACCTGAAGATCTGCAGAACAACAAAATAAATGACGTATTTATTAACTTATATGAGCGAAAATATACATTATTATCCAAAAATAAATAAATAAAAAATAATTAACCGGTACAAAGTGTGTCACCCTCGCTTAATGGTATTTGATATTGCAAAAGAAAACAACCATTGGCATTTCTGGGTTTACCGTAAGTTGTTTATACAAATTCAAATCAGATAAACTTTTATAAGTAAATTACTGAGCCACCCTTCAAAAATCATGTCCACGGATGGATAGAGAGTATACATTTCTCTCCCCCTTTCAAGTAAGTATACAAGAGGGCGTTCGAAACCAAACCCTATTGTTCATTTGTAAACTAAACAAACTATTCAGGTTATCAATGTATGTCAAGGATTGGATTAGATGAAATAAAATATGAGTACCTCAACATTACCAAGAAAAATTCAACTTAAATATAAAACCACACTAAAATTTTTGTTGCATCACACAAGTACTGAGGTCAAGTCCCACAAAATAAGTAAAAAAGAAGCACATATTTATAGCCTGGGAGTTACATAACGCATATCATTCTTCCAAATTCCAGTGACCTCTGTGTGTGTGGCGACGCTTCCACCCACCGCCTGCAGGTGTGCTCGCCCGCGGCAAGAAAGGTCGACCATCACCCTCGGTATATAAGGCTCCACACACAACTCCTGGACATCACTCTCTCGTCAAGCTTCACAACTATAACGTCAAATAGTTCAGAATGATCTCCAAGGTGACTTTGAGTCTGAGAAAGACAGTGTTTTATCAGTGCTGTGAAATTTCTGTGAAAACCCGAAAACATTACACACAAACAAACATCAAATGACATTACTATAAAGACAATGATAAAGCATACACACAAAAACACACACACTTACTCGTATATAAAACACACACTTGTCAGAAAAATAAGAAACACGTAATAGCTGGAAAAGGAAGAATAATGATGAAATACAGACAAACTTTTGCCAGACATCTAATGAGATACGCAAGAGCAGTACACACACACACACACACACACACACACACACACACAAGAGGAGGAATAATGAGGACATTTTACCTCCCCAGGTCACTTTGGTGGTGGTGTTGGTAGGCGTGGCTCTCGCTGTCCCCTCCGACCTACCATACGCTCCCCCAGCACCGCAACCCACCTACAATGAGGTCAGTCCACTACGTCCTATGATCCCCATTGTAACCTAGTCAGGGTCCCATTGTAATCTAGTCAGGGTCACATTGTAACATAGAAAGGGTCCCATTGTAACAGTCAGGGTCACATTGTAACATAGTCAGGGTCACATTGTAACATAGTAAGGGTCCCATTGCAACATAGTAAGGGTCCCATTGTAACCTAGTCAGGGTTCCATTGCATCCTACAGTCAGGGCCCCATTGTAACTTAGCCAGGGTTCCATTGTATCCTACAGTCAGGGCCCCAACGTAGTCTAATGAGGGTACCTCTTTACCCTGTTTCAGAGCCCCATTGCCATCTACTGTTGGGGTCCCAATTTCATCATACAGTCAATAGCGGGGTCATAATCATAACAAATATGGTATATAAATTAATCAGTTACAACAGTGAAATAACAGAAATCAAACCAAATTCATCCCCGTCTGAGGACATGTGTCACACCTCGTATATTATTAACGTGACATCCTACCTCCACCCCGCCAGCCCGTCATACCATACAACTTCGAATATGGCGTTAAGGACGAATACGCTGGAACCGACTTTGGCCAAAACGAGGAATCTGATGGCAACGTTGTCAGGGGCTCCTACACCGTCCTGCTCCCCGACGGCCGCAAACAGACGGTAAGTTGACGGATATTTTTTCTTAAAACTTAATTCGTCTACCTGAGAATTGTGAACAGATTTTTTATTTTCCTGTTTGTACACATTAAAGATCATTTTATATCTCAGGTGAACTACGTGGTCGATGGCTACAGCGGTTACCAGGCTACTGTCACCTACTACGGCGAGGCTCAGTACCCAGATCAGTACGGTCCCCCCATCACCTTCAGGCCCCAGTCTTACGGCCAGTCCCAGCAGTCATACCAGCCTGAACCTTCATACCAGCCTGAACCTTCATACCAACCCGAACCTGTGTACCAATAAGACAAAATATTATACTTATACTGTTATTAAAGTTATGTCCTCGCTAGTTATATTTTTTTGTGGACTCAATAAAAATTTAAAGACTTACTTCCCAATATTAATAACCGTATACCTTACATGCAAAACACCAAACAATCCTCAGGCGGTGTTTATGTATAGTAATTATATAAGGAAATGATTACTCTATTATATTTTCTATTCGTTGGAGTTAAGGCTACCAACAGAGCAGTCAATGAAAATAATACAATATGGATCTAATGGAAATACGTTATCAGGATTGTGTTAACAACCCAAAGAGATGAATAAATTAAGAGCCAGAGATAAATCAATTTTACCCCCAAAGTGAAATCAATGACAAGAAGCCACATATGTTATCATCTACCGGAATCTGTGGCATGAGTATTAACCATGAATTTCCATGGTATGACAAACACGTCCTCACACTCCTACACACACACACCAAAACTGATATTAATACAGTCAACGGAAAGTGATAAAGAGTCAAAACACGAGAATTTCTCCATCTTCTGAGCCGGACCAACCAAACGCCTCCACCAGACCGGTCAAGGGAGGTCATCCAGAGATAATTCAGACAGGTCAATCAACACACCTAAACGTATACAAAATGACTCATTATTTGTACAGGCCCTTCATTGTTTGTGTTGTTGTCTGGGCTAACAAGCTTGCCATGGACAGAGGGGAGCAAGGCTTTCCCCTCTTGATTCCATTGTTGAGTCTTCCCCTCTTTATTCTATCCTTAAATCTTCCCCAATTTATTCTCTCTTTAAATCTTCCCCTTTTTCCCATTGATAACCTTTCCCTTCCTTGTGAAAGTCGGCTAACTGTCTAAGCTAGTTCCTTTGCAATCCAATTAACTTAGAAGCCAGTTTACCCATATCCCACTATCTTGTTGCAAGCCAGTATACCCATGCCAAACACCTATTGCAAGCCAGTTTACACGTCCCATGTTGCAAGCCAGTGAAAGGAGTTTGAAACAGTTCTTGGCTGCATCTTGCCCGTCATCACCAAAGTCCCTCTAGTGTACGTGAGACCATTCGTATTTCTCGCCGGAACAGCTGACAAAACCTCCTGACGCGATAATACGGAGAGTGATGTAGCTCTCTCTCAAGGGGGTGTTAAGGCTGGAGAGTGGGTGACGGATGTGGTGGGTGACGGATGTGGTGGTAAAGGATGTTGAACTTACCTAAAGGGTGTTTTACGCTAGGATTTTGAACAACCCCGAGGCCTTTACAGTATTTGGATAAGAGAAAAGATTTTGAACTTATATATAAGGAGTGTCTACAGTATTACAGAGCGGTTCTTAAGGGTAGAAAAGGTTACACAACTGCGTTAAGGAAACCACACGGCTGGGTAAGGTAGTGTGACTATGTTAACCAAGGCAACAAGCGCCAATACAACCCCTGAAACCACTCCTAACCCCTTGAGAACGAGGAATCAATCCCCCGTGTATAATAACATCATATTCAAGGGAACAGGTCATTGTATTTAAAGCATTTCAACGTCGTGCTCTCCCAGGGTTTAAGTCATTGTACTCAAGAAGTAAAGTTATTGCAAGTAAGGGATTAATATATCGTAATCAAGGACTGACTCAAGGTACTCATGGGTAAGATATCGTAAAGAACTGACTTACTCACTGTAATATGGGGTTAAATAATAGTACTCAAGGGATTAAAACATCTTGAAAAACCGATTAATTAACTCTACTCAGAAGGCTTGGTTATAGTGAAGTCATCGTAATCATAGGGTAAAATTCATTGTACTCACGGCATTAAAATATCTTAATTAAGGGAATAAGTCATTGTACTCAAGAGGATAAGACGTGATCAAGGTTGGCATCATACTCGAGGGATTAAGCTGTCATTCACTGCATTAAAAAGGTTGCCTTCACGCTTTACAGACCCAGACGGCTTACCACAAGATGTTTAATGAGACGAGGAACCGAGAATGGGTTGATGGAGGTTAAACAGGCTTAATATTTACCGGCGATGACTAACCCAGTGATGATGTGGGTTGAAAATGACGTTGGTTTATTCCAGTGGCTTATCGTAGTAACACCGGCTTATCGAGATAGACTGGATTAAAAGATATACCTGCTTACCGTCACGATGACCCACCAAACGCTGGCTTACTAAATAGAACTGGGTTATCGAACTACAACCTGACTTTAAGGTGTCATAAATATTTGTGGTGTGACGCTCACTCTTCAAGTATATAAAACGTTGGCTTTGTTATATTAAGAACGACCTATCAAGACTTGTTCACTTACCATAAAATCAACACATTAATTTCAGCACAAACAACAACAGTTACGGTACATCCATCTCTGTCTCCCCCCCCCCCCCACACACACATTTACACATGATACTTTACTTGCTGTCAAATCCTTCATTACATCATACCAGTAACCACGCCTTAGAGTTATGTGACTTGTACAAAGGTTCTATATGTCCCACTTGTTTATTCTACAATAAAATATACAATAAAAAAAATTACTTCCCATCGTTTCCCTTTCACCACCTCTGTTTGCACTGTAATGGCTTTTGTAGTTAACACACTTATCTTTACTGTATTGTGAGATCAAGTGACATACGAATCAAATTCTCAGAAAAAATGCAGATTATTACTGTTATCATTATTATGTGTTTTCTCACAGGATTTACGTGATTCAGATATATGCCAACCTTGATGATAAAAAATAGGGCATCTGCAAATTTGTGGGAATTTCTCAGATTAGTATTTTCATTACTTAGTAGTAGTATTTGTATAATTGTTCTAATTCGTAGTATCATAACTCTAAATGACACACACACACACACACACACACACACACACACACACACACACACACACACACACACACACACACACACACACACACACACACACACACACACACACACACACACACACACACACACACACACACACACACACACACACACACACACACACACACACACACACACACACACACACACACACACACACACACACACACACACACACACACACACACACACACACACACACACACACACACACACACACACACACACACACACACACACACACACACACACACACACACACACACACACACACACACACACACACACACACACACACACACACACACACACACACACACACACACACACACACACACACACACACACACACACACACACACACTTTTCTAAACATTTTCCTTCTTTCTTCATCGATGGACAAACATTAAGGAAGCACAGTCATGCACCTTCCAGCAGCGAGAGACCTACAGTTAAAGACTACGGTCATAACATACACAAGTCCACTGTTATAACTCAACCTGACATGAAGAATACTAATCCATATTTATATTTACAACAATCAATCAATCCTATCTCACCTGGCAAGAAGAATACTAATGGATGTATAAACTATATTTACAGCCATTCAAATAATTATGAATGTCTATATTTACAAACACACAAAAATTATTAGGAATCTTTATATTTACAACCATTTACAAAATCTTAGTATATGTGTCATGTTTATATTTACAACCACTAACACAAAAATCCTGATATTCTCTGCTAAGTTTCATCCATTCTATGAAAGTTTAACCCAATACTGTATATAAAAGTTTTTCCCATAATTAGAAGAAAAAAAATTTATCTGAAAGTTGTAATTAATTTTCTGGGACATTTCAGCATTTTATTAAGGTTTTACCAATTATGAGAACGTATAGCCTATTATATGAAAATTTGATCCATAATCCGGATGTTTTACGAATTTTTAGAGAAAGTTTTAAAAATCTCTCAAAACTTTACCCCTTTTGTGAGTTTTCCACATACTGAAAAATTTACCGGTACCCACTGTATGAGTTATACCCATAATGTGAGAGAAAGAAAACATCTGAGCATTCCACTCATTCCCATTCCTTCTGAAAGTTTTGCTCATAATCTGAAACCTACATATATCCAAACAATCCACCCAGAAAACCTTCACACATCTCCAATTTTCTGACGGATTAACCCCTATTCCCCATGAAGGTGTAAAAAGGTGGTCGTGACAACAGCTAATGCACACCCTGTAGGCAGCACCACGCAATAGCTACAGTAATTGGCCCGAATAAAGATTATCACAATGGCGTCTCCTATTACACCCATTAACGCCATTACTCCACCCATCTTCTTCCACTAATTTCACTTAGTTACCTCACCCGTTTAACAAGTTACATTATGCAAGATGATAATTTTTGTTATGTCAAGTATGTAATTAACCTCTTGAGTAAGATGGCGACCCCCCCGAGCACGACCACTTAGCCCATTAAGTTATCTTAACCCCTTGAGTGAGATGCTAACCCATGAGTAAGTTATCTTAAACCTTTGAGTGAGATGCTAAACCCTGACTAAGTTATCTTAACCACTTGAGTAAGATAATAACCCCTTGCGTAAGTTATCTTAACCCCTTGAGTAAGATGCTAACCCGTGAGTAAGTTATCTTAAACCCTTGAGTAAGATATTAACCTCCCTGACTAAAATATTTTTGGTCTCTTAAGTAAGATATTTTAGCCGCTTGAGCAAGAGGCCAACCCCAGGTACTCTTGTGGATGCTGCCTTAAACCCTCTCTGTACAATGAGACTCAACCCAAGGAATAACGCGGTGCACTATACCCTGCAGCATGATGACACTGTACTCCGGGGGTTAAGTCATCGACCTCAACCGAGTTTATTTACTACGACGGTATTAAACACACAAAAGTGGTTCAGGCATTTATTTTCAAAATCACCCTATAAAATCCTTCATTAAACAAGAGGCGGCTCATCATTCATTAAACTATTATTTCAGCTTCATTACTAAAAACAACAGTGACCAAGAACTGAGCATTGGATTTGTTAAGCCTCACTTAAAAAACCTCGCGTGGGAAAACTTTTAAGCAGGTCACAAGACTAAGGTTTACCAACACAGCCAAAAGTATAGTCTTAAGTTTGCGGTGAGAAAACATGTAAAACGACTGAGTTAAGAAGTGCTTGTAGATAGAAACAACGGTGATAAAATACTGTTATGGAAGGTAAGAAAAGCCACACCCACACAAACACACACACACACTTATATAACTTTCAAACGAGAGACCCGACACTACAAGAGTCTGTGGTCTGCACCTATTTTCTGTGTTCTAAAATTGGGTACCCATTACCTGAGGAACTGTATATATGTGTGTAGAGGGAGTGCACAACTTACTAAAAAATATTTTTCAAGCACCTTTTGTTACCCAACATTACAGCTCCAAAGTAAGGGGTTGTGACACCACCAACATGGCGAAATTAACATTTTCATTAGTAAATCTGGGTTAAGTCGTCTGGAAGGCCCCTTTACGAGCACAGATTTAATCCCGAGGATGATTTTTGCCGCCACGAGAACATACAATTCGTCAAGTTATGGGATCTAGGTGCATCATTTTTACCAGCCGACAATTCCAAGCGACTTTACTTTCAGTTTTGTCTCCCTACGTGACTCCCAGCCGTACAGGTCGAGTTGGCAGTGCTAGGTCGCTGTCAAGGTCATACTCGGACGCCTCGGTATAAAGGCGTGGCACCTCGGCTCACCATCATCAGTCACAGCTCAACACTGCTCTCAACATGTTTACCAAGGTGATCGAAGCCTCCTCAACTTACAAACTTCGAGTCCAGAAGCTAGTGCATCATTTATCTCTAAAAGTTACTTCAGTCATAGTTCAAAATCACAAGCCTTAGCTTATTCGCAATGAAATATATATTAAATGCTTGAGCCAAGTACTGTGAAAATATTATTCTCTAAATTCTTTAAGAAACTCGTATCAGCAATACATGTACTGTGGCACAGGATGGATAATGCAAATATGATGTGTTCAGCCACCCTGCATTATTGGGAGAAAGGCCTGAAAAAGGGAAATGTTGTGTTCAACTTACAGCGGCTGACGTTTCATTTTTACCCGCCATGTCATCTTAATCCATTGAGAACGATGACCCATTGAATATGATGACGTAATTCATCGTATTCAAGAGAGTGACATCGTCCTCAAGCGTTAAGTCAACATCTTCAAGGGTTAAGTCATCGTCCTCAATGGGTAAATAAAAAAATATTAGGAAATGAAATACGAGAATAATTTCCTCCCGCAGGCGTTCATCCTGATGGTGGTGTTGGGCGTGGTTATGGCTACCCCCTCTGACATTTACAGCGCCCCGAGACACCCGACCGGATACCGAGAGGTCAGTGAGTCAACTACCTACACTTTTGTTGTAATCCCACACTCCTAGACCTCATTACTCAGCAGCTGACAATAACTCGGGTAATTTGAAGTGTATTCATTATCTTAACCTACACAGGAACCCAAGCCGTACAACTTCAACTATGGTGTGAAAGACGACTACGCCGGCACCGACTTCAGCCAGAATGAAGAATCCGATGGTAACACAGTCCAGGGCTCCTACACCGTCCAGCTCCCCGACGGCCGCAAGCAGACGGTAGGAAAATGCTTTGGTATTGTGTCAATAACTTATCTACGGTATACTCGTCACACAGTCTGTCACTAGCCTGTAAAGTGACAAGGACAGAGCGTCATACTCTTTACCTAACGCCGCCCACCTCCCACTTGTCCACACCATCACCCCTTTCGTCCACACATTTCCTTCGCTATCCTATCCGTCTGTCACACCAAGAGCTCCATGTAGGTCTAAGGTCATATTGTTATAATTCGTCTTCTTCTGCAGGTGACTTACGTGGCTGACGACTACGGCGGCTACCGGGCTGAGGTCGAGTACTACGGTGAGGCTCAGTACCCCCACGAGTACGGTCCCCCCATCACCTTCAGGCCCCAGGCTTATGGCCAGCCCTCATACCAGCCCCCGGTACCTTCTTACCAGTAATCGTTAAACAACCCCAAACATCACACCAACATAATACAATATATCATACCAGTATATACCTTTCCTTCAGTCTCTGTATTCTAGGGCAACTCTGTATATATTTGTTAAAGAAATAAAGGTTTATTTGTAAAAATGTTTCATAACCCTGAGCACCTATCACATATCATACGAAGTTCAGTTACTGTGATGACCGAGATCTCTAAAAGTTAAGTTGACTACAAATCCTAAATGTTTGTTTGCCAGCAAGAGTATTTACACATACACAACACGCACGCACGCCCGCCCGGCTGTAATCAAAGTGCACGCCGAGGAGGAACTGTGTACTCCCGGAAATGAGTATTCGACCATGTTTGGCTTGGTAATTTTAAGCTTCATTAAGAAATTGTATCCAATTTCATACAAACAAAATCTATTCCTAACACGATGTTACAAGAAACCTCAGACACTCACTTTGCTGCTTCACAACACGGGAGTTAAAAGGAAAAAAAAAAGCTTAATTTGAAGAAATGACGGAATAGGTTGATCTCCCGAACCTGTTGATACCGATACTTCTGAACACGACTTAACAAAAACGAACTTGATGAGGAAGTTTATTTTGTTGTTTACGAACTAGTTGTTTTGAAGATAAAAATATCAGAAAATAGTGAACTTTGTGGAGAAATAAAAATCGGGGCTTTGAACTTGAACACACAATGATGCATTTTTACAAACGATTGAACTTGAGGTTGTCAATGAAGACCTACTTTTATTTCCACGTAGGTGACGATGACATTGAGGGAGGAAGTCAACAATGGCCAATTTATTCCACGAGTGAGCTGGGGAGTGTGACCAAGGTGCAGTAGTGGATGTCAGTGTCTTCCCTCACCACTAAAACGACCCTTTGTCTTCTTTAACCCCACCACATGAAGGGTGACTCCTTGCCGTTGTCTTCACTTGAAAGTTGACTCCCTAACCGATGTCTTCCCTTGAAAGTTGAAGCCCTAACCGCTGCCGCCTCCCCCGTCACTGGACTACTGACTCAGCACTTGTCTTTGCGTCATTAGAGGGGGTTCACTCCATCACTGGCCTTTATCGTTATATCGAGGCTTCCTTACCACAGCTGTCGCTTTCCCTACATCACTGAGAGCAAAAGACCTACACATCCAGGCACATTATACACTTAGCGCCTTCCACATTTAAGGCATATTCTTCAAACGGTGACATATTTTTTCTCATATTTCTGTACTGATTTTAGGACATTTCTAAACAGCATACCACTGAAATTTTACAAAACCCCCCAAATTCTTTTAATCTGAAAATCATAAGAATAAACGTGGTTCTTAAATCTTTATATAGACAGTACACTTGGTCATTTTACACACAATAGCTAAACAATACTTAAGTCCTCAGACCAAGTTTCTACGATAGCTGGATGTTCAATTTCAAGTTCAATATTTTACAGGTGCACACATACTAATTGTAAGTGTAAGATATCTAACACTATCATGGTGTAAGGAAACTGCCCTTAACCCCGTATTATATTTTTGTTAGTGATATTGTGTTTATTCCTGCTTCATTTCAGTGTCCGGTAAGAAGGTTTTCATGATTCAAAACTTCTTGATTCTTCAGTGTTAAAATTCAGTTGATTTTTCTCACACGCCAGTAATATTTGTGAATTTATTTAATTTTCACTATCAATAAAAAAAAACCCTCAAATCTATACTAATTTTAGATAACATCATCTCGTCACTTAATAAATCGATTCATCTTTTTATCCAAGGTATCTCTAATAAAACAACACGTTTATCTTCCCAACTTCTAAAAAATACTAAATTCAACTTATTTCACAAAACCTATCATAATAAAATTCCCAACACTTCAACTACAACAGATAATTTTAGAGACTGGTTTAACTTTTAGCATGTAATACCTTTCACCTTCCCAACGATTGATAAGGTATGCAAAAATTACTCATCTGAACGAGAATAATAAGTCCCATTCCTTAACCAGAATCATCCTCAATCGTGAAAGTAAATACAATGGTGAAGAAAATATAAAAGAACCTCTGAGTTAAAACCAGCGCAGTAGTAAGTGAAATATATTACTGGGAAAGACTGTAAGTGTTTGCAACTACTGTATAGCAACAAGTTCCAATTCCCCAGATAGTGGTTCCAATTACCATTACATTACACTCATAAAAAAATACATGCTACGGTAACTGTAATAATTTAAAATGTCGTAAATAGTGACTAATGCCATTGACAAAACGGAAACTACCGCAAATTTCCTACGAAATGATATCATTTATAAATACTGTACATTACAGTGGAAACTAAAAGCATTTATAATTACGACTCAAAATTACATAAGCTATGACTCTAAATAAAGAAAAAAAATAAAAAAAATTCTGAGAGAGAGACCCTATTAAATCTCAAGAATGAAAGTGTGTGTGTGTGTGTGTGTGTTTGTGTGTGTGTTTCCCTGGGCTATGGTAGCTTGCGGTCACCTTTCAATGCGCGCCACCTCTGACACGTTCACTTGTAAGCGTCAATTACAACCTGTTCTAAACATCACCTCCAACCTGCTATAAACGCCACCTCTAACCTAAAAGTCAACCTCTAAACTACGTATTTCAGTAAAACGATCAAGCTTCACCAAAATACCAAATACTTTTCTTTCTACAAAATTATCGTACATTAAAAAAGTTTCTCTAATACAACAAAATATACAATGGTAAAAAAGCTTCGTATTAATTATAAAAAAAGCCTGAGAAATTAGGTCTTATTTTCTTTATTCACAGTTCAACTATTCCTGAGATCGATTTTTATTTGTATCTGTTTAGGGTAGATTTAATGCCTCTTCCTCTTCCCTTCCTTTCTCTTCGCCCCCCCTCCTGCTGACCCGAGAACGCAAGTGAAAGTGCCAGGTAACGTCATTAGTAGCAAGTGACCCACCCGATATAAATAACAACAAAATGAATATGATAATGACAATAATACCCATATCAAATAATGACAATAATATCAATAATATAATAATAACAATAATAATAATAATCACCATCAGTAGGAAATATTAACTTCATTTCACAGACTAGAATATCAATCTTCTAATGCTGAACAGAAATCATCACCCCCCAAAAACATATAATTATAACTGAAAAAATGTATACTGCAAGTACTGATGTAGGCAGGTAAACACACACAATGTAAATGCTGATTCTAGTAAAGTTGCAGTGCTGACAAGAAAATAATATGCTGGTTTATGCAATCCCAAAAATCCTGGGCATACGCGTGGAATCAGGCTGTCAGGAGGAAACTGCCGGCAAATTTCCCTTGATTGGGGGAAAATAACGTAACAAGCGGAAGTGCAGCGACGACACACACACACACCAATTACAGGTCGGGAGAAGGCAATTTCTCAAGGAATTTCAAGTTTACGATAGACAGTATTCATTTACCTTAATTCCCTCTCACGCGACCTTACTCCATATTCGTCGCTGCATGACTCGACTTTTCCAGCCCCTTCTAATTGCCCTACAGTGTGAGTGTGTGAGCGGGTTGGCACTCTCGATCCGGTGCCAAGGTCGAGCTCCACCCTCACGGTATAAAAGTGTGGCACATGGAATCGCTGTCATCATTCACACCCCGACCTCCTCCTCCTCAAGATGTTTACTAAGGTGCTGTGTTCTACAAGTTATCAGTATCGGTTCATGTCTGACAATGTGCGACCTTTCACCAAGAGTTACATCACATTTTTTGTCTAGAACATGAACGTTTAAGAACCTGTCACTCTCTTAAGTTACATCAGAACTGATGGATTTGTTCATTCCAAGTTACATGCATATTTTTGTCTAAACCAAATATTTTAGTTACTTCAGATTTTGATCAAACAGACAACTTGCGGAAACACTCAAAAGAATCGGTGAAAAAAGTCGACAAAGCACCACTAGTGTTACCTCTCCAGAAAATGTTGAAATAGAAAGTAATTTGAAGCGATAACTTTGGTAGCGTGAAAATCACTGACCAAACTCTTCTCCCCACAGGCCGCCCTGGTTGTGGTATTGGTGGGCGTGGTTCTGGCCGCCCCAGACAACCTGTACGGAGCTCCCCACCAGCAGTACAGGGAGGTAAGTTCACTCCCACTCAGTAGCTTGGTGTAAAAACTGCCTGTGTTTTGTGCTGGAAGACCCAGAGTGTTGAGTAACATTAATACACTCTAACACCAAACCTTCCTTAGACAGAGGTGAAAATAACGAACTCAACTGTTGAAAAAATAACAATAACAACAACTGTACATTTGGCTATTCACCTTTTTCTTTGTCTCTCTATGTCATGGCTGAATAAAGGTATAAAGAAACTTCAAGCAAGGGAGGGAATAGTACGGGAATAACGCAAGAAAAGTGTAGAAAGTGACAATAAAGAAGACACAAGTAATACAAGGGCTTCACACATCTTTTATCCTAATCTTACATATACAGAATACAAAATACATTGTCAATCTCAAAATACGTATGAGTTAATGTGTCTTATCTACACAGGAACCCAAGCCGTACAATTTCAACTATGGTGTGAAGGACGACTACGCCGGCACCGACTTCAGCCAGAATGAAGAATCCGATGGTAACACAGTCCAGGGCTCCTACACCGTCCAGCTCCCCGACGGCCGCAAGCAGACGGTAAGAAAATGCTTTGGTATTGTGTCAATAACTTATCTACTGTATACTCGTCACACCGTCTGTCACTAGCCTGTAAAGTGACAAGGAAAGAGCGTCATACTCTTTACTTAACGCCACTCACCTCCCACTTGTCCACACCATCACCCCTTTCGTCCACACATTTCCCTCGCTATCCTATCCGTCTGTCACACCAAGAGCTCCATGTAGGTTTAAGGTCATATTCTTATAATTCGTCTTCTTCTGCAGGTGACTTACGTGGCTGACGACTACGGCGGCTACCGGGCTGAGGTCGAGTACTACGGTGAGGCTCAGTACCCCCATGAGTACGGTCCCCCCATCACCTTCAAGCCCCAGGCTTATGGCCAGCCCTCATACCAGCCTCCCCAGCCCTCATACCAGCCCTCATACCAGCCCCCGGTACCTTCTTACCAGTAATCGTTAAACAACCCCAAACATCACACCAACATAATACAATATATCATACCAGTATATACCTTTCCTTCAGTCTCTGTATTCTAGGGCTACTCTGTATATATTTATTTACGAAATAAAGGTTTATTTGTAAAAATGTTTCATAACCCTGAGCACCTATCACATATCATACGAAGTTCAGTTACTGTGATGACCGAGATCTCTAAAAGTTAAATTGACTAAAAATCCTAAATGTTTGTTTGCCAGCAAGAGCATTTCCACATACACAACACGCACGCACGCCCGCTCGGCTGTAATCAAAGTGCACGCTGAGGAGGAACTATGGACTCCCTCAAATGAGTATTCGACCATGTTTGGCTTGGTAATTTTAAGCTTGATTAAGAAATTGTATCCAATTTCATAGAAACAAAATCTATTCCTAACACGATGTTACAAGAAACCTCAGACACTCACTTTGCTGCTTCACAACACGGGAGTTGAAAGTAAAAAAAAAAAGCTTAATTTGAAGAGATGCCGGAATAGGTTGATCTCCCGAACCTGTTGATACCGATACTTCTGAACACGACTTAACAATAACGAACTTGATGAGGAAGTTTATTTTGTTGTTTACGAACTAGTTATTTTGAAGATAAAAATATCTGAAAATAGTGAACTTTGTGGAGAAATGAAAATCGGGGCTTTGAACTTGAACACACAATGATGCATATTTACAAACGATTGAACTTGAGGTTGTCAATGAAGACCTACTTTTATTTCCACGTAGGTGACGATGACATTGAGGGAGGGAGTCAACAATGGCCAATTTATTCCACGAGTGAGCTGGGGAGTGTGACCAAGGTGCAGTAGTGGATGTCAGTGTCTTCCCTCACCACTAAAACGACCCTTTGTCTTCTTTAACCCTACCACATGAAGGGTGACTCCTTGCCGTTGTCTTCACTTGAAAGTTGACTCCCTAACCGATGTCTTCCCTTGAAAGTTGAAGCCCTAACCTCTGCCTCCACCCCCCCCGTCACTGGACTACTGACTCAGCACTTGTCTTCGCGTCATTAGAGGGGGTTCACTCCATCACTGGCCTTTATCGTTATATCGAGGCTTCCTTACCACAGCTGTCGCTTTCCCTACATCACTGAGAGCAAAAGACCTACACATCCAGGCACATTATACACTTAGCGCCTTCCACATTTAAGGCATATTCTTCAAACGGTGACATATTTTTTCTCATATTTCTGTACTGATTTTAGGACATTTCTAAACAGCATACCACTGAAATTTTACAAAACCCCCCAAATTCTTTTAATCTGAAAATCATAAGAATAAACGTGGTTCTTAAATCTTTATATAGACAGTACACTTGGTCATTTTACACACAATAGCTAAACAATACTTAAGTCCTCAGACCAAGTTTCTACGATAGCTGGATGTTCAATTTCAAGTTCAATATTTTACAGGTGCACACATACTAATTGTAAGTGTAAGATATCTAACACTATCATGGTGTAAGGAAACTGCCCTTAACCCCGTATTATATTTTTGTTAGTGATATTGTGTTTATTCCTGCTTCATTTCAGTGTCCGGTAAGAAGGTTTTCATGATTCAAAACTTCTTGATTCTTCAGTGTTAAAATTCAGTTGATTTTTCTCACACGCCAGTAATATTTGTGAATTTATTTAATTTTCACTATCAATAAAAAAAAACCCTCAAATCTATACTAATTTTAGATAACATCATCTCGTCACTTAATAAATCGATTCATCTTTTTATCCAAGGTATCTCTAATAAAACAACACGTTTATCTTCCCAACTTCTAAAAAATACTAAATTCAACTTATTTCACAAAACCTATCATAATAAAATTCCCAACACTTCAACTACAACAGATAATTTTAGAGACTGGTTTAACTTTTAGCATGTAATACCTTTCACCTTCCCAACGATTGATAAGGTATGCAAAAATTACTCATCTGAACGAGAATAATAAGTCCCATTCCTTAACCAGAATCATCCTCAATCGTGAAAGTAAATACAATGGTGAAGAAAATATAAAAGAACCTCTGAGTTAAAACCAGCGCAGTAGTAAGTGAAATATATTACTGGGAAAGACTGTAAGTGTTTGCAACTACTGTATAGCAACAAGTTCCAATTCCCCAGATAGTGGTTCCAATTACCATTACATTACACTCATAAAAAAATACATGCTACGGTAACTGTAATAATTTAAAATGTCGTAAATAGTGACTAATGCCATTGACAAAACGGAAACTACCGCAAATTTCCTACGAAATGATATCATTTATAAATACTGTACATTACAGTGGAAACTAAAAGCATTTATAATTACGACTCAAAATTACATAAGCTATGACTCTAAATAAAGAAAAAAAATAAAAAAAATTCTGAGAGAGAGACCCTATTAAATCTCAAGAATGAAAGTGTGTGTGTGTGTGTGTGTGTTTGTGTGTGTGTTTCCCTGGGCTATGGTAGCTTGCGGTCACCTTTCAATGCGCGCCACCTCTGACACGTTCACTTGTAAGCGTCAATTACAACCTGTTCTAAACATCACCTCCAACCTGCTATAAACGCCACCTCTAACCTAAAAGTCAACCTCTAAACTACGTATTTCAGTAAAACGATCAAGCTTCACCAAAATACCAAATACTTTTCTTTCTACAAAATTATCGTACATTAAAAAAGTTTCTCTAATACAACAAAATATACAATGGTAAAAAAGCTTCGTATTAATTATAAAAAAAGCCTGAGAAATTAGGTCTTATTTTCTTTATTCACAGTTCAACTATTCCTGAGATCGATTTTTATTTGTATCTGTTTAGGGTAGATTTAATGCCTCTTCCTCTTCCCTTCCTTTCTCTTCGCCTCCCCTCCTGCTGACCCGAGAACGCAAGTGAAAGTGCCAGGTAACGTCATTAGTAGCAAGTGACCCACCCGATATAAATAACAACAAAATGAATATGATAATGACAATAATACCCATATCAAATAATGACAATAATATTAATAAAATAATAACAAAAATAATAATAATCACCATCAGTAGGAAATATTAACTTCATTTCACAGACTAGAATATCAATCTTCTAATGCTGAACAGAAATCATCCCCCCAAAAAACATATAATTATAACTGAAAAAATGTATACTGCAAGTACTGATGTAGGCAGGTAAACACACACAATGTAAATGCTGATTCTAGTAAAGTTGCAGTGCTGACAAGAAAATAATATGCTGGTTTATGCAATCCCAAAAATCCTGGGCATACGCGTGGAATCAGGCTGTCAGGAGGAAACTGCCGGCAAATTTCCCTTGATTGGGGGAAAATAACGTAACAAGCGGAAGTGCAGGGACGAGACACACACACACACACACACACACACACACACACACACACACACACACACCAATTACAGGTCGGGAGAAGGCAATTTCTCAAGGAATTTCAAGTTTACGATAGACAGTATTCATTTACCACAATTCCCTCTCACGCGACCTTACTCCATATTCGTCGCTGCATGACTCTGCTTTTCCAGCCCCTTCTAACTGCCCTACAGTGTGAGTGTGTGAGCGGGTTGGCACTCTCGATCCGGTGCCAAGGTCGAGCTCCACCCTCACGGTATAAAAGTGTGGCACATGGAATGGCTGTCATCATTCACACCCCGACCTCCTCCTCCTCAAGATGTTTACTAAGGTGCTGTGTTCTACAAGTTATCAGTATCGGTTCATGTCTGACGATGTGCGACCTTTCACCAAGAGTTACATCACATTTTTTGTCTAGAACATGAAAGTTTAAGAACCTGTCACTCTCTTAAGTTACATCAGAATTGATGGATTTGTTCATTCCAAGTTACATGCATATTTTTGTCTCAACCAAATATTTTAGTTACTTCAGATTTTGATCTAAAAGACAACTTGCGGAAACGCTCAAAAGAATCGGTGAAAAAAGTCAACAAAGCACCACTAGTGTTACCTCTCCAGAAAATGTTAAAATAGAAAATGATTTGAAGCGATAACTTTGGTAGCGTCAAAATTACTGACCAAACTCTTCTCCCCACAGGCCGCCCTGGTTGTGGTATTGGTGGGCGTGGTTCTGGCCGCCCCAGACAACCTGTACGGAGCTCCCCACCAGCAGTACAGGGAGGTAAGTTCACTCCCACTCAGTAGTTTGGTGTAAAAACTGCCTGTGTTTTGTGCTGGAAGACCCAGAGTGTTGAGTAACATTAATACACTCTAACACCAAACCTTCCTTAGACAGGGATGAAAATAACGAACTCAACTGTTGAAAAATAACAATAACAACAACTGTACATTTGGCTATTCACCTTTTTCTTTGTCTCTCTATGTCATGGCTGAATAAAGGTATAAAGAAACTTCAAGCAAGGAAGGGAATAGTACGGGAATAACGCAAGAAAAGTGTAGAAAGTGACAATAAAGAAGACACAAGTAATACAAGGGCTTCACACATCTTGAATCCTAATCTTACATATACAGAATACAAAATACATCGACAATCTCAAAATACGTATGAGTTAATGTGTCTTATCTACACAGGAACCCAAGCCGTACAACTTCAACTATGGTGTGAAGGACGACTACGCCGGCACCGACTTTAGCCAGAATGAAGAATCCGATGGTAACACAGTCCAGGGCTCCTACACCGTCCAGCTCCCCGACGGCCGCAAGCAGACGGTAAGTTGATACTGTTACCATACACTGAAATAAACTGCCTGTATTTTCGACCATCATAACACCATTGTGCAAATCAAAATTATGTTAATTAAAACTTGTGGTTGGTCTTCTTTAGGTGACCTACGTGGCTGACGACTATGGCGGCTACCGGGCTGAGGTTGAGTACTACGGTGAAGCTCAGTACCCCCACGAGTACGGCCCCCCCATCACCTTCAAGCCCCAGGCTTATGGCCAGCCCTCTTACCAGCCACCCCAGCCCTCTTACCAGCCCTCATACCAGCCACCAACATACAACTAAACAAAACCCCCCAATACTCTTAAATTATGTTCAACATATATCAAACTATTTTTGTATTGTGTGTATATATTGAAATTAAATAGTTATCATTAACCGATATATTAAATCCTTACCAATCGTCTATGTCACGTGGGAACATTATCTATACACCATTAAATGAAATCTTCACAGGATTATACATATTAAGCACTACAGACATTACAAATTAAAGAAGAGCCATCGGGAAAAGTACAGTCCCCTTCACTAGTGCGTTTACAGGGGCTCGTCATATAAACATTCCACAAATCATTATATTGAGATATTCGTTTGAATATTGTTTTATTTTGATTCCATAGTATGTTTACTATTGCGAGTTTCCTTCTGTCGAATGTAAACAAACACAAGGCTGCCACACTGCACAAAACCTAACGAGCCCCTGTAAACGCAATAGTGAAGGGGACTGTACATCACCCTGAACTCTCCCTGTCATAACACACCAAAATGTAAATCAATCCATCGAAACTTATGTTGAGTTATCGAGCGGAAACCAAACTGATCAAGGGCGAACTCATACTGGGTATTATCTATGTTATATTCCACAGATTAATCAGTGAGAGTGTGTGGAGCAGGGTGTGTGTGTGTGGGGATTTAAGAAGTGAGTTGTGGTATGAAGTGTTAGGAGAGGAATTTGCGAGTTAGTAATTAATTACAAATTGTACGAGGTGGTTGGTGTCGACCTGCAACATCAATCTCTCTCTCTCTCTCTCTCTCTCTCAAATGAACAGACTTTGCAATACTTTATTATATAATTTGCAGCAATTAAAACTATGCAGTCACAAAGAAATGCTTATGTTTTAGGAGTTGCAAGTGAAAGTGAGACTTACTGGCATGATGCAATTAGTTCATTTTAAAACCAGGTTACTCTTGACGGCTCTGCATTTATTACCAAGAAAAATAGCTGTACGTTTTAACTCACATAAGAGGAGGTGCTACTACCAGTACTTTAGTGTACTATAGTGCTGTACTTTCACACATGAGCTCAAGAGGTCGTAAAGATTTGTCTTAAGAATGTAACATATCCAAAATGTTTAACGTGTTGCCAGAAACAAGAAAAGAAATGGTTTAGACATGAAGGGTGAGCGGGTCGGGAAAGAATTACTCCCAATTTGTCATTCAGGAAAGGAGAACATAGATCATACGCCTGACTGAAATAGCTAACAATATAATCAAGGGTTAACAAGGACTGATTAAACGCTGCGTTAGTGAAGAGTTAAGTGGTGCCCGTGGACCGAGGGTGCAGTGTGGAGTACTATTTACATGGTGCAAGCGGACTGGGGCATCCAGTCAGTGAAGGCATCGTGGAGCTGGCCAACAAACCTGAAAAATTGCCGGGACTATCAGTGAGGATGGCGATCGACTTTTCAAATATAATCGTAAGAAGAGGTAATGATACATTTCAGATAAATTCCTTGAATATACACTGACATCTATAGCCAATATAATGAAGAAGGACCAAAATATAGTAAATGTTTAAGTAAATTTAACGGATATGAACTGGATAGTATCAAGACGAGAAGCTTCTTGGTAAAGGAATGATATAAATTACAAATATCCGGCTGTTAATGTGTTTACGTCAGGTGTGTGCAGAGGGGATCAAGGAGATACAATAGAGATTATAAGGAACAGGTGGAACAATGAGATGGTGGAAGTCAATGAGAATAAAACAAAGCCTAACACCTGAAGACGTAACAAGTAATGCTTCAGTAAAGGATACACACACTCACAATATACTGAGTTAAGATAGAAGGGACTTTGTATACAGATCTTAAATATCTACCAAATTATTTCGTGCAACAATAAATGCACCCGGGCCGATAATTTTACTCACCTGCCACTACAATGAATTCTTTATATATTCTCTGATTTTATTAATCCATCAAAAGTCATAAAAAATAGTGGAAACCCGACACACTTATTAAACACCCATTAAAAAGAGTATAACTAAACGATGAGTGAGCCCCAAATGTTAATCCAAAATCTGAATTAAATTTCATAATGATATATTAATAAGGTGTACCATTTATAATGAGCAAAAAATTCCAGCAGCTGACTGTCTCTCCCCTGCCACCATGTTTAGCTGGTGCACCATGTGGCAGACAAACTGTTGAGGATAAATTACTTTTTTTTTTATAAACTTAAGACATACTCTACATGAATTACTATTGGTATAAACCCTCCAAAAAGCTCATGCTAATTTATGCACGTGTAAGATATCAGCTTCCACCTGTCTTGTGTGGTAGGAGATCCACGACTGTAGCGCCGCCACGTGAGCTGACCGAGAACTACACAGCTATTACGGTATCCCCACTTTTCGTGTTTTCTTTTTTTACACCTACCACCACCTCACCTCACCTCCCCTACACTAAGGTATTCTTGGCCCAAGGTCCTCAAGGGTTGGGCTGATTCAAAAACTAGGTCGTCAAACGGCCAGAGAAATTGTCATGCAGACATGAGGGAGCACTGCACAGTCGTGTATGCGTGTGTGGAATCGAATGTGTGGGAGAAGTGTGGGAGAAGAGTCTTTTGACATTGCTTATGGGTTAACATAAGAAAATAAGGAGTCTGCAATAGTCCGGTTGGCCTGTGCATGGTAGCTCCTGTCGAGAATTACTACCACTCTCTATCATCCATGAATCTATCTAGCCTCCTTTTAAAACTTTCCAGCGTTCCAGCACTTACTACAAAGTTGCTAAGCTTGTTCCACTCGTCCACCACCGCTCTCAGCAAGTCTATTATATTTCTAACGCTCCTACTGTTTGTATAGTATACATTTAAACCTACCCTTCCATGGTCCTGTTTCACTCCTTGTTCTGGGTAATCAATTTTACTCCCCAGGACTTGCTTGTTTTTTGACTCCCACTTACTCTGACCTCTCTCTACTGGCGAACCCCCCCTCCCCCCTTGGAGTGACAATTTCACGCTCCAGGGATGCAGACAACGTCTTCACCCCCGCGAGAGACAAGTGTACTCCGTCACGACTGTACAGGTTGTCGTTGCCATAGAATGGTTGCCAGTTATCAATGCTTGCACAATGATTTTCCAGTCAACAAATCCACTTTACTAACTTACTGTACTGTGTCTTAGGTATTACCTTAGCACGGCCATACATGCATACATAATGTTAACTTACCACGAGGGATGGAGGGAGGGAGGGAGGGAGGAAGGCCCACAAATTAGCATTTACTCACAAAATTAACATAAACAATACGATCACGTCAGTTGTTGTCGACTTGCTACACATGGCGGGAGTCTCTCTTGTTTTAAGTTCAGGTTTGTCCTTGTTTAGTTTAGGAATAAGTTCTAGGAGCACACACACACACACACACACACACACAATTAAGGCAGCGAGAAGAACATGGCCACAAAAAAAAAGCCATCCTGATCTTCCATCCGTGTGTCCTTACGGTCGTCCGTGTCCGTTTTAGGAATCAGTCCTCACGAGAACAAACTGAAATAGAACCTCGGTCATTGGCACTGTATACTACTCCCTGTTAGCCTCTGAGATTAGGTCGGTAATTCTGATTTTCTCTTCTTATTTCCGGAAGTTACAGCCACTTGTGTTTGCGACGGATGTGTGGCCGAGCTTGTGAACGATTTACGCGGAGCAGATAGTGGCGGACTTGGAAAGTTAGTAGAGTTCAGCCCCCAGAGTCAATAATTTTAAATTTCAGCCTCAACAGCCGCTAGTTTATAGTTACAGCCACTTACATGAGTGGTCGGTTCGTAAGTAAAGCCTCTGTGACTGTCGGGCGCGTGGTCAATCTCTTGGAATCAACTCGTGAGAGACTCAAGGCTAAGGTCAAAGCGGAGTAGCACAAGAGTGTTTCGTGGCCACGGGGGTTCGGCTCACACAGTGAAGGGTCACCACCAACTAGACAAACAGGCTGTGGCACCAGGTTGGGAAACAGTGACCAGACACACGATGTGATTTCCTACACGCGAATGGTCAAAATTTCATAAGACATAGTAGGAGGCAAAGAATAGATTGATTGGTGATAACTTGGGGAGAAATTTGATTTTTTTCCTTAACAAACATTCAGTATTACTTAAGAAGAAAAAAAACTAATAGTACAAATAATCGCGTCTGATAACAATATTCAAGAAAATATTATAGTAACAATTATATACAGCAAGAACAACAACAATAATAAAAAAATTAAAAAATAATAATAATACTGTAATAATAATAATAATTATAATAATTCCCGTATTAATAACAATAATAATTACGGTAATACCCCGGTAATAATACTGTACAACAAATACATAGAAAGTCCATACAAATTTATAGATAAAATAAGGCAGAGAAAACACACTTTCATGCAGATCAACTACCACACCCCGAGAGTTAAGACACTATAGATCAACTACCACACCCCGAGAGTTAAGACACTATAGATCAACTACCACACCCCGAGAGTTAAGACACTATAGATCAACTACCACACCCCGAGAGTTAAGACGCTATAGATCAACTACTACACCCCGAGAGTTAAGACACTATAGATCAACTACCACACCCCGAGAGTTAAGACACTATAGATCAACTACCACACCCCGAGAGTTAAGACACTATAGATCAACTACCACACCCCGAGAGTTAAGACGCTATAGATCAACTACCACACCCCGAGAGTTAAGACGCTATAGATCAACTACCACACCCCGAGAGTTAAGACACTATAGATCAACTACCACACACCCCGAGAGTTAAGACGCTATAGATCAACTCACTACACCCCGGAGAGTTAAGACACTATAGATCAACTACTACACCCCGAGAGAGTTAAGACAGCTTACAGATCAATCTACCACACCTGAGAGTTAAGACGCTATAGATTCACCACACCCTGGAGAGTTAAGACACTATAGATCAACTACCACACCTCGAGAGTTAAGACACTTACAGATCAACTACCACACCCCTGAGAGTTAAGACGCTTAGATCAACTACCACACCCTGAGAGTTAAGATTATAGATCAACTACCACACCCCGAGTTAAGACACTACAGACCAACTACCACAATTTGAAGCAAAAACATCTAGATCAATCATCACACCCTGAGAGTTAAGACACTACAGATCAACTACCACACCCTGAGAGTTAGACACTACAGATCAATCTACCACACCCTGAGAGTTAAGACGCTATAGATCAACTACCACACCTCGGAGAGAGTTAAGACACTATAGATCAACTCACACCCCGAGAGTTAAGAGCACTACAGATCATCCACCACACCAGAGAGTTAAGACACTATAGATCAACTACCACACCCCGAGAGTTAAGACGCTATAGATCAACTACCACACCCGAGTTAAGACAATTATAGATCAACTACCACACCCCGAGAGTTAAGACGCTATAGATCAACTACCACACCCCGAGAGTTAAGACACTATAGATCAACTACCACACCCCGAGAGTTAAGACGCTATAGATCAACTACCACACCCCGAGAGTTAAGACGCTATAGATCAACTACCACACCCCGAGAGTTAAGACACTATAGATCAACTACCACACCCCGAGAGTTAAGACGCTATTATGCTAAACCTGGAACACAAGATTGAAATCAAATATGTTTGCACAACAACTCGGCCTTGCTAACACTAAAGAGACTGGCACGCTGGTCAGGGTCTGCAGGTCCCGCCTTGATATGATACAATACATTGTTCAGGGAGTTTTCTGGTTTGATCCAATACCATGAGACTGAGGGAGCTTACGGCTCTTCTCATAATGCAACAGATACTCAGTGAACAGTCGTTAATAATGGAAAATCTTGTCAGAAAACGAGAAGTGAAAATTATATTTCTATAATAAACAGCTTGTACAGTACAAGTGGTTAGATAGACAGATATAAATAAATTAGTAGATAGAAATATAGATAGACTGATGGATAAAGACAGACCGATATAGACATAGATGGATAGATTACTAACTAGACTGATGATTGAGGTAAATATATATAGATAGATGAACCAATACAGAATGACTGATAAAGACATATAAAAGTATATGTTAACAAAAGTAACGTAATTGATGATAAACTGAGATGGGAGACAAGGAAAAAACTAATGTTTGGTGTGAATGAAAATAAAGTGGATGTAATGATGCGTTTCAGGTATGAGGGAGTGAAGGAGTGGAACCAATCAATACAGAATATATGGAAGTGGAAGTAAGGTGGTAAAGGAAGGGAGAGGGGTTCTGGCTGGATTAAATCATTTACTTAAGAGAAAATCCAACAACGACGATTCAAGCCAATAATTCCTTCACTATCATAGTATTATTTCGGACACCACTAACGTTCGTCCAAGATAATCTCAGAAAATTCACAAACTCCCTCAAAGTCAACAAACAATAATAATAAATAAAAATAAATGAATCAAAACTATTTCAGCCATTTATCTTTCCATTTGCCCTCTAAGAATACCAATTAACTCAACCCCAGAAAATAATCACAAATCATCGACAGCTTTTACGAGATACTTTACCCTACTGCTGGTGGTTACAAGTCCTCGCACATATACCAGGGATATTTAACCACGGTCTATCTTATCCCATAGTGACAACAAAATAGCCTGTATACAATGGCTGTGACAAGGAACGCCGCCTTTATGGTTCAAACGTGAAAGCTTCTTCTTGGAAAACAAACAGAGCGTTCCCAGCCAATGGTTATGTCATGGTAGTCAACCCAGGGATGTGACAGGAGGTGTTTAAATACCTCTGGCTTATATCTGCATATGGTAACACATCCTTATAGTGTTCTTTAAATTTGGTCTCAAGGAACTAACCACTAACAGTCCTACACCATGGCATAAAATCTCTCGGGGGGTGGGGCAGGGTACGTTTGTGGGCGTGTCAGTGTGTGTCTACGTAAGTGCATTTCAGATTATGTTCTACAGATCAGAAACCTATATAAGGCATACTCGTGCACATAGAATAAATGCCCCGTTCTCAAAAAACAACAACTGTAAATAAACTTCAAAAATATATATATATATAATTATTGAGTCTCATCATATCTTACTGTAAGCCAGACCAGACAAGGGCTATCACCTTTCATCAACCAGATAAATGAACCTAATTAAAAATCTCACAAGACAACTCCGGGTTTTACGCGTTGCACAAACAAAATCATTTTGTATTACTTCACTCGACAAGAAAACTAAATATAGCCACCTAAGATAGCAACCTAAGTCCTTAGAGGGAGATCTAGAACTTAAAAATGGGGTTAAATCGTGAAAGACTAAACTGAGCCATCCATTTTAAGGACGCTCTTGGCTCCCCACCCATGAATGAAGGTTTACTGATGGCTGATGATCAATGGTGGCTCCATGGTCGACCTCCACCACCCATATATAAGTGGACACCAACGTCCGTCTACCATCATTCACTCCACATCCTCCACACGCTCCTCATCTTCCCTCACTTGCCAGAAACATGTGGACTAAGGTGGTTGTGTGTGACTTTTCAATAGCTACATGTTCTTTATAATTCACATTTATACAAATATCACGATAAACATCAGTTCTTGTGTATGATGTTATAAATCAAGAGCACGAACGTTACAATGAAATTATAGTTAAGTAAATAATGAGACACTGTTGACCATATGTATTATAATAATTTATACGTGACCTACATCCCTCTACAGGCGGCCCTGGTGGTGGTGGTGGTTGGCGTGGCTCTCGCTGCCCCCTCTGACTCCTACGCCCCGCCCAGACACCAGCCCGCCTACAATGAGGTAAGATGCAGGTTATCAAGTACAGTGATATATTGCTTTGTTGCCTGACGTGCGTTACATGTGCGGGAATATATGGGATTGTTCCTTCGTGTACACAAGTAGAGTGAGATATGGGGTCGATTCCCGATGCACAGTGAAATAGGGAGGTGTTCCCTCGTGTTCAGTATATGTTTAAAGTTTACTGACATACAGGTTATTGTTTAACGTAAATATTAAAGACTAGAGTAACTTGAGAAGGACGTGTCTTATGTTATAAATGTGATGACACTTTGATTTTCCCGATGTGCATGCCATACTGTACACATAGACTTACTTCCTGACACGCAAGTCACTTTCGGCTACAGTGCATAAGTGCTATTTAGGGAAAATGGGTTCACTTTCGGATTACACTTTACAAATTTTGGTTATGTTTGGGAATCATGTTATAGCCAGGTCAATATTTACCCATCTAGGAGCTCATGCCGTACCAGTTTGAGTACGGTGTGAAGGACGAGTACTCCGGCACCGACTTCGGCCAGAACGAAGTATCTGACGGCAAGGCTGTGACAGGCTCCTACACCGTCCAACTCCCCGACGGTCGCAAACAGACGGTGAGATGCCTCTATATGTCTTAATCTTATTCACTTTATAACATGATTATTTTTTTAAATCACAATACATAAACCAAGCAAGAAATTTAGAAAATTAACATGTTTGGTCTCCGGCAGGTGACCTACGTGGCGGACCACTACGGCGGCTACCAGGCTGAGGTTGAGTACTACGGCGAGGCTCAGTACCCCCACGAGTACGGCCCCCCCGTCACCTTCAAGCCCCAGTCTTATGGCCATCCCCAGCCCTCATACCAGCCCAAGCCCTCATACCAGCCCAAGCCTTCATACACACCCGCGCCATCATACCAACCTACACCCTCATACCGTCCCACACCCTCATACCGTCCCACACCCTCATACCGCCCCACTCCCTCATACCATTAAGACCTTGTATTTTATCCCCCCTGACATGTTCAGTGCCCACTAAATTATGTTTGTATTGTAAATAAAACTGCAGCATCAACCAGTGTATCAAAACCTCACGTTACACACTGAAATAAAGGTGTATAGAGTTCCAAGGTCAAATTTCATGGAGGAAAACATAAAAAAACTAAAATAATATGTTTTAATAGTTTGAAAGTTGTATTAAAAACAATAATAAAGTGTGTGTGTGTGTGCGTGTGTGTGTGTGCGTGTGCGTGTGTGTGTGTGTGTGTGTGTGTGTGAGTCGTTATCTCATATTTCAGTTCTATCGATTCACTAATGAAAAATATGTGAATAATACAATCGTTTAGCCTTTTCTTCACTAGCCTTCCTTCATTACTCTTTCAGTCTCTCACACCACCACTGACAACCCTGACTATAGATCTCCCAACAGTACAGTCCTCGCTATCAACCCCTAAAATAGTTGTTCTACGCGAGTAACTACCATTGACACAAGGGTCTCTCGCAGCTGAGAGTCTCATATAACACAAGCGTATATGGACGTTTCTCAAGAGGTGGTGGAGCTTGAAGAGTGTACACAGGCATGAGGATAACAAGAGGGAGGTAATACTACTGCCGACATGATAGCCAAAGCTGGAGTGTTTAAGCGCTGCGATAATATTGGTATTCTGGTGCAGGAACAGTGTGAGTGAGGTATCAGGGACGAGGAATAATGTGGTATAGCAAATGGAGTATTACTAAACTTACCACTTAAGTTGTTAGGGTGTAATTTTGAACATAATGGAATCATGATGCGAGTTCATTTCTGAAACCCCCACGAAAAGGTGTATTTTAACCAAAGGGATATTCTGGTAATACAGTAGGTGGTGTTTTGGGTTAAGTATTAGTCAACTTTTTTTTTTGCCGGTGGAAGCTAACAAAAAAATCTATGAAACTGGTTCAATAACAAAAGGGTGTATTTCTGAACTACTCTAATGACTGTTTCTTCACCGAGGGAACATTACCTACACACACAAAAAAAAACAGAAATCAGGACAGGTAATATGAGAGAACTGAACCACTACACTCAACGTAATGTTCCATAGTGCCGTCCTGCATCTTCATTTAGTATGCGAAACTTAGAACAATAGTTGAAATTAAAATAAATGTTTAGCTACTTGTTCCAGCTAACACTGAGCAGTAGTGAAGAGTCCATCACATTTTGAAGAAACTGTTTTCATAGTTTCTTCAGATAATATGATTCTATACCGGATTCAATAAAGACGTGAATCCTTAAAACTTCTCACATTACTAAGATAAAATTAAGTGAACCATGGATCCCACAAATGACGTGATGATTATACATGTTTTAAGATAAGAACAGCGGCTATGTCTTGACTGCTGCCAGATGTTCAAGGTGTAGGGCTGAAGATCCAAGGATCACAACAGCCCTTAATTGGCATTTTGACCCCGTGAAGTAGAGGCCAAGAACGACTTCACGATGAATAAAAGTTTATTATGATTTTCACTCAAGTCGGTCCCGGGTTTATCCAGCCGCCTTATCCGCTAGTTCTCCTGATCAAAGCCCCTTTGACATTTTCCTTGAAGTTATGTCAAAAAATTATGTTTTGCTCCATCAGTGGCAGCAACTTTTGATAAACAGAAAGAAAGGATACGTGAGATGCTTAGAATACTTCAGTACGTTATGTTGCAAACTGTCTGCAGAACCACAAGAACTCATAATGAACTTTTATAGATTGATAAAACTTTTTTTTGAGTCTTCTTTATTAGTAATCTTATTTGTTACTGTAACTTGGTTAGGTTAGGTACACATGGAAGATAACGTTTGAACTCACACCACTGGAAAATAGCGCAGTGTGTATGAGAACGAGCTCAAGGACTGACGTTTCAAGAATCATAAATAGCCAATACAAACTAAATAAATACATACAGTAACAAACATATGTGAATTATTTACACACAAAAACTGGCCTTGTTGGTCATCAGGGAGGCCAGCATCTTACACGGCAGCTAGTGTAATAACAACCAGGGTGAGAGCCATCAGTCAGCCAGAGGAGTGATTACCACACAACATCTAACGTGGACTTGACGCTGTTAACAGACCATGAATTCTTACAGCCCAACACATTACCTGACCACATACGTCACACATTAAAAAATCGCCACACAGTACTTGGCTACACTCATAACACATTATATAGCAGTCACACATTACCTGGCCATATACGTCACCCTACACTCATTAAAGAGAGGTTCTCTAGATGGCCAGTAGGTCAGGTCACTGATGTACGATCAATATCGGTGGGGTAACAGGTCGGTGTCCCCTATAGTTTAATTCCTCGCATTCTATATTTTGCCAAAACTGTCGCCTAAAACAATGAATCTGTACAACCAACGAAGCTTTTTCTCAATTTTTATTTAACACGCTGAGTATATTTAAGTTATATTTCAGGACAACTTTCCAAGTTTGTTGTGATACAAAAAGAGGGAAGAATTGAGCAACCTAAAACACGTAGAATACACGACTCAATATTGTGTAAGTTTCAGTAGCCTGCCCTCTATCAGTCAACAAAGTCTGGTTCAACAATGGCACATAAATAAAAACGTTGGGATAAATAAAAGACTAAGCCACATTTGTAGTACATCCACCAGTTTGAAGTGTCCGATATATACCGGCAAGTCTTTTAAAAAATAAAAGTGAAAACTCGTGGTCAGAAAATTTTTACATGGTATTTTAATGGGAGATCAATGCTGTGCAGTTGACATCTAAAAATTTCAAGAAACTGTTGACCTGGTATACAATTAAAAAGTCAGAACGTGGAACCTGGTGGTTTCAGTTGGCTAGTATTATACGTAACTGCATGATCCTGCGGGAGTGACCCCAAAACACACATCACTAGTTTCGCTTCTGAAGGAGTTCCCTCCCTCCCTCCCTCCGAGGGGTCTCTGTCCTCCGAACGACTCGCAGACAATTTCACTCAAGAGGAAACACTGCAGTTAGTGACAGTAATTAGTGAAACCTATACTACAAATTCCGAAGAAAATTATACGTCACTTACCACTCGAGGCCACGAAGGGAGACCTAGAGCTCAAAATGGTGTTCAATCACACGAGACTAAAGTGAGCCCTTCACTTTCAAGAAGTGAAAGAGAAGGCGCTCTTGGCTTCCCACCCACGACTGAAGGTTTACTGGTGGCTGGTGATCAATGGTCGACCTCCACCACCCATATATAAGTAGACACCAACGTCCGTCTACCATCATTCACTCCACATCCTCCACAAGCTCGTCATCTCCCCTCATTCACCGGAAACATGTGGACCAAGGTGGTGCTCTCTGACTTATTAATAGTTATACAAACTTTTCAATTCACACAGCAGTTCAAGATGTGTTTATCTTGTAAATTACGAGTACAAAGATATTTTAATTCAAAATATATTACTTTTTTGGTTAGCATATATAGTAAACTAATGCAGACGTGATCTATATCCTCCCTACAGGCGATCTTTACATTAGTGGTGGTGGGCGTGGCTCTTGCTGCCCCCTCCGACCGCTACGCCGCACCCAACCACCAGCCCACCTACGAGGAGGTAAGTTACATGTTACCAAGTACAGTGATACATGAGCATATTTACCGTGGTTCAGGTTACACAGTAATGACAGTACAGTATAATGATATACTACATGATGTGCGTTACATGACCAGTTTGTAATGAGGTTCCCAACGTTCAAGTTACAGTACAGTCACGTCTTGTATTGTTTGCTATTGTTCAAGTTTGAGAGATATCGATATATAGGGCTGTTACCTAATGCACCGAATACAAAATACATTGACATGTGGGTTTGTTTCCTTAATTTACATGTTACAGTGCACATTATGGGTGGTTCCTCTATACACATGTTACAAAGTCCTGATTTATGGAGTTGTATTGAGGTGTTCATGATACAGAATACAAATATGAGTGAGATTACATGGGAGGTGTATGACGTCAGTGCAACAGGTTGTTCCCAAAAGTAAATATTTAAAACTTTGCTGATTTGTGATGTTTTGTAATGGTCATATTACTTCTCCCACTGACAGCTCATGCCGTACCAGTTTGAGTACGGTGTGAAGGACGAGTACTCCGGCACCGACTTCGGCCAGAACGAAGTATCTGACGGCAAGGCTGTAACAGGCTCCTACACCGTCCAACTCCCCGACGGTCGCAAACAGACGGTGAGATGCCTCTACATTTCCTAGTATTATTCAATCAGTAATTTTTTTTTCTTAATATACAACACACTAATCAACAAATAAATTGAGATAATTAACATGTTTGGTCTCCGGCAGGTGACCTACGTGGCGGACCACTACGGCGGCTACCGGGCTGAGGTTGAGTACTACGGTGAGGCTCAGTACCCCCACGAGTACGGTCCCCCCGTCACCTTCAAGCCCCAGTCTTACGGCCATCCCCAGCCCTCATACACACCCCAGCCCTCATACACACCCCAGCCTTCATACACACCCCAGCCTTCATACAAACCCCAGCCAACACCCTCATACCGCCCCACACCCTCATACCGCCCCACACCCTCATACCACCCTACACCATCTTATCACACCACACCATCTTATCACACCACACCCTCATACCACTAAACCTTGTCCCGCCGCCTGACATGTCCAGTCTCCATTAAATTATTTATCTAGCGTGTAAATAAAACTGCAGCATCAACAGGTGTTTCCTAACCTCACATACCATGTTTATATACTCGACTCACGATGACAAAACTGATTATCGAATTACTACAAAATAAAAGGCAAAAAATATCTAAAAAAAAATCGTTTAAACTTGTTTTTTGTAAGAACTACGCCTTGGTGAACAGTCCTCTACAGCCCTGGTGGATGAGGCACGCAATACGACACTACAACCATCACCACAGCAATCCTTTAGAAGGAAAAAATACATAGAAAATATTCATTCATGGATTTTGCATATATTTATAAGAGTAAGTCAACCCTATGTTAGTCAGAAATCAATATGGAGAGGTGGCCCATCTCTCCCGACATAGTGGCAGCCCAGACAGTGAATTAGACTGATGCCTGTCGTCTCTGTCACTGTTTACAGGATCAGTGTAACAATACAGCTCTTCATTAAGAATATATAATGACTTATCCTATCTCATATTTCTTGGTTTATACAGGTACTGGCTACATTAATAAAGGAACTGATGACGTAGAAGTAAAGAACTATCTAAATTGATTCAACGAAAGTAAAGAAATATTCCAATATATAAATACGCTCATAATGTTCTTCATAACGAGTAAAAAAAAGGCCCGAGGTTTAATTCCATAACTTCCCTCTGTATGAAGCCTTAAAAACACAATGGCGTGGAATTATGTAAAATATCAAATATACAGAAGAAGATTGTGACGATATAAAGTGAAGTATGATATTACGATGGACAACTCCTTGGTAAGAAAAATAAGACATATATCTGAGTTTAGTTCATTATCGTGTGTGTGTGTGTGTGTGTGTGTGTGTGTCAGCTATAATGAGGGATGAGGTAGAATGAAATATTTAAGGACCACCATGAAGAATTGTGACATAGATAGTAAAAAAATATATATATATATATATATATATATATTAAAAGGTAACACTAGGATTTTTTCCCTTAGGGCGGAGGGAGAAGCGGCTCTACAAGCACCACATAAACCAGGTATATCACGTAGTGTAGAGTACAATTACTGACAAAACTCACTCGCCGCTTGGCAATATCTACAACTTACTTGTGTATGAAATTAGTTTTATATTCTGAACTCATATTAAAATTATCTAAGTCCAGTTACGAAGCTTTACAGTGGAACAGCTGAATTATATATTGTTTGTAAAAATATCAATGTAGATTAATGGGAAAAAGACACGGTTCTTAGTTAAACCGTAAGTGGTCTACCATAGCGGTCTGTAGCTTCACATTTTCTATTAAATTTGGAACACTGAGTACGATGAAGTGTGTCGAGTTACTAGCTCTCCGTAACACTGAGGTATGAGAATTAGCGTAGCGTCTGGTATCAACTACCTGTACATACAAAAAGCAAGTTTTTGACGTATTTCAATATATTTTTAAAAGTGAATCAGTGAAGGGTGGTGGGATGAAATCCTAGACAAGGTTCTTCAAACTCCAGAGCACGAGCAGTAGATATATTCAATAAGTGGTACAAGACTTGGCGTGATAGCCAACCGGTACAGGAACAGGAGCCAGCACAAGGAACTCCTCGTCGTAGGCAGGCCGAAGCCGATCTGAGGGATGTTAGCTAGCTAGGCAAGGAGAGTTGCTAGACATTACTAGGACAATAAATGAGGTCTTCTAATTACTCGACTAGCGCGGTACAGACATAGTACATCGGGACATAGTAAGTGAACATAGGCATTAGACATAAGCATAGATATCAAACATGCTATAATAATATGTAGTAATACAGACATGTGAATAAATGGTACAATGAATGGTAACAGAGTCTTGGCGTCAGGCGTGTTCACATATCTTGGTACCCACACATCTATACAAAGGGCACAAGGGACGTATCACATAAGTTTACATCAAGTAGTTAAGGCCTGTGTATGTTTTATGACATGGAGGTAGTTATTGCATGTTAGTGTGTGTTGTGGGCACGAGCACTGAGTAAATGTCAGTCCCGGTATCCGTGGTGTAAGGGTTTGTTCAGTGAGGACTATCAAGACCCAGAGTGTACACGGCTGCGTTTCCTTACATCTCAATTGATTTGGTTCTGGGGTGGTTGAGGACTTACAGGTAAATAACATTATGTATAAGTGAGTGCATGTGTCTAGGGCGCCTGTACCCTCTGATACTTAACTCTCATAACAACACAAATAACATAATTATACAGTACAATAAAATGGGCAAGATACCAGTATGCTATAACACTGTAAGCATGTATTTCCCCCATTGAGTAAATCACGTACAGAACAGCAGACAAATAAATGGTTTAGTCATGTACAGTAGTTTCAATCAATTCCATCAGTGAAAATTTGAACTAGAAAGTCATATTTGGAGCTGTTGAGGCAGCTAAACGAAGAGTTTTATTTTAAAAATCCATAAATAAACAACAAAATAGTGTAGATATTGAGGTCGTGTATCCCGCGATAACAAGAGAGAACAACAATCATCCAACAAACAAACTACAACACAGTTTACACGGGCCTTACGTAATGACTCAAACATATAGTTATATCTTACATCATGTGACTTTAAGCTGTACATTATATTATTAGTATTACAACCAGCCCCTTTCGTCAGCACTCGTATGTCAGGTCAGTGATGCGAGACCAATATTAATGGATCAACTGACGATTGTAACATTTCATGGTATTTACGCAATTAATGAACCTTAAATCGCTACCTCTGATGACAGCAACAGACCACAGACAAGATAACCACCGCCCGAGGCCCTGGACGCAGAACTAGAACTTTATAATAGTGCTACACCGTGCAAATATAAACTGAGCCATCCATTTTAAGGACGTGAGACGGAGGACGCTCTTGGTCCCCCACCCATGACTGAAGGTTTACTGATGGCTGGTGATCAATGGTTGACCTCCACCACCCATATATAAGTGGACACCATCACCCGTCCACCATCATTCACTCCACATCCTCCACACGCTCCTCATCTCCTCTCATTCAGCGTAAACATGTGGACCAAGGTGGCGCCTCAGACACTATAGTTATATACTGTTTATAACTTACGCTTCTCAAATGATATATCATAGATGAAATTGAGTTCAGATGTTTACAGGCGTGTTACTACATGCACGAAAAATTATTTTCTTTTACCAACCATATTACAACCACCATGAGACATTCTAAAGCAAACACAAAGCATCCAAGTACACTGTGTTAACAAGTGACATAATTTTCCTACAGGCGGCCCTAATGATGATGATGATGGTGGGCGTGGCTCTCGCTGCCCCCTCCAACTCTTACGCCCCACCCACACACCAGCCCACTTACGCCCCACAGCAGCCTACCTACGCCCCACACCAGCCCACCTACAAGGAGGTAAGTCCTGGCCGCCACAGTTCAGGTATTGCCAAACATGTCTTTGGTGTGATGAATACAATGGTTTATAATGGCAGTGGACTGATTAAAGACTCGCCCACCGTGAAGACGACTTGTTCAGCAGTGAGGGAGCTTCAGGAGCCGTTAATCACCTAACCCATTCAATTGCCACCAATTGCAGAATCAATGTCTGACGATTCTCTTGTAACACTTCTAAGTATCATAGAGTTCTTAATGGACTAGTTTCACCATGTAAATGCAAAAGGTGTAGGATTAATGAGACAAATATATCACAAAATTAGGTAGTATCAGGTACCGATTTACGAAACTTGCCCCGCCAGGAGCTCATGCCGTACCAGTTTGAGTACGGTGTGAAGGACGAGTACTCCGGCACTGACTTCGGCCAGAACGAAGTATCTGACGGCAAGGCTGTAACAGGCTCCTACACCGTCCAACTCCCCGACGGTCGTAAGCAGACGGTAAGACACCTCCACATTTCTTAGCCTTATTCACTTTATAACATGACAACTTTTTAAAATCACAACACTAATCAACAGATAAATCCAGATAATTAACATGTTTGGTCTCCGGCAGGTGACCTACGTGGCGGACCACTACGGCGGCTACCGGGCTGAGGTTGAGTACTACGGCGAGGCTCAGTACCCCCACGAGTACGGCCCCCCCGTCACCTTCAAGCCCCAGTCTTATGGCCACCCCCAGCCCTCATACCAGCCCCAACCCTCATACCAGCCCCAGCCTTCATACACACCCGCGCCATCATACCATTAGATTATCCTAGACCAAATCACGACGTTGAACACAGCTAACGACCAACACCCTTAAGTGTTTTCCCATGCTTAGTATCCTGTATAAATTATGAATACATATTAAAGGAAAAAAATACATGATCGTGTTTATATCAACCCCACACAATATAGGCACTGAAACGTATATAATTATTAACTGACAATTTAAATACATAACTAGTGAATATTTTTTTTCTTGTCTACACACTTAATGGTTGAAAGACATACTTATCACCTGGATTATACTAAACTCTCCCTTAAATTAATTCTACGTTTCTAATTTGTTTACCTTTCTCACACCTCGTGCAGTCACTGTAAAGAGTTCGTGCCGTTATATGTAAAAAGGGAAAACTTAGCTTCAAGCAGAGTGTGTCATCAGAAGCATCACAGGTTTAAACACTACACACATTAAACACCATTCACTACACTATTCATGATTTTCAGCGTTCTTTGCCCCCCCCCCCCTTAAGGAAGTCTCCCGTCACTTTCTCTGAAAAGTTCCCACACTTTCTAAAATTCTGATTATTTACGTTTTTACTTTAATTCTAATATTTTTATACCAGTAACTTCCAATTAGTTAATAAAAATACATTAAGAAACGTTGAAATCAGACATTTGATTTATTCCAAAAAGTTAGGTTCAGTATGGATACAGCATATTGTATACTAAAGCCTTCAGTGCCTTACGCAGGGAGGGGTGACCGGCACTGCGCTTTTAATATTAATAAATGCTACCGAAAGAAACACCGCATATCTGGAAGCTCAATTAATTATGGGAAAACAAATACAGATGATTCCTGCTCTGGGGAATAAACTAACAACAAGAGTGAAAGTTACTGTAGAAGCGCAACAAAGTATCTCTTGGCGCCTTTTCGAATTAAGTCAACAGTATCCCTCAGAGCCCACATTAAACACAATACTCACTAGACTATGACGTATCACTGCACACCGGTCAGCCTGAATGATCACTTTCAGTCCGGTTCACATACATCAGTCTGAAACACATGCCTGAAAGTCTGACTGACGCACATTAGTCTGAAAAACGTATCTATTTAGCTGAAACATGTATCAGACCGTTTTATAATAGTGTCAGTCGAATTCAAGTGCATGAATTATACAGTACGTCACTAGTTTGTCTGCCACCACGATCTCCTCTGTACATAAATGAACGTGTTATTACTATACGCTATAAAAATCTTTCTATATATAACAGAGTAAAATATTAAATCCTCAATGTATTGGTCAAGTGCCTTTTCGAGCCTAGTCTGAATCAGGTGCTGAGTGCCTCTTAATTGTCAGGCTAAATACACGGTTTAAATTTCAAGTTAAGGTAATCTAAATTAGGCGGTCTCTCTAATCTCCTTGGGGGGAAAAATCAGTCTGAATAAAGCACCTCTATAATACTCAGGCATAATAAAGCTCTCAATTTCAGCCTCAGTCTGACTCACATAGTAAACAACTAAGTGGAGGTGTGGTGCGGTCTGTGGTGCGGTCTGTGGCCTCCCTTAGGGCCTTCACTTCACAGTCACTGCCAGACTCACGCATTGTTTACTGATGCGCACCAGCGACCTTCTCCCTCACTCACTCACTACCGTAGAACGACACACCCATCATACACCTACACCCTCAGTACATACACCCACCATACACCTACACCCTCAGTACACACACACCCACCATACACCTACACCCTCAGTACATACACCCACCATACACATACACCCTCAGTACACACACACCCACCATACACCTACACCCTCAGTACACACACCCACCATAACACCTACACCCTCAGTACACACACCCATCATACACCTACACCCTCAGTACATACACCCACCATACACATACACCCTCAGTACACACACCCACCATACACCACACCCACACACACACCCACCATACACCTACACCCTCATTACACACACCCACCACCTACACCCTCACACACACACCCACCATACACCTACACCCTCAATACACACACCCACCATACACCCACACCCTCATTACACACACCCACCGTACACCTACACCCTCATTACACACCACCTACACCCTCAGTACACACACCCACCATACACCTACACCCTCAGTACACACACCCACCATACACCCACCATACACCTACACCCTCAGTACACACACCCACCGTACACCTACACCCTCAACACTTCCTCTCATCATTTATATTCACCCTTTGTACCATCTTGCAATTTAACCATTTCACACAGCTATGACACCAAGTAACCTAATGTCGTGTAACTCATAATTCCCGTCTCATAAAACCAAATAAAAGTCACTACTACAAAAATAATCCCTCACACAAAAGCCTAAAGTGTGAAAAGTCCCCATTTAAGTATTTTTTTTTAAGTATCTGTCTTACAACGGGGTTAATATTGGCTAAGTAAACACCACTCATGATTACAAGTTCTAAATTTAGTTGAAAAAAAAATAATTAAATAAATTAGTCACGAAAATACAGTAATAAAATAAGTCAGATAAGAAGTTTTTAAACATTTTTATATATCACTCTAGGGAAATATTAAAATGAAATACCTTTTATTTACCCAAATGCCAAATACAAATGCCTTTATATTACCCAAATAACTATGTCGACTTAACTTTCAGCCATTGTCAAAGGTTGAGAGAGAGAGAGAGAGAGATATTAAGATTCAATTTCTCCTCATTACTTATTCAGGGTTGTCATTATTTTTTTTAGCTCCACTCGAAAGCCGTTCGACAATGCATTTCCCCTCCAATAATCAGCAAACAAGCTCGCTGTATTTGCATAATGCCTCGATCACTGCATGCAACCCCGCTCTGAGACCACCGCCACAGTCTTCCCATACACATTCTCTCAGGAGCATTTCACTGAGCGGAGACCACAAACCTTCCCCCCCAGCACATTTGAAGAGCATGGGAAGTTAAAAGTAAACTAGATATCGTCCTGTTTCTATATCACCTCTTGAACACCCTACCAATAATTCTCTATCTGTATTCTCTCAGTCACAAGGTCGTAAAGTTCCACACATTCTCTTTCTACTTTGTTGTCTCTTCTAAATTACTAAGTAGTACACTCTACTCACGAATTTATTTATCTTCCTCCATCTGGGTGTTTGTCTCTGAATTAATCTTACGAAAAATTTATCCGGTATTTATTTTTGCGCCTGTACCTGTGTTTTTACATCTGGTTGTAATAATAAAATACTGAACATTGTTTTTGCTTAAATTACAAATACAGTTATATTTACATCTGCTCGGTACTTATGTATTTACTTTTTATTAAATGCCAAATAAACACTACCGATGCCTTCTGGATTGCTGTGTCGGGATTTTTTTTTTTAGAATTACCATCTAACAAATACAGGGACAAATAAGTTTATTAAATGAGCTGGACGACGTCAAGGCCACAAAACATCAATTGCCTCACCAGATGTCCTCGTCTGCAAATAACCACCAATTTATCTCCAATCTTCCACTTACATACAGCTCTCTATATGCTTCTAGCCTTTTCCAGGCACCTGAGGAGGAAGGGGTCAACAGAGTGGGAACCCCCATACACACACACAAAAAAAAGTACACCACACGCATTAACTTCCAAAGCTAAGTCTCCAAACTTCCACACACTCAATCCCATTCAAAAGTTTTAAGTCAATTCCCTCAACGTTTCAGGGGCTGGCATCGACACCCCCTGACAACTAGTTACTCGCCACCTGTTATCGATTGGCATTTAAGAGCTCAGCGGGGAGGTACGGACCCTTACGCCAAGGTTACTGATTTCTGTACATTACCCTGTGTGACGCCGGCACTCGGGGAACTACACCACGTACCTGTAAAGAAAGACAAATTTAGTAATGGACTTTATTAAACGACAATATAACTATACATTATGATACTGTAATGTACCTCACACCTGTTAGATGAGACACCAAATAATCACACCTTACTTTACACTGACAAACTCTCAACTAAGATGCTGCAGGCACTCTGATGATTAAACACAATTAACATCTGTCAGCCTATTCTCGGCCCAAGTAACATAAGTCACACTCAAACAATATAAATAGGCCTACATACCGGTATATACCCACTTCCACCACGTCAGCTCTTAACGAAGATGTCACAGTCACTCTTGGGTGATAAAAAAATAATAAAACGTTACTTGCATGTTCTGTGTACTGATGACGAAGATGAGACAGCACTATGTTACACCACCAACAGCGTATATTTTCCTCTACGTGTCGTGAAGCACTCGAACCATGAGTCATTGATATTCATTTAACAAGGCAACACGTACTGTAATATATGGAGCATCTTCATTCAATCCTTAATTCTGATAAACTTATGCTGTATTTTTTTATTTTTTAGGGGTCATGATGAATTACTCGCGTCAGGAGTTACAGAATTTAGCGGCAACATCGGCATTTGAAGCGTCTGCCTTCATTCCTCCATTTTGGTGATTTGTGACGGAACAACTTCGCATAAAAGAAATAAAAAATTATCATTTCTAAAATAACTGACCCCACAATTTCGTCATGCTGACAACATAACCTCGTTCCTCTTATATAACTGAACTGTTATGCATAAGATGATTCAGACTTTAAGAGGTGGACTTGACTTTGACCTGAAGATGCTTTTAATGACAGGAACCTTCTTGGCAAGATTGTTCTCTGTATACAAGATTCAGAGCTTGGTATGTTTTTTTTTTCCTTTCTTGGCAGCCGGGTTTTAGACCTAAAAAAAAAAACTCCCTGTCAAGGATCCGAAGTGTTGCCATTTAATTATTTCCCTGCTAAATACTAATATGGATAAGGACATACAGGTATGCTATTTGTAATAGATGTAAGGAACTTAGGTTTACTGATCACAGATTAGTTCTGCCAAACAGTTTATTCTTGTAAACGTTGTTTTTACATTTGTTCTTAAAAATTCCAGCAAGATTTAAATGACGAAAAAAACAAGCCTGTCTTCAAGCTGCCATTCTTTCGCAAACCTTGTTCATATTTTCCTTGTAATTTCTGTTTTATAGTTTCTAGAGCTCGACATATGTGTGTGTTACAGCCATCTTACACAACACCTCAGGAGATAAGAGGTTTTTTAAGTAAATCTGCAACACACACGCAAGTATGGACCAGCTCGCCGTAGTGTGTACTCTGTCCCCTCCACAGTTTACCCAATATCGATTTACCGTGTCAGGGAGAATTATCGCTCAGGCCTCCTGGAAGAAGTTTCCTTTGGGCTTTTGTTGACATCATAATTTAAGTAATTAGCATAACCATAACCATATGCTCTCGTATTATCTGGCACAAAAAAATTATGAATAGTCGTTTTTCGTTGATATGCAGATGTAGGAAACCGTAGAGCGTTATAGTTGATAGTGAAGTAAGGCGTAAATACATTCATGTACACGGAAGAACATAAACAACATGTCGGTGACAGCAGTGAGAAAGTGAACAATATTCAGCGCATTCTGGGTGATATACTGGTGCAGGAATTATGTTCCAGGTACCCAGACCAACGCCACGCTGATGACCGCAATAAGATAGGAAGTAATTCAACTATCAGACGAACACCAATACAATGCAGGCATTCCAGTAAGACAATGTTAAAAGCACCGGAAGCAGGAAAAGTCAGTTCCGGTAAACTGGGAGCGGCTTCATGCAAAGACCCACCGAGTCCACTTAACCGGCGGTAAAATACTACGTAGTGTCACATAAATATCTCCATTACAGTATTCACCACATGCAGCGCCTCATGACTAACTCAGCAACAACAACATTATCAACTTGCTGGAGGCGATGTGAACGTCTCGTGAGTAATATAATCCAACACCATTGTGGAGTTTCTCACGTAATTATCAGTTACAACCCCGCCCCCCACCCTACCCTCCCCAAATACCTCTCATCCCACAGTCTAAAGTGGCATCGCTGGGGCAATTTCCTGCTGCTTTTCACTCTTCCCTCCTCCTCACCCCCTCTCTCTCTATCTCAGATTTCTTATTGCAAATTGGGATCATTACGACACCAGCAAATAGCGCCAAAGGTCAGATGCCAAAGAAAGGTATAACGATATAAAGGTGGTTGACGCCTTGACTACGATGACAGTCTCGCCTCAGTGCCTCCCCCACCCACACACACACAGCCATGTTTCACAAGGTAAGTCACATTGTCCTTTTCCCCAAGTGTAGTTTAAATTTGTCTATTCCACAAGTGTGAATTGGTCCTGTTTTATGAAAGGTTTAAGTTGTCCTGTTTCATACATGAAGGTTAAATTGTACTGTTCCACAAGCTACAACATACTACAATGTTCCACAAGCTACAACACACTACACTGTTCCACAGGCTACAACATACTACAAAATTCCACAAGCTACAACATACTACAATGTTCCATAAGCTACAACATACTACACTGTTCCACAAGCTACAACACACTACACTGTTCCACAAGCTACAACACACTACACTGTTCCACAAGCTACAACACACTACACTGTTCCACAAGCTACAACACACTACACTGTTCCACAAGCTACAACACACTACACTGTTCCACAACCTACAACATACTACAATGTTGCACAAGCTACAACACACTACACTGTTCCACAAGCTAGGACACACTACTACACTGTTCCACAAACTACAACACACTACTACACTGTTCCACAGCCTACAACACATTACACTGTTCCACAAACTACAACACCTACACTGTTCCACAAACTACAACAACTACACTGTTCCACATGCTACAACACACTACACTGTTGCACATGCTACAAAACACTAAACTGTTCCATATACTACAACATACTACACTGTTCCACAACCTACAACACACTGCATTGTTCCACAGCCTACAACACACTACACTGTTACACAAACTACAACACACTACTACACTGTTCCACAATCTACAACACACTACACTGTTCCACATGCTACAACACACTAAACTGTTCCATATGCTACAACACACTACACTGTTCCACAGCCTACAACACACTACACTGTTCCACAACTTATAACACACTACACTGTTCCAAAACTTATAACACACTACACTGTTCCACAAGCTAAAACACACTGCATAGGGAATCTTGGACAAATGAACAGGTAGGAATAACATTGACCCCACCATTGCCCAGTACTAAATTTGCCACAGACAGCCACTTTGTACCTTCCCCCAAGTCAAGTATTGTTGTTTATCATCGTCTTCCCCAGTTCCTGTCTTGATGCAACTTTTGTTAAAATTAATCCGTTGTTTCAGTATTGTTGGTTTAAATCATCCTATTGTTCCCATCTCTCTTTCAAGTGATGTTGGTCGCCTGTTTTCTGTTGCCTCTGGCCTTTCTCTTCTGTCATTGTTTACTAAATCCGTTGCCTTGTTTCAATCCCAAGTGCTCAACCCCTTGGCTTCATCTGTTTATATGTACAGACCTCTTAGGTACTCAATGATTTATTAATGTTTGTCACACAGTTCCAAAGTTGTTTACAAATACTCAACGCTTTCAAGTTTTCCACTATACTGTATGGTTTATTTTTTAGCACACGTTTACATAATAATAGTTTAATGTTAACTGTAGATGTTTACAGAGTACTCAATGGTTTAATGTTTGTCATACATGTTTATAAATTACTCAATGGTTTAATATTACCACAGATGTAAAAAAATATAGATCCATGTTTACCACCACAAATGTTTACGAAATACTAAATGGTTACATCTTCTCTATATCACACGTTTACTCAACCTGTCACATAGTGTAACATGTGTGCCCCTTTTCGTCAGGTGTTGGTGATGGTGACGATGGGTGTGGTGGGCGTGGCGGCAGCTCTCCCAGAGGACGGCCCCTACGGTCCAGTCAGTGGAATTTACGGTCAACCAGACTACCGGAACGTGAGTCTCATGTTGATTTTGTCGCGTCAAAGTTACTTCAGTGTAAACACGAAAAACTGTTGCGAAATACGACTACTGGACAGAAGCGGGTGACAATGACTGTTTCTGAGGAGCATACACGTAATAGTGAAGATAATCGAAAATAATAATGTAATCAATAAGTAATAAACAGGTTCAATTAAATACTCAACTAATAAGGGAAAGATGGCGAATGTGTGTATATAGACTTGTATGGTCTGCTTGGTATGAGAGGGAAGGTCGCTTTCGCCACCACCCAACATCACCCCTCTCCTCCAGGCGTCCGTGAAACTGACCAACAACTCTCATCAAGGGGGGACAGACCAGAGCATCTACTGACACGTGGACGGAATTACAGGTGAAGGTAGAGATGGACGACAGAACCTACAGTGTGTGGGTGTATAGTGCAGTGGATATAGTGAAGATGATAGTGTGGGTCACGAACATCGACTATGACCTACCCCCCTTTAAAACAAGCCAAACAACGCCAGGTGCACCAGGTAGTTGTGTATCTATATGATCCGTCTAAAGGTCGTAGCGTTGCATAAGTGTAAAACATCCGACAAATCACATTTTAGTGACTGTGGCTCGTGTCTTATATGAAGCTTCATGTGTAGAGGTAATTACAGTATATAAAAAAAAACTTTCTTTAAGAGCCCTGATACTTCCTTTGTCTCCTTCCTCGGGAGCCTTGTTAAAATAACAGGACCTTCCACAAAGCGTTTCATCACACTTGATCCTTCTCTTCACAGGATCCTCTGCCCTACCAGTTTGCTTACGCCATCAAGGACGACTACGAGGGAGCCCACTACCAACATAACGAGAAGTCGGACGGCAGCAACGTGCAAGGGTCGTACACCGTGGCACTCCCTGACGGCCGAGAACAAACAGTAGGTGGCGGTTAATGTAATGCATGGAAATAAAAGACATGAGCTGAGAGGAAACTAAACAGAGAATATACCAAACTAATATTGTTCTTATTGTGGGAGTCAGTGTACTGCAGTGTGTGACCCTCTGTCTTGACCAGGTGAGCTATGTGGCCGACCCCTACAACGGCTACCTGGCTAGAGTCACCTACAAGGGTCAGGCACAGCATCCTAATGTGTACGGTTCACCCGTCACGTTCAGGCCCGCTACCTACAGACCCGCCACTTATGGACCCGCCAACAACGGACCCACCTACAGACCCACCACTTATGGACCCGACAACAACGGACCCACCTACAGACCCACCACTTATGGACCCGCCAACAACGGACCCACCTACAGACCCACCACTTATGGACCCGACAACAACGGACCCACCTACAGACCCACCACTTATGGACCCGACAACAACGGACCCATCACCTACGAACCCGACACACCGAGACCAGTCATCACCTCTTACGAACCCAAGCTGATTTATCATTGATGGACTCCAGCTGGGCCGTCACTGACAGTAGCCAGCTGGGCCGTCACAGACGGTAGCCAGCTGGACCGTCACTGATGGACTCCATCTGGACCGTCACTGACGGTAATCAGCTGGGACGTCACTGATAGACTTCATCTGGACCGTCACTGACGGTAATCAGCTGGGACGTCACTGACCACCATGAACCAAAACAGTCGTCAACACTAGCTAGTCATGTAACAATTTTTTTTTGAAATACTAAAATAAACGTTTTTGATGTCTGAAATCTTTATTATACTTGAAATTTGACGTATGTTAACTCGCGACGTAATTACAATTCGACACACACACACACACACACACGTCGTAGTGTATAATTTAGGATTAACTACAACATATTATTATTATCATTATTATTGTATTATTATTTTTTTAGTTTTTATTATAAATTTTATTTATTATGAATTCTTATTATTACTAGTATTACATTTTTCCCCCACCCCAGGCCCCGAGGTGGGTCAGTGACCTGTGCCCGGGTGGGCTAATCACTGTAAAAAAAAAAGTAGGATATTAGATGTGACACCATAACGAAGTATACGGTGAGTCTGGACTATCATTAGCGTAATGTTTGTAACTGTGAAACTTTCTAAAATTTTGCTAACACTATTTCCTTTCATCAGAAAAGTAAATTGTACTCTAAATTTTAAAGGACTCGTGTACGTATTTCTACTGTAGATGTTTTTACACACACATGTACAGTATGCGTGTACATCAAATCCTGATAATTCCATTGATAGCTCTACATCACGGGTGTTTTATACTTGTACATATACAAATTGATTTTGCAAATTCTATTTAAATAATAAAATAACTGACGCTCCTAAAATTGAACCATCAATGAAATATGGAAATGAAATTCAACTTCGAAACAAAAAATCGTAACCGAGTTCCTAAAGTGCCGAAGTGTTAACCTAATATATATATATATATATATATATATATATATATATATATATATATATATATATATATATATATATATATATATATATATATATATATATATATAGGTACACAAGTAATAAACCCAGTAAACCTTCGAGTATTTTTTCCATATGGATTCCTTTTTTATAATCCATAGGTAAAAAAAATTCGGTTTAAGCCATTGTTTTCTATCTTGACTACCATGGTGGACCTTAACTGTAATGATGCTATCAACTTATAGTTTGAATTATGACTACGTGTCTGTGCGATCACCACTAGACGGACCAGTTTCACTTTTCCATTTTTGTTTTGTTTTACAAATTATCGCTATTTAACAATTAGGTCTACCTTGTGAAACACACACACAGACACCTAAACTACATTGATAATTGTCAATGTACTTTCCTAATCGAGTGGTCCACAAAACACTGGAAAACCAATTGAAAGTACATTTATTCCTAAGGAGACCCAATTGTTTAAACGAGCCAATTAACTAACTTGACTCGCGCATCTCACCTGTACCAGACTGTTTAAAATAAAATTAATGTCTATCAACTTATACACGAGTTTCTGGATAATAGTAATAATAATAAATTTCATATTGATAATTTAAGTGTAAAACAATAACAGTAATATTAATGAAATAAAAATAATAATCATGAAAAATAATAATAATAATAATAATATAATTAATCAGTCGCCTTGCCTTGTCTCATTTGCAAGTTCTGTCGGCAGATATGTGAATGAATCGTTGAGTAATATTTCAAATATAGAAATATTCATTAAAAAAAAATTAAGAAACGTCCAAGGAAACATTTTAGAATATACCTCTTTAAATGCCCCAAGCCGCAGCAAAATGATCACAGGTTTTCTGGGGGTGTGGGGGCCTATGGCGACCACTTTACCCCATGACTGAATTATTTTTACCCTGGTCATTTATCTTCCCAGATTGAGGTCTGAAAAAAGATATCACCCGTGAATAATAATAAAACGGAAATTACCAATATAGAGGTACACGAGAACGTCCAATTACCCCCCGATAACTCATAGAACCAAATGACCATGAACACCTGCCCATACATATTAACTCTCCCCAGCATCATAACAAGAGACCAAGAAGTAATTATTGACTGCATCAAATAGCACTTGAAAAAAAGAAAACACATGCAAGGATAACAGCCATCAGTCAGATCAATCAAGGCGGACAATAGGATGACTAGTGACGGGTGAGTGTATTGATGCTAACAGGTTGCAAGTGAAAGATCAAGGTAGTGATGTCAAGATTACGTTCACAGTGGCTGGCAAGTATCTGATCACCCAAGTATACGTATAGCTAAAATTAATACTAATAACTGATAAGACGAATAATAATAATAATAATAATAATAATAATAATAAAATAACAACAATAATAATAATAACATTCCAGTTCTCTCATCATCATCATAACACTGGAAGCAAGTTGACATTTTCTCCAGAACAAGTAACAACAGCACCGTCACTCTCTTGTCACCACTTACGACTTCACAGTATATCACTCAGCCTACTACAGCAGCCAGTTCCTCACGACACAATGTACGCCCAGTCACAAGCAGGTTCTTAGGCTGACACGACCATCACTCCACACAGTTTGGTTCAGTCGATAAGACACAACAAGACAAACACTGAACAGATTCATAAATTACCCATTGCAAATAAACCAACTGAAATTAAATGAAATCCAGCGGAAGCAGTCTGGTTACAGTGGCACCCGTGTTCGGTTAAGTTAAAGTGGCAACCGTGTTAGGTCATGGTGGCACGACTCCCTCCGGCAACCACACATGAAACAGAGGAAGCACCGTGTTTAGGTCGTGTCAACATCGCACCCTTCCCTCCAAGAGACGTCCGTTCATGCACGGTAAACCCTTAGCGGAATATAAATATATACCCTGGTACTCATCCTCACCCCTTCTCACTCACGCACTCACACACTCGTAAATGGTAAAAAGAAACGCCTCTTACGGCGATGTAACTTTCTATTCAAGTGAGAGAGGGAAGAGCCTGGGAAAATTCTCAGCTCCGAGTTGAGGGGAATATTTCGACAAGGGACAAAAATTAACAAAATTAAAAATCTTTAGCCACTCTGGTATAATATCATTCTTGTTATAACAATTCTGGAAAAAAGTGGGAAGTTTTTGTCATAATTTAGTTTTCATCTGTGTGTGTGTGTGTGTGTGTGTGTGTGTGTGTGTGTGCGTGTGTGTGTGTGTGTGTGTGTGTAATTCCAGTCATTTCAGTATTTTTAAACAACGAGGGAGAATCTTCTCATCCCAGTCTCTCCACTATCACGGGGACGCAAGCTGTGCATAAATTAGAAGTCTCTCTGAGGAAATCCTCCCTCCTGACGCTGTTCGAGACTGTAATTCCAACTTGATAATCCACCAAGTTCTCAAATTTGTTTCTTCAGTTCTTAAGTAATCCTTCGACGATTATAATCACCTGTTTATTTATTACAGTTATCCATCTACCTTCATAAAAGCAATCATGAAAAAAAAAGTTCGAATACAAAATCACCAAAATTCATGCACATTAATTCACATACATTCGTTAATCCACTCAAATCCCCCTCTGACTATAAATGTATTGACTATTTACATTAATCCATCGGGATAATAAAAACAATTCATGTATTTATGTTTCTGTGTTATCCGTTATTCAATTAAGTATATCCACTTCTGCCAGGATTTTCAATTTCACAAACTCACGTCTTTAAAAGTAAATATACTGAAGCAACACCTGGAGTGACACGCATAACTTAAAAGAGGAACAGAGACAGGGCTGAGATGGTGTGGCTATGTGAGATGGTGTGGCTATGTGAGATGGTGTGGCTATGTGAGATGGTGTGGCTATGTATGGTGGTGGCTATGTGTAACGACGAGAGGAGAGGGGAGAGGATCAACAAAAGGAAGCTCACCAAGAGGACGCCGCCACAAGTTTGGGTGAAGGGACGTGGTTATGAGCCTACTTTCACAACATCAGAGTGACAATAGAGGAAACTGAAGGCAGGATCGTGGTGGATCCGGATTAAGACGCCAACCCCTAGCCTATGAGAATGACTTAAGAGGGATGCAATCAAGGCTCTTAAATCTACTCTTTCATATTTTTATGGACACTAACATAAGAATTCCTTAATGCTATATAGTAAAGCAAATTTAAGAGAAACCAACTTATTATTTCTATAAGAACAATCAATACAAAAATGTAAACTGATAATGGTTTCATTTTTAATTTAAAAAGAATAAAGTTTAATGCAATATGTAAGTGTAAATACAGGTAATATTTAATGTACGAGTATGGGGAAATAATTACGTTCATTACACGAGAGGTATTACATCCTGAAACAACTTGCAATCCCTGATTATACAATGAAATACCACAACAAAAGATATGATTATGAAAGTTGAATTTAATGTTCAACACAACTCCAATTATTCTCTCCGCATATTAATTAAACCCAAAAATACGACACACAAAAAAGTTACCATATTCACACCCATTCCATAATCGTATTCAAAAGCACAGTTCAGTTAACAAAAGCACTATGATGAAATTTACCACCAAAATGCATGACTATAATTCTTTGTTGAATTTACAGAATCGTTCTACCATTATGCTCAGTATTTTAGAACCCAACCATGGTTCATTGCACCATACAGATGTAAACAATCATATTTACAATTATGTACAATTCGGTCATTTATTTCCAATTATTACCCAATTGTTAGGACGATGTAGTCAACCGTAATGTCACGTGTGAACAGCATATAACAGTACCCGGTATACATGTGTTATACCAGTTAGATATACAGTATGTCAGTGAGCTCTGACAAAGGTATACAACAGAGGGGTCGAAAACAGTGTACAAAAATATTCTACATTAAGCCACAAAGGTCTAACAGCAGAGGACTGACAAAAGTACACCAAAAACTTCTGATTAAAAGTATACAACAGATGAATGTCAACATTGCACAAATGGGGTCAGAAAAGTATACAATATACAAAAGTAAACATAAGGAGTCTGACAACGGCATACACACAACAGTGAGGTGTGAGGGCAGTACATAACAGTGAGGTCTGGCAACAGTAAACAGCAGTATACAGCAACGAGGAGGTCTGGCCTGCAATTCGTGGACACAAAACCAAGACCAACGTGTGCTGAGCAAACCAAGAACCCGTCCTTTCAAAACGCGCGCGCGCGCGCGCACACACACACACACACACACACACACACACACACACACACACACACACACACACACACACACCGATCTAATACGACAAACACTCACGCATTAACCCTCTCTATATAAAAACACACCTCACTTGAAAAGTCCTCAAGCCACGGGCAGTCTAAATCAAGACTAATCTGCCATCCAGTGCATTATTTAATCGACTATGATGATTCCACTCCCGGAAAGTTGATCTTAGCCTTTCAATCTCCTGCAGACGCTTTCCCTTCGTGTTGTTCGTGTGACGTCATAAAACAAACAGGAGAACTGCATGGGGGTTATATAAAGGGATGACCCGCCGACAGCATTACACACACACACCACCAGCCAAGTCTTTCCTCCACCTCAGGACGCCATCATCGCAACTCGACAGACGTGCAATACCCAACATGATTCTTAAGGTAAAATTATCATCTCCTTAAGGACAAACATTGTGTCCAACTCGACTTTCAGCACTAAAAGGCTTCTTCAGCCAAGTGTCATTCTGTATGAACTTCGATAATTCAGGATGTGTTATTCAAGTTTATTCGCAAGCTGATGTAAATGCATGATAAGGAACGGACTGATAATTGAGAATATATGATCATTTCAAGCTTACTTCTCAACAGCAGTGTGATGATATATACATTTAACATACATATTTCTTCGTCTCAAGCCACTATTGTTACCGTCAAGGGGAACCTTCATGAGCAGAGATGCACAATGCACGTGACTAGCCAATGTTTGTAGACCCTAGTTGACCCATTAAACCTGGCAATGTGACCCAAATTTCATGAGCCTGTCTTAATGGGCAGCAGTCCTAATGGTGAAGTTGGTATCTATTATGATTATGTCTTATTAGGACCGGGGAATTTTAGTGCTGGAGCCCAATCAACTTACAATCCATGTACCCGGTATTAAAAGTATAATAAAAAATTGTTACTCCTGCCGGCAGGTGGCCCTCGTGGTTGTGATGGTGGGCGTGACAGTGGCTCGCCCAGCAGACCTCTACGGAGCCCAGAACACCTACAAGGAGGTCAGTATCCCTTCTCTGTCGCAATTGAACCAAAGAAAACGGGAGATTTCAGGAAGTGTGGTCGTTTTTCCGTGTGATAAGCGTCGCGTGGGTCGGTGACTCGTCCAGTGGACCCCAGTCCTAAAAGGCCCAGACCCACCCTACACCAGCCATGGGGCCCAGTGTTATTACGCCCCAACCAAACCTAACCATGTTAACTGGGGCCAATATTGACTGGGCCCCAATGATAATTAATAGGTTAAAGTGGGACCTAAATAACTGGGCCCCTATTATAATGATTAGACCAGCTTGGGGCCTATTAGGAATGGTTGTCCATTTGGCGTACAAAGTGTGGGCCATGGGAGCGGTGACTGCATGAGCTTGGGAGACTCGGCCCGATATCAAACTGTGTAAATTTGTTAGATTTAAAAAATACTGATATTCTTCATACTATACAATATATATATATATATATATATATATATATATATATATATATATATATATATATATATATATATATATATATATATATATATATATATGTGTGTGTGTGTGTGTGTAAATATATAAAATGAGTGAGCGTCAACAAACCATTCACCACCACCACCGTTAAGTAACACCGCGAGATTCTTCCCCACACAGGAGGCTCTACCATACGACTTCGCTTACGGGGTGAAGGACGACTACGCCGGCACCGACTTCGGGGCAGCAGAGCAGTCGGACGGTAACACTGTCCGTGGCTCTTATACCGTCGCCCTCCCCGACGGCCGCAAGCAGACGGTAACTATGAAACTGTACTGATACAGTTTACACTATAATATACACCGTAAGGGTAGACACAACTCGTAACATCATCACTTGACTGACAACCGATCTGGGTTAAAAGTAGAAATCCGTAAGCTTTTATTATTATCATTACCACAACAAATACGATCTCTACCTGATTATTACCTCAGATCAACAAACCTCGACCTCTTGATTAAACACTATCAGAAAGTCGTTAATAAGGATACATTTTCAGTTGTATTTTAATAAACTGTACATATATAACTAACACATACACTACTCATCTTATGTACCACCAAGCTTTTTAGGCACATATTTTTATGGGTGATTATCAAAGCAATATTTTTTACATAATTCTCTAATGTCCAAGTACTGTACACTCAACATATATTAATTTTCCTTTGCATAAAAAAATATCCAGTGTACAGAACTGAAATGCCAGCCATTCATGATACTCGGCAGGTGAACTACGAGGCTGACCACGAGAAGGGGTTCGTAGCTGACGTCCAGTACTCCGGTGATGCCCAGTACCCCCACGAGTACGGCCCCCCCATCACCTTCAAGCCCAAGAACAACTACCAACCCCAGACCTCCTATCAGTAGACCTAACACCCTGATCAGTAGCTCCCAGTCCATCTAGTAGTAGCCCTAGTCCGCTGATCAGTAGTCTTAGTTCGCTAGCCAGTTGCCTGTGTGTGTATGAGGTGAATCCAACTTAAAGCTTCAGTATGTACCCGGCTAAAAGTGATGCGGTGTTCTTACCATACCTATGCACCAACCGGTTACAAGAGCAGACCGGTGATATGTCGAACTTAGACTTCGAGAAATCTGATTCGACTACGACAGGTCAGAAGAGTTCATCCCCTAGAACACGAATCCGGCCCCAAAAGTTGAGTCCTACTACAAAAGGTTGAATACGACTACTTAGGGGCAGAATCGACTATGAGGGATCGGATTCGACCCCAAGAATTCGAAGGCCGGTATCCGGAAGCTCTTGAGTTTGGTTATAGGAAGTGCCTGTAAAACCCATTAAAAGTAGATCAGCTGGCGTCTCCTCTCCTAAGTGTGTTGGGAGAATTTGTTGACAACTGGTGTTAAATTTGTTTGAATTTGGTTCAATAAAAGGAATTATATAATCTATCTCCTGTGTTTACGCTGAACGTGACTTTAATCCTGTTTATCTAGTATCTATCACGTCCAATTTATTGCCCTCCTTAATATCTCCATTTTTGACGTGCCTGTGTACAGTATATTGAAAAGTGAACTATGCAACCGGCTGAGGCATTACATCAACAATAGGTCGCCAAGAGAAAGAGAAGTTTCTCCAATTTTATTTGTTAACCACTAGTGTAACTGATTACCTAGAATACGTGTTTAAAGAATTGATAAAGTTGTAAAAGTGTAAAAACATTTTGTGAATAAAACAATGGACACTTTACGGGGGAAATGTCAGATCATTCCAGAACCAATAACGATTATTTTCGCAGCTAATATCCAACCATTAACTCTTGTGTTGATACATCTAATTGTTAGTGATTAGGACGAGGATGGCTTCTTCACTTTTCCATAACAAAATTAAACAGAAATTAAGATTAGTCTTCTTAGTAACGTCCTCAAGACTTTCAACTGTGGATGTTGATGATGTTTCAACTGTAACCCAAAGTTAATTATTTAAGCATCCTCATGAGTGCTTCAGGTGTCACAGATACAGCTCATTAGTTTCTGACATATCATTTAAAATACATTCGACAATATACACAACAAACACACAAAAACGCAGGTATCTATAAACACAAACAGATACGTATACACACATCACTGTAAGGGTGTCACGTAAAATACCCACAAACATATTTATTTTTTACTGCAAGAAGACTTTTCCTACTGTGGTGGAGGGTGACGGGGCAGGTGCTGAACCTAACCTAACCTAACCTAACCTAACCTAACCTAACCTAACCTAGCCCCAGTCTTGACCGTCAGCAGCTACTGGTACCCAAATACGTAATTTAGTTATAAACGCCCCCAGAGACATTTAAAAAATATAAGCTGCTTATAAAATTATACATATTTATGGAATCAGGTGAAGATTAGGCACCCTAGCACATTTCACCTGATATAATTAAATACCCAAACGTTCACCCAACTTCACCTATCCTCACCCAACCCTTCCCCAGATAACGAGGTGTCTAATCAGAAGGTGAAATAAGCTAATATCCACCTGATCCCAAAATTAATGAAAATGTAAGGCATACAAAAATAAATTAATCAAAAGTGCATAAGAAGGTACACTACCTGTAAACACGTACATAGTTGATCTTTAAACTTACACATAAACGCAACCATACATACATATCGCAAATACATTTCTACATACACACACACACACACAATCGTTTTCATACATAAACAATAAACAAATCAATCACCAAGAGAGTTCACTTTCAGGGTCACCAAAAATACTAGAGCACTATGCGGGTTTTCCCTCTGGTTGGTTGACGGGCAGACGAACAAGTTACTCCCTTTAGTAACACTTTTTTGCCGGCAGCATCAGGACGCCGTCTACCCTGTACCAGGATTCTCAACTACCACTGGCAGGGTAAAATCATTGTTCATTTGGATTGAGAATTATTATAACCCAATCAACATCTTTAAATATATCCAACGGGGTTCCAATCTCCATACATAATCGCCGTTAAGGAGGTTAAAATATCAGCCCAATTATTATGAGAAAATTAAGTTCAATTGTAAATATAGACAACATTAGTAAGGTTACAAGACCAGAATAAAATTACATCACTTAATGAAATAGTTTCTTCCAATTACCATCCTTAATTATCACAAGCATGGGAAAAAATATTGGTAAAATTGTCTTTCAATATGCGTCTTCAAAAACAAGGAAAACATATCTGCCACATACCAGGAAAACACCTCTAATCAGCACTCTTAACTAGTGCTTCCTGGGGGCTAAAGAACAACTAGTGATCCTTGGCTTAAACATCAACCTTATCAGAATTTTTTTTATCCCAATCTGAACTAACAATCATAGTATAAATCTCCTCCACTCTTACTGAGGAACAATACTGCTAGACTATTTAACATAAGTAAATGTCTATATCCAAAAATATTCGTATAAGACTGTAAGTAAAGATATAGGAATATATATCTAACTGGTTGACTTAAGTTAAAAAGATAAATTAACTTGAAAAAATAGTATCAACATCTGACTAATATTCTACGGTACCCTAACGAGATGTAATCACTAGAGACAAAATCAACTTACAGAACATAAAAATTAAATATGTATGGTAACAGTGTCTCTTATTTGGTATTAAGTAAACATCATTCTCTAAGTTTAAGATAAAGTCAATGAATCATGTTGTTGGGTGATATTTTTGTGTTTTAGTTTAACTCGCACGAGCCTCGGTGAAACGTGGCCCAGTATTGGTAGGAAAACCGAGTTCAAATTTACATTCCTAACCAGCAGCAGGGAGGCGGATACTATCAAGCTATCTTACTGGGACAATTCTGCTCCCCTCTGCTGCCTCACGTAACACGAGTATTGCACAAATATATTATTCTTACTGATAAAATAAGGAAAAGGAACAATGCATTTAGTATGGTGTATAAGTTGAAGTGGTTAACATTATTCTATCGAAACGCATAATGACGATAAGGTTGAAATACTAATAAGTACAATACTAATAATGACATTTTGTCTCTTGCTCTACTGTAAGTTTTTTAATATGACGATATTTTCAGGTTACCATCTTCTTGGAAAACTCACCAAAAAAATTACGGTGTCTGGTGACGAACACTCCCGCTTGGTACACAAACAGCATAGTCTCACTACACAGTCATAGCTAGCTGTTCCAGGCCGTGGGAACCAACAACTTACTATACCGAGGCGAGGCATAGAACATGGACTGCTATAACGCACACCATCACAGAAAACGAAACTGGCCTTTTATGGGGAACATCAATACGACCAAATACCTATTACAACAACAACAACTGTATATTTTAATCCTTCATTTATGACAGTCTTTGTATGTGAAATTTACCAATTCTGAAAAAAAAAATAATAACGCCTGTATTTTGTGTCGTCACTGTGGGTAGCTACATGTTGCCATGCGAGAGGCTGCAACAACACACAAGCAAGAGGCTATATAACCTTCACTGATCGACCTCAACCGGGTTTCCACATTTCACAACCTTGTCTTCTCAGTTCCTTTGTTTTTTTGTTTTTTAATTCATACCCGAGAGTATTTTCCCGGGAAAGTTAGTCGACCTACCGGGTGTGGCTGGTAACTCAAGATAATGTGTAGTGTGGCTGGTAACTCAAGAATGGTGTATGGTGGGGCTGGTAACTCAAGATAATGTGTAGTGTGGCTGGTAACTCAAGATAATGTGTAGTGTGGCTGGTAACTCAAGATAATGTGTGGTGGGGCTGGTAACAAATGTTTTCATCATTTGTGTACGTAAAATACTAATAAATTACTTTGTTTTCCAGGTATAATATAAAACTTTATATAATCGTTAAATGGCAGTTCTTATCCTGATTATTTCGTATGATGTCAAGGATACAGGATATAACCTTTTTTCACCAGGTAACAAATAGTTTTCATGTTTCTTCTGATAGCCTGCACTGCAAGCCTATATATCTCCAAGCATTTTCTTTGTTTCTATAATTACCCTCCAGTTGAACTGAGGATCGCAGTAATTACCGATCTACGTAAAAAGAACAAATCATAGCTCTAAGTTTTACTAATTGTTGACAACTTTATGATATACGAAGTGTGGTGGCCTTGTGGATACAGGGCTCGCATCCTGTTCTGAAGGTCATTGGTTTAATCCCCGGGCTCTCCCAGTTTTCCCAGGTGTAAATGGGTACCTAACTTTACAAAGTCGTGGAGGTGAAGGCAGATGAGTGCAGTGCCGGCCAAACTGTTTCACTGAGTACCAAAGGCATAGTACATTGTGTACTGTATCCACACTGTCCCAAACGGGCAGTCACGCGTTTCGGACCAAATTTTACTTTTCATTGTATAATTTAATGTTCGTACTTAAAGACCTTATTTGTCAAAACACAGACATTGAATATATAAACAACCAAAACTCATGTATAAGACAGTGAGTTTCAGCTTGGAGATATTCACATGAACTCACCAAGTAAACAAAGCGACAGAACACAGTGTTAACAAAAACTAGTGGGACACATACTGGCAGGGCCAATTAGTGATGTCTGTTCCCTTGTCACGTTTACCTGCCACGACGACCAAGACACTGCGAGAAAAATAGTTTATATCGTTTCGTTTTGGGTTAACCTCCCCCCCCCCAAAAAAAAATAATAAAAAAATAAAATATTCATACACAAAAATAAAATATATATATGCACTCATTCAAAACTGAAAGTGTCCCTCATTAGAGAAGTTTCCAAGGAATAAACATTAACAACCAAATGTTTACTGACTAAACTGTAAACAAACATGATAAATTAGTCGAAATAAATAATAAAATAAATGCGTGATTAAATAAATAAAATACGGGAGAACAATACCAAGACGTATAATAAAACACAGAGGGTTTAAAGAGACAGTTCACCTGGAATTTACCTCGACTTGTTTCCCAAAATTTGAACACCTCTAAACCCGTCCACAGACCAAGGTATCTTACTGCTAATTTATTGTGGGAGATCTACCAGTCTTTTAGTAAATACAACCCAAAGTGTACAGCAACCACTGGTGAAACGGAGTACATTCTAGTTGCATAGCGTAGCGCGCGCGCGCGCGCACACACACACACACACACACACCTACCTTCGGCCTTCAGAACTTTTTCAATAAACCGTTAATTATTATTATTATTATTATTATTATTACACACACACACCTGATCAGTGTCCTTCACCTCACCTCTGGGGATGTGAGCCAGATGACTAAACTTCCCGAACGCAACGTGCACCAGTTTTTCATTTTTTTTTCACCTGGCGAAAGATGAGATGTGAGCTGGTCAGGTTCAGGGTCTTCCCCGGGGATCTTCTGGCGTCACACACACACACACACACACACACACACACACACACACACACACACACACACACACACACACACACACACACTGCCCCGGGCGCACCTTCCAGGATATAAGCCGAGGTCCAACACCACCAAGCATCACTCACGTCTACTCAATTTCATAAGACGAATCAACATGCTGTGTAAGGTACGTAAGATCGGGTTGGTCTGCCTGATGATCTTGACAAGGGTGACTTAATTATTCACGTTGGTTTAAATGTTTTGAAGTTTGATTCTTCGGCGATTAAAGTGCCATGATATAGTAAAGCCAATGATACACAACAAATGTGTGCTGTTCTACTTCTGGTGCTCTTTGTAACTCCTTGAAGAGGGGTAAATCTTAGGTATTTTTGACTGGTTGCTCAATCTGAGATATTTAACGTCTATGCTCGACTGACAAAACTAACAGTGAAATAAGACTTGAGGAATAAAAATAGGTTTCCTTGCATATCACTTCTTAATAATAGAAGGTGGAAAAAATCTTTATTTAATATCACCTGAAAGAGCTCTTCGTTGATTAAATGTACAGTAATGACACTGAAGCACGTGTGGTTTACCCCTACAGGTGGCCGTATTCCTGGTGGTGGTGGGCGTGACTTTGGCGCTCCCACACTCTCCCCACCCCGAAAAGGTAAGCTCACCCACAGTCCTCCTGGCCGTCCTTACCTCCAAGCTCTACTCTGTCATTTATCCCATCGTCACAAATTTTACTTTGATTTTGATTTTTAAGTTTCTGTAGTTTTGGCTTTCTATCAACAGCCACACTAATATCCTCACAAATAGTCTTGTTTGTCTCGACTGAGTGGTAGGAGCTATTAAACCACAGTCTAGAGGAACCGGAAGTACAAAGTCAACAGCAAAACCACATTGCTACAAGGTGTTGGTCAAAATCCCCTGATGTTTGAGGAAGCTACACATCCAGAACATCGGGAAGTAATAAACCATTTTGTGCACCCGACTGTTACGAACGCATGGAGGAGTGACGTGCGTGTTTGTGTTCTTTTAAGTCTAGCACATGTGGTGAACAAATGAGTTATGTGCAGAAAAAAAGGCGTAACATACTATTGTTAAGGAACGATGTAAACACCCTGGAAGTAATTACCTCTCATCTACCCCACAGTTAATGCCTTATAAGTTCGGGTATGAGGTTTCCGACAGCTACAGCGGCCAATACTTCGACCATAAGGAATACTCTGACGGCACTGTGGTGAAGGGCAAGTACTCCGTGGACCTCCCAGACGGTCGCCAGCAGACGGTGAGTCTTAACTAAGGTCGTGGTGGACGCAACAAGTCAGACACATTACCACTAACAGACTACCCAATCGTAGAAGAATTTTCGTTACGTGAAAAATTTCAGTAGTAATTACAGTATTATTGCTATAGAATTCACTCACTCTGTTAGTTTCCCCCAAACTCCTTTCTTCATACAAAAACGTCATATACATTATATACGACAGCCTATAACCAATGATTTAAAAATGTCGGCATAATAACAACAAACGATTAGTCGATAAGGAGATTAATCTTCTTGTTTTCAATAATCTAACACGAGAAAGACATTTTGTTGTAAGCAATGTAAGACCTAACACACTCTTGTTGTCCCGCAGGTGGAGTACAGAGCCGACCCCGACAGCGGCTACCAGGCTGATGTGTCTTACAGGGGACCAGGGCAACACCAACACAATAACGGACACCATCACTGATCAACCACACCCGCCTATTGATCAACCACACCCGCCTACTGAGCACCCACACCAGCCTACTGAGCACCCACACCCGCCTACTGAGCACCCACACCAGCCTACTGAACATCTCCGCCCGTCAACTGAAGAATCTAAGAGTGTCCTTGACCAATCAATGAGCAACCATGACAGTATAGACTCTCACTTACTTGAACACGGAATGAACACAAAATTATCCACCCTGGGAGTCTATACACCTCCATCTGAACGTCCACTGTGAAGAAGACTTATTGACGTCCAGAAAACTTACTATAATATAATCTAAAACTCATACCTCTTACCTTAAACTATCTATTAACAGTGTCCCCCACCCCCCAGAACAATGATATGAGAATGTTATATCATCTAAAACTTCCTATGCCACAATATATGAAAACAATATGTACGTGTATTTCCTGTTTTAAATAGAAAATTAACAATATGAGGGTCTTTAAAAACAACAGTGCACGATGAAAGATTTATAATAAGCGGTGTTTTTTTTTTATTGTGACTAAGAATGACAAAAGAGTCTTTATCCTCACTACTCGGGTTTTTTCAACGTTCAAGACCACATTACCATATCCAGACGTTTAAGGAATCTATACTACTTACAATGATAACAATTACCAGCATTATATTTTCATTGTCTCTAAAAATTCCTTGAAAAGTTAACTACCACAGTTTTATCTTACTGTTGTTATCTCTGACCGTCTCCATGATAAGAGATGGATGGTGACAGGAACAACGGTATCAGTCTTATTTTTCACTGTTATGGTAAAAAAACAACACAGAGTTCACATACGATTGACTCCGTTGATTTCACACACACACACACACACACACACACACACACACACACACACGCACACACACACACACACACACACAAGACAAAGCAAATTCACTCATTTACTCAACTCTCAAGTAACTCATCCACGCAATAGCATCATTTAATCAACTGTTGAACGCACCTATTCCTAAATCACCCCATCCACCCACTCAACAAGCCCTCACTCACTCATTACCTCAGAACCACTGACTCACACTCATCACTCACTCAACTCGTTCACACATACACCCACCCTCTCTCCTCACATAACTCAACCATTCATTCCCTCCCTCATTCACACACAACCACCTACTCACTCCCTCATCCACCCCCTTCACACATTCAATCCATCCACTCAATTAACTCACAATTTTAACGATTTCTTTTCTAACATAAACATGACACTCGTTGCCAATTAAAGTCACAGACCAACCATGTCAGTAAGAACGACTATGCTATTGTAAAGTCCTGTCCATTGTTATCTCCGGGGTGTTTTGTTATTGTTTCCCCAAGTCTGGTTAGGGTTACACTCTACACCCACCAACTCTGAGAGAGAGAGAGAGAGAGAGAGAGAGAGAGAGAGAGAGAGAGAGAGAGACCCCCCGCTTAAATGCTAGGTTAGTTTAGGTTAGTTTAGGTTAAACTTTGGTTTACTAGGTAGGACTTTAGCTCCCTTTTGAACTGCAATCGAAAAAATCCACATATAAATCCACTATGAGAAAATTGCACGGATAAACAGTCTGTAAATTCAACTGGTCTGATTTCTTTCCTCCCCCCTTATCCCGATTTTGGTATTCCCAGGACCCTCAAAAACTCAACTTGGGGGGGGGGGGAAGGCCACGCTTGGTTGGGTTATTCGCAAAAGGTCGCATGATGATAAGAAAAAAAGTCAACCTTCTTTTCCCCTGGTGAATCTGTGTGTGTGAGCTGGAATTTTCTAACGATGGGCACCACATCAACGAAGGGGGAAACTTTGACTGAAGGATATAAATAGGAATCAGTGAATAAATAAAACAAAACAAAAGAATATAACCAGAACCGAAAAAAATATATATTGTATATAATACTAATGGAATAAATTCAATAAAAATAATCCGGAAAAAAAGGTAAAATTAAACTAAAAGTAACAAAGAACAACAATAAAGACAGTAATAATAATAAATAAAATCAACAGCAAAATAGTCCCGAATACTGTATACCACTGAGCACATAACTAACCCTCTTAGGACAAATAAAATCCACAACCAGCACGCACGCACGCACGCACGCGCGCGCACGCGCACGCGCACACACACACATACACACCACTTATTTGATTTAGCTGGATACAGGGAGAGAGAGAGAGTGTGTCAAATGGTAAGGATACTAACTGAGGATTTTAAGCATGAGTCAATTTTATTAATCTCTCTCTCTCTCTCTATCACACCAACACTCACCAACAAAATTAACTACAATATCACTCACTATTATCACCCAACCTGCCAACACAAACACTCACCAACATCACCCTACCAACACAAACACTCACCAACATCACCCTACCAACACAAACACTCACCAACATCACCCTACCAACACAAACACTCACCAACATCACCCTACCAACACAAACACTCACCAACATCACCCTACCAACACAAACACTCACCAACATCACCCTACCAACACAAACACTCACCAACATCACCCTACCAACACAAACACTCACCAACATCACCCTACCAACACAAACACTCACCAACATCAAAGCACCCCACAAATTCCTAAGCACGTTAATAATCCGCATTCCCCCCCCCAGTAAGCCAATTAGGACAGACTATAAGACAATTTATTCACTTAAGTGTGATTTTTTTCAGCTGATATATATACCGTAATATAAAACTACTTCACCCTCTCCCATTAAGCCTACTACCACGTAAGACTACCTCGTTAGACTAGGCCTACCTCACAAGACTATCCCATAAGCATAAACCCAAAACTATCTCGAAAGACTAAGACTACTCCGTAAGACTTAAATCCGAGACTATCTCATAAGACTACCACCCAAGACTTACTCCCAGGAGTATAAAGTAAGACTATACCTCCAAGGCTATACCTCACAAGTCTTAGCACACTCGTCAGGAAGACTACAGTGCCTCTATAAGAATACCTCGTAGGACCGACCAAACTCACACTCGTAGGACCGACAAACACACTCCTACAGAACTAGAAGACAACCTGGTAAGAGTGATTTAACACACTCGCAAGACTACCTCGTACCCCCCCCCCCCACACACACTTTAGTGATAAAAACAACAGGTAATGACACACGTGAATAAAATAAACTACACCTTTTATTTTTCACCCCCAAAAATTTGGCTCTAATTGGTACACATTTGTCCAATTAGAGCCATCGTTTGTAACCGACTCGATGTATGTAGTGAGAGTGGCGGTGTATTCAAGCCATATTTATGGTAAAAACTCATAATTTGTTAACTCCAATGAATGGGTTTACCTCGTTTTATTTAAATGTATAAATGTTCATACATACACATACGTGAATTGCATAAAACCATTATTTATAATAAATCTGGGGGAGAGAGAGAGAGAATAATGGTTCAGGTTACTAATGTAAGTCATAACACCTGACAACTCCTTCGAGGAACCCTGAGATATTGTCACCGTGCACCTCAACACACAACTAACTACCAGTACAATGACCCAATACAACTACCGGTACAGTGGTCTCGAAACAGTCAAAAGCGTGGTCAGCTGCAGGTGATTACTGTACAGGCTTTAGTTAAATACTATGTTATATATCCCCGTCGCCCATCACACGGTTTAGTGGCTGTACACCGACACAAAGTTGACAGCACTAAATGTCTCTCCACCCAAACACTCGCCCTACATTTAAAAACATTAAACTAATCACGGTTTTAAAATATAAAATATAAGAATAATCACATGTTATTACTACCACTACAATCAAAAATCAATTAAGTATTCATATATCCAAATTGTAATACATATGAATAATCCGGTATTAGAACACCACCGCATACTATTTTAAAACTTATTTTACGCACTATAACAAATTCACCGCCACAGTTTAAAATATTCACTCCCGGGTAACGACACACAATGTACGAATTAACAACGCTGAAATTTGCAACAACTTCAACAATCGATACAATTCGCTTTAATAAAAGGACAATATCTGCGAATGAGGGACTAATCACATTAATTTCCCGATTGCTGACGTATTTAACGGATAATTAATATTACAATAGAGAACAACAATCCCAGTCGCGCCTCCGGCAGGCAGTTTGACCGATATATACCGGCACCCCCTGTATAGCGGGGTGCAATTCTGTTACGGTTCATCACATTATCTTTCCTCAAACTAGAACTGCCTGAATGAACCCAGACAGAGTCGAGGTTAAGTGTAATTTCGACATTTTGCCCGCCAACCTGCATTAAAGCACCCCCTTATAACTACAGTATTCTTAAACTCCAAGTTACGAAAAAGTAAATAAAATGCCGAACCTTTCAGCTCAAAATGCAAGTCTAGAGTGCTCAAGTAACGCTACTTATACAGAGCGCCTGATGAAGTTGTGTGACTTAATTAAATTGTGCTACTGAGTTCATTTAGTATGCCTGGAGTGTGCCTCAATATTATACTAGATTCAGGACACCCCGATACAGCTTCCATGTGCAAATGACTCTGCCTGAGGATCAACTGGCGTTTCCAAAATTTTATATATTACGTTTCTGAGTCGGTGTTAACATTAACCCCTTCAGTGGCAAGACATAACACCTTAATAGAGTACAATTAGTCCATTAAATAAAATATATTGCCCCTTGAATACGATGAATTAACCCCCGAATATAAGGAATTAGTCTAGGGTATCCTAACCCCTGAATACGATGGTTAAACTCCCCAAAATACAATGTATTATAGTCGGATTAGCCCACTGAGTAAGATATCCTAACTCCCTGGATACACTGAATTATTCTACCAAGATGTCTTAATCCCTCGAATAAAGCGAAACAAAATCAATGAATACACCAAGTGAGTCTACTGAGAACCTGCTGAGCACATACTCGTACAGTACAAGGAGCTATAGACCGCCCATCCTCGCCACTGAGCACCTACCCCTAGTGAGAAGTGATACCACCCTCAGTGTCAAGACCTGACTGAATTACTCAGAATAGGCAAACTGTACTCCAAGCTTTGTCAATAAATTTGTTAAACTAAAAAATACCCCTAGCTAATGAACTTCTATTCCTGAGTACTGAACAACCAACCCGAAATATTGAACATTCACCCCACGCTACTGAACACCTTGATGTACCATAATAACCTTTAAACAAACTCACAGCAGTTAATTCAAGAGATGCATCACGTAAAAGAAAAATTTCAACGGAATTATCATCTGGATTTAAATATCAGGGAGGAGTCCAATCATGGCCAACTTTTCTCGCAGTACAACAGTCCACACCGGTGTAATAGCGCATACCTGTACACTCTTTTCAACTGGGCAAAACAAAGGCCCTAGACTGTCTCGCGCAGATTTTGTTGAGGACTACTTTCGAGTCTCACCAGTACTTGTTCTACCAACACTTATGCCAGC